TGGCAACCAGTGGGTCTGAAGACACAGTACAGGCAAAGCCCATGCTGACGGGTTTGAAGGACTTAGAGCAAAAAGGCCTCTCAGGAAACCATCTCCAAAACTGCAGCAGCAGTACAGCATGCTGTCTCCAACCCTTAATGCCGCCCTTACCCCGTTTTTAAGAGTGGTTTATGGCCATCCTTGGAGTTTTATAATGAAAAGTTCTCTAATCCATGCCGGGCGGTTGAATCCTGCGATATTCTAGTGTGACAGGGTGAGCTAGATACCTAAGAGGATGTGGCCAGAACCAGGCTGGGGCAGGCATGGGCAGCCTGTCCGCCTCACTCCAGCATCATCCCTCCCACTTCACTGCATTGCACTGGTTTAGGAGGCTTTGAGGCACAAGATAGGCAAAAGGGCAGTTTTCCCAGCTGACCCACTCTGGCAAAAATCAGGAAAAAAATAAGACTGCCTTTGACATCAAATACTACTAGTTTGAGACAGAGTTGGGCAAGGAAAGTATTGGGAAGATAAGCCTTCAGAGACCTGGAGCAGCTAGAATGGGTAGAAGTCCTAGGCTTGGAGTCACTGTAGTGACAAGAAGCAGAGCCCTCACATTGGGTGGATATGTGCATTACGCTTTGTCATCTCTCTGTAGCTTCCTTTACAGATCAGCTGAGAATGGACCCGCCCCCTACCTCTTTAAATAGTTGTAGGCCACTTTTCTCCCCGTAACTTGGGAAAACAAAAGAAGTAAGGGTCATACTACACCGCCTGTCACCACAGTGGCTGTGGTTGTCTCAGGGCAGGCGGGCAGGCAAGGATGGCCTGTCCAGCCCTCACAGGTCAGTGGTTTCGGCAGGTCTGAGAGCTGCCCCACTGGCCAGACCTCTCCAATAGCAGAGCCAGCCTGGGGCTTGCATGTCCAGCCTGAGCAAGCTTAACGGGATGAAGCTGAGGCTTTCTCCCCACTGTGACTGGAGTGCATGTTTACACCAGCACTTTTTCTGCACATGTATCTTCAATCCAACAAGGCCATTTTTTATGCTGAGTAACAAGTGGCCGCACTCAGCAAGTGGCCGCATTCTCTTCTGCACCATTTTCTACACCAGACCTGCTTGGCACCACAGGGAGCTCTTCGCCCCTGCACAGACATTCCAACCACCACCAGCCAGAAGTTACAGCCAACCTTGCTCATTGTCACAAGCAGGACCTTGGGTCCATTGGCACTGTCAGTGATGTAAGCCATTTCCTGGGAGGAGAAGGAAACTCCTCGCCACCAATCTGCTGGGGCCTGTGCAAACGGCACTTCAAAGGAGTCCCCATGCACTTGGAGTCCATGAGCCAGTGGGATATATGCAAAGACGCTTAAACATTTCAGGGCTGGTTTCTCTGTTCATATCCAATTCTGGTGCTTAGGAACAGGGACCTATGCTGATGCCCAAGGGCAAAAGGCCCCACTTCCTATAAGAAAGGGGGCAGGCCTGACCCTGATGCCCAGTAAGGGGCAACCCTAGGCTTTTTGTTTTTCTTGCTTTTATTCCTTTTTGTTGGCCTTGTGCTGGGTTTGTTTACAAAAGATGTATTTTGTTTAACCAAATATTAAAAATGGAAAACTCCATACATAAATTTCATCTGTCTGAATTCTATAATTATGTACATTAAAAAAAGTGAAGTTTAGTATGATGCTGCTTTGGAAGGAATTCACTACCACCATAAGTCATCTTTTAGAGACATACTGTGCTTTGGCCAGACCTCTCTCACTTCAAAAATCCAGACAAAATACTCACCAAGTAGGACTTGATTCAGAAAAAGCCCGAGACTTTTCGACTTAATTTGTAAAAACTAGGCTCCACAACATGAAGAACCCCTAACCCTAATCTTAAGTACAAGTTTTCTTTACTGACAAGTGACTGTTCTTCCCTGGTTAATCTTCCCTGGAAGATTATGTATTTTCACAGAGGACCTGGGAGGCCCCAGCACCAAGTACATAGCAGGATTCCGAGCCAGACTGACTAGATTTGAATTCAGATCAGGCATTTTCTATTCAGCCTGGAACAGATCACTTAACCTTTCTGGGACTGTTTTCCTCTTCTGTAAAATGAGAATACTATACCACCTCCTAAATTGTATAGTATAGTTCCAGCAACCCACATAAAAGACTTAGTATTGTTACTAGCACAATGCCAATAAAAATGTGTGTGAAATGGAAAAATTACAAGTTCAAAAATAGGGCTACAGTTGGATTCACTGTCAATAGCTCATGAGCAATTACAATCGATCCTCAAACAGCACAGGTTTGAACTCGGGGGGTCCACTTACACGTGAACTTTTTTCAAGAAATACTACAGTGCCACATGAACTGTGATTGGTTGGACAGAAGACACAGAGGGCCAATGATTTTTAAAAGAAATGCACAGGCATTTGACTGCAAGGAGCGTCAGTTCCCCTAACCCCGTGTTGTTCAAGGGTCAACTGTATTTTCAAAAAGAACAAACCCAAGGTGTTCTATTTGCAACCTTCCTATCCCCAGACTAGATAGCAATACTATGTCATTCTTTGCAAGTTCTTTATAATTATTGTTTTTTCTTTTTTTTCCCTTTGGCCGAGCTTCACAGCATGTGGGATCTTAGTTCCCCAAACAGGGATCGAACCCGTGTTGCCTGCAGTGGAAGCACAGAGTCCTAACTACTGGACCACCAGGGAATTCCCCCTTCATAACTGTATAATGTCATTGTAGACTGTGCAAGTACATGGACCCAATCCTTTGCTGGTGGATCTGAAACTGATTGCTTGAACTCAGAGAGGTTCTTGGTCAAAGACGAATTTTTTTTTAACCTCGGGGAATTTAACTAACGTGGGCCTAAGGGATCAGTCGGTATTAAACGGTGGTGCTGGCTCAGGTGAGAGAAAATGTGAGGGGCAGTTTTCTTTGTCCTAAAATGGTCTAAATAATTTCAAGGTATGTATGACGAGCACTTGGAAGACATTTTTGGTTGGAATCATTTTTTAATATTTAAATAGAAAAAGTGAGCACTGACTTTTTTTTCTCTTTTAGACACACACACGTCTAACAGCTGAAATATGCAGAGGAAATGAGCTCCTGCTCTGTCCTCCACAGTCCCCACGTTGTGGCTGAAGCTGTTGCCAGCCCTCTCTCCATCCTTTCCAACATACACAGAAATTCACAGCACAGCTGTAATGCATTCTATCTCGTGTGCACGTCCCTCCCCAACATCCCCATTCTTAAAAACCGAACAGTCGTTAATGGTCAGGGGCACATCCTTCCCGATGGCATCAGTTCCTACCCCACAATGGGATAGTGAGGAGATCTTCCGTCAGAAGTAATTTAGTGAAAGGGGTGGGATGGCCGGAGCTGGAGTAACCATCTGCATTGCTGCACTCTGGTATCAGAGTGAGGACAGAAGACATAAGTCAGGAGAGCATGGAGGGCACAGTTGCAAGTGAGGAGTCTCTCCATGAGACAATGTGGGGAGAATTCTCCCCACCAGGTTTAGATAAATCAATGTGCCAAAGTTCAAAAAAAAAAAAAAATAAAAAAAATCCAATAATCAGCAGTTCAAACACTATTGAATTTTCAAACTTCTCCCACCAAGACAGGCCAAACATAGCAGTAACAATCTAGATCTTTCCAGGAAGTGAAGGTAGAGCCCCGGGCATTCCTCCTGACAGCCCTGTATTAGGCCCTAGAAGTATCTGGAAAAGAAAAGGAGGGGTGTAAGGCATTGTACAGACCTAGGGCTCTCATTTTCATCATCATCATTTTCTCATTTTCATCCAGGCAGACAAGGTCTATGAAAACAATGCTGAGGGCACAGTCAGGCACCTAAAGGAGGGTGGGCCGGATCCCAATCCCTTCCGGCACACTAACCGCCCTACCTAGGTGCCGGAGGAATAAACAACTTATGTCTCCACTACTGGCAACAAGCCCAGGGTCTGGGCTCACCTGCCGCTGCTGCAGCTGCTGCTGCTGCTCCATCTGCAACTTCTCAGTCTCAAAGACGACCGGAAGAACCAGGATCATGAAGGAAGTGGTTCCAATCCACAAGGCTGCCCTGGAAAACCTGCGGAGGGAGCATGAGCACGACGGCAAGACAAAAATACACAGCTTCACCAAGACCTCACCAGTAACCGAATCTCTCACCCTGCACGTTCCGATGTTCTTGGTAGGCGTGTTCTACCCAACTCTTGCACTGTACTCCTACCGGAAACAGGAGGAGCAGTTCTAGAGACTGTACGTCTAGTGAGAGCAGTCTGAACATTCTCCCGAGTTCTCACAGTGCTACTTATACGTTAATTATATCACATAATCTGAGCTGATCCTCACAACGACCCTGCCTAATAAGAATCCTCACTTTACAGACGAGGAAACAGAGACCAAGAAAGGTTAAAGTAGCACCAGTCCAAGGTCACTCAGTGATCCAACCTAGGTCTGCGGCTCCCAAAGCCCGTGTTCATTCAGGGCACCTAGTCACCCCAGGCACACCCCAATGTCTTTGTCCTCGTCCCTTACCTGTACATTTTTTGAGCCACGAAGAGGGAGAGATCAAAAGTGGCTCCAGCCGCAGACCGGACTCTCTCGGGGAACATCTCCGTCAGACCCCACAGTCTCTCCGACAGAGTCTCATCTAACTGTGGTGGAGGAGGCGCGGATATGGGCCGAAGCAGCGGTAACCACCCCCCGACGCCGGGACATGCCGGTCTCCTGGAGCTAGGGCACCCCGGCCCCAGCGGAGCCTCACCCCGCCTCCCAGAGACGCCTCTGCTCGGACCTCTCCAGGCTCCGCGACGCGCCTTCGTCCCGCTCCTGCAGCACGCGGAGCCCTCACCCCCGCTCCCCGCCCGCACCCTCCCAGCCCCGCTCCGCCCCGCAGTGCCCAGTACCTCCTCGTCGTCTTCCTCCTCCAGCTCCTCCTCAGGCTTCTCGGCATCGCCTTTCGGAAGCAATTCGTCCGGGGACAGCGGCGCCCCAGGGCCCGCGGCGGCGGCGGCGGCGGCAGCCATGGCTGTGGGGAACACCGGAAGCGGAAGAGAAGAGGCGAGTGCGGCGCCGACGGCGGACAGAGCCGCCCTTCCGGGAGCCGGAGGCTGGAGAGCTGGGGAAGAGCGCTGCCCTCTGGTAGGCGGGCTTCACCGGCCTTCAGCAAAGGGCGGCCGGGAGGTCGGAGAACGTGAGACACGTGGGAAACTTATTAAAGCCCTGAATCGGGGTGCGTCAGCGGTTAATTCTGTTCTGTGGGCTTAGGGTGAGCCCGAAAATCTGCATTTTAACAAGCCTCCCAGAGATCGCACGTAGACAAACACGAATCCAGTTTCATTTCCCTGAGGGCTGTTTTTGGTAGGAGCAAAGTAGAGATTTGGAGATGTATTGGTCTTCTGGGAAAACGTCAAGTAAACAGTCCCAATGTACTAAAACAAAGGCGAGAGTGTACCAGGCACTGTTTGTACGTGCGAAGGGCGGGGGTGGGAGGGGCGTTCATTTAATCTTTGCATCAACCCACTGAGGTGCTACTATCCCCATGTTTTTTGGCCGGGCCATGCCGCATGCAGGAACTTAGTTCCCCAACCAGGGATGGAACCAGTGCCCACTGCATTGGGAGCCGCAAGTCTTAACCACTGGACTACCAGGGAAGTCCCTATTGTCCCCATTTTAGAAATGAGGAGATTGAGGCACAGTACAGGGTTGCTGCAAGTATTTCTGGAGGATGGATTTCAAGATGTGGGTTTGCTGGCCAAAACGTATGAACATTTAAAATTTTGGTAGGTATTAGCTAATTGCCCTCGGAATTATTATATCACATACTTTCACAATAGCAAATGAAAGTGTCCTTTTCTCCACACCCTCCCCAGCATTAGGTATTATCCATATTTTCATATGATGGATGAAAATGCTCCTTTTTATAATGTGTCCCACAAGTTATTAATACAAGGGTAGTTTGATATACCTCTTTAGACAACTGACCATGGAACCGAAGAATCTCAGGATTGGACAGTCCTGATCCTTATCTGATACTTGAGAGACTTGTCCTGTGTTTACATATTCTGGGGAGGGGGGGCGGGGTTTGCACTTTCTCCAGATAGAGTGTCCTCTTTATCTTTGGACAGGGCAGCTCTAACTACAAAAAGTCTTCATGTCACAAAAGGGTGCCTACTGTCTGATTCCACTAGGTAAAGTTAAAAGACAGGCAAAACCAATCTATGGTGAGAAAGGTAGTGATTCCCTTTGAGGAGGAAGAGGAGGTAGTATTTGGGAAGGCAGGAGAGTGTCTGGGGTGCTGGTAAAGTTCTATTTCTTGACGTGTGTGGTGTTTCCATGGGTATGCCCATTTTGGATAATTCGTCAGGCTGTACATTTATGAATTATACTTTTTGCATGTATTTAAATTTTTTTTTAAAGTAGGCTCGAAACCAAGCAGGATCCTGTGGGTCCCTCCCAGGTACAAATCCTTTCCCTGTCCCTGTTTCTTGTTTGTAGGAAATAGGCTTCTTTCAGCTTCCCTGACCTTCCCTGAGTTCCAAAGGTTAGGTTCAAACAGTTGCTAATCAGGGAAGGGAGGGAAAGCAGAAACAAAGGAGGAGCAGTCAAGAAACAGTGCAGCGATCCTGGTTCCTCCTCAAGAGATATACATAACCTTTGGGTTCTTCTGCAGGAACTAAGGTCCCCACGCAGGTGCAGGATGGTAAACTCAGGCTGAGAGCAAGATTCCTGCAGCACCGCCCTGTTACCTCACCACCAACCAATCAGAAGAAAGTCTGCACACAGTGGAAGATAAGGAAGACTCTGACCCTCTCCCCAAATGATTCTCCCAGAATCTTTGGAGTCCGCCTTCTCCCCAGGTTGCTGACCTCCTGAATAAAGCAAGCTTTTTTTCCAACCAGCACTTGTCTGAGTATTGGCTTTTGAGCAGTGAGCAGCTGAACCAGAGTTGGTAACAGGCTAGCTCTACATAAATGCAAGGGCAATCAGATGCCAATGGCTTTGGATTCTCTTATGGGCTCTTTTAAGAAATGCTGGAAGACCAACACTCTTCCTTTTTAAAAAATTATTTATTTATTTTAGCTGTGTCCCTGGGTCTTCGTTTCTGTGCGAGGGCTTTCTCTAGTTGTGGCAAGCGGGGGCCTCTCACTATCGCGGCCTCTCCTATTGTGGAGCACAGGCTCCGGACATGCAGGCTCAGTCGTTGTGGCTCATGGGCCTAGTTGCTCCGCAGCATGTGGGATCCTCCCAGACCAGGGCTCGAACCCGTGTCCCCTGCATTAGCAGGCAGATTCTCAACCACTGCACCACCAGGGAAGCCCCTAGACCAACACTCTTGAAGGGTAGAGAAGGCAGTCTTATGTGGAAACTACAGACATCATTGACTCTGATGAAATAAAATTCATATTTTATGGCAAGACAAGAAAAATTTAAACATAAAATCTTTCTTTGCCTGTTTGGGCCTCCTCCCTCCCCTTTAGTGTGTATTGTGCATCTGCATTAACCAGATCTCCTTAGGAGATAACCTTCCTTCTTGTAGAAGGCCATGATGACCCATGACCCACTACTCCCTGTGTACACATAGATCTGGATTGTGTAAACTGTCAATAATACGTCATTTAACATATAGCACTCTGTCTCAAAAACTTATATAACTGTGCTTTGACCTCTAACAGATGGAAAAATTCTCAGAGCTTTCTGAGAGGCTTTCTCCAGGTTATAATCCTCAATTTGGCTCAAATAAAAGCCTCCATTTCTTTCTTAGATTGACTGATTAATCTTTTTTTTTTTTCCATCGACAACGCCAAGTGGAAAGTCACAAATGCTAATATGAAGAAGTTTTTGGAAAACTTTGACCAATTAATTTTGTTTATATTCACAAACAGTACATGATTTTTCTAAAAATCCATGTTTAAGGCTGAAAGAGCTCTTTCAATGTTTATAAAATTGTCCAAGGATAAGAAAAAATATTGGGAATCATGCCATGCAGAGTATTCAAACCTTAGGAATAGATGTGATGATCCAGAAATTGGCCAAGTGAGAAAGACAGAGCCCTGTGGAATCAGACAGGTCAGGGGGTACTTAGTCAAAATCATAGAAAGTAGAATGGTGGTTGCCAGGGGCTGGCAGGGAGGAGGAGATGGGGAGTTCGTTTCCGATGGGTATACAACAGCTTCAGTTTTACAAGATGAGCAGTTATGGAGATGGATGGTGGTGATAGCTGTACAACAGAATGAATGTACTAACATTACTTAACTGTATGCTTTAAAATAGTTAAGATGGTAGATTTTATGTTATGCGTTTTGCCACATAAAACAATTTAATTAAAAGCAAAAAAAAAAAATAAGAGAACAAGAAAAACAGAACAACTATCCCCCAAAAAACCCCCCAAGGGGCGGGGAGGGGCACCTTCTTTCCCCAAATCCAAGAGATTCGAGGAGGAGCTGCTGGAGATGAAGAAGGGAAACCTTCACTGAAGGTTTCAAGGGGAAATGCTCAGTAGCAGCAAAGAAGACATGTGGTAAGACTGATGCCAGCCCAGGGGCCTCAATCGAGGCACAAGTAAGGGTGTCATCAAGTAAGTGCTAATGTCTCACGCTGGGCACAAAGCTGACTCTGCCATCTGGATGAGGACGAGGTGTTCTAGAAACACCCCCGCCCAGCTCCTCTCATTCCCTATCCCTCAAGTCCATGGTTTCCACCTTTCCTGTTCCTGTCTTGTCAGAATGGGAAACTGGTAATATAGTAGTTCCTAATTCAGTTTGGTTCGGTGTGGGGCGTAGATCCCTTTGAGAATTTTACAAAAGCTGTAAGTACTCCTCCCCAATAGAACATACACATTAGCCCGTATCTGTACAACTGTGCATACGGATCCCCTTGTTAAGCCTCAAACTCTTAAGATTTCCTCTGATTTTTTTTGCACTCACACCCGCAGAACTTTCAATCTCAGCTCTTCAGTAACAGTTCTTCCCTTATCTGACACTCAGCTCAGAAATTTACAAAACCATTGTAGTGATTACAAATGATGATGTCAAGTAGACAGCACTATTTACTTGGGTGCCCCCAGAAGTAGTAGATTTGGTCAATAAAGGCTTTGAGGAGGAAGTATTTTAGGCAGAACCTAATAGATGTATCGGACAAAAAGGTAAATCTTTAAAGTATGTAGCATTTTTTTTTCTTTTTTTTGGCCACACCGCCCAGCTTTCAGGATCTTAGCTCCCTGACCAGGGATTGAACCTGGGTCCTCAGCAGTGAAAGCGCAGTCCTAACCACTGGACCGCCAAGGAATTCCTGAAAGTACGTAGCATTTCAGTGGGGGGGGGGGAATAAACCAACAAAGGTTAGGGTGGTGACATATAGCTGATTCTTTTTCCTATTTCTTACACATTTTCATTAATAGGATTATCCTTGACTCAGATCACACACCACATCCATCAGCAAACTTACAATTTGATGGTGGGCTCCACCTTCAATTCCTGCCTAGAATTTGACCACTTCACCTCCTCTGCTGCCACTTCCCTGGTCCCAGCCTTGAGCTCTTCAGTCTGTTCTGACCACACAGAAGCCAGAGGGATCTTTTTTGTTAAGTCAATCATAGCATTCCTCTGCTGAAACTCACCAACGGCTTGCTTCCCTCATCACCCCAAATACAAGTCCTCCTTCACTGCAGAGCTGTCCCACATGGCTGCAGCCCCCTCAGGTGCCAGTGGTGGTACAGAGGGGACCAGGACCCATGTCACTATGACAACCAAACGTGCCCCTCCTGACTCCAAAGGTTTCAGTCCTGGCCCCTTCCCTCCCAGCTGTATCACCTTGCTGGGCTTGTTTCTTCATCTAAAAGCAGGGGATGACGATAACAAACTTGAAAAATTCTCATGAGAATTAGAAATATAGCCCTTCTTTGGTTTATGTCCCAATAAACCCATCATAAGTTGAAAATATAAGTCGAAAATGCATGTAATACCCCTAAGCTACCAGACATCGTAGCTTAGCCAACTTACATGTGCTCAGAACACTTACATTAGCCTACAGGCGGGCAAAATCATCTAACACAAAGCCTATTTTACAAAAAGTGTCGAATATCTCATGTAATTTTTTGGATACTGTACTGAAATGAAAATGAAAAACAGAGTGGTTTTAAGTGTGTTGATTGTTCATCCTCGTGACTGCGTGCTGATGGGGAGCTGCAGCTCACTGCCGCTGCCTCGCATCACGAGCATCGTATTGCATTTTGCTGGCCCGGAAAACTACCAAAATTCGAAGTACAGTTTATACTAAATGCGTGTCACTTTTGTACCACCATAAAGTTGAAAAATTTTAAGTTGAACCGTCATAAGTCGGGGGACTGTCTACAGATGTCTGGTGTCCAGGGTGCAGGGTAAATGGTTGCTAATGATACTGGTCTAGGAATGAGCAAACTCAATTGCGCCTATTATCTGCACCTGAAGATTTACACCCTCATATAACATCCTTTTCCAATGTCTTCTGAATTAGTCTCTCCTATGATCGGGAAGGAAGGTTATGGGCTGGGGCTACAGATCATGCTTCTCTATCCCTCCCCCATGGAGCTGGCCCTGAGGGTGGCCTACACACAGCAGCCTCCATTGGAGGCAGCCCCCCACACAGCTCCCCTCTTTCAATGTGGGCCGGGAATCAGCAGGCTCCCACACTTCCGCTGTCTGATCCTAGACCAGTTTCTGAACCTCCTGGGCTTTGCTTCCTTATCTGCCAATAGGCACGCTGACTGAGAGGCCTTGCTCCACAGGGCTGAGCTGAGGAGGAAATGAGAGTGTGAGCAACATCCTGAGCCCCGTCCAGGTGGGAAACAGGTGTCCTGACCTTAGCAGCCATCCCTGGGCTAAAGCCTGGGGCTCTGTGTCCCCACCCTCAGTGGCTTCCCCCTTGACTTTGGAAGCTCGACTCCCTCTTACTGCGTTTGGCTGGCTCCCTCGCCCAGCCAGAGAAGCCCAGCTCACTCGAAGACACAGATTCCCACTCCAGGAAACCAGGCCCCCATCCCAACCACTCGGCCCCTGCCTGGTCCAGGCTAGTTCCAACACCCCGAAAGAGGAAGGCAGGGGAATCTGAGCAGAGAGACTGCTCTGTTCCAGACCAGCCTCTGCCAACGCCCAGGAGGCTGGAACGCTTCTTCTGCAACGGTGACCTTCCCCCACAACCTAAAAGTCCTGTCTTTGGATGGAGCATCGGAAGCTTAGAACCCAGCCTCCATTACTTACTTCTTCAAGAACTGATGTTTCTCTTCTCAGTCACTTTGGCCAGAGAGAGATTATAGAACATCATTTAATTTAAAAAAGTAGGGTAGACAGGAAAGTAGCACAAAAATATAGCGTTGCCGTGGGAGGGCGGTGCTTATGCTGAGGAGCTGACGCCAGAGGAGGCTGTGGATTTGGGGAACAAGTATTCTCTAAAGGAGGGAGAGAGTGGCCTGAAGGGCAGAGAACCAGGAGACCTTATCTGAGACCCCTAACAACAAGGCTCTGTACCCTGATGCCACACCACACACAACAGTGTGAGGGGATGATACGACGAACTCCGTCCGCTAAGCGTGAGCCTGGGCCACGGGCATTGGTGTGTTAAGTAACTGGAGGACACCAAAGGCCTCCGTCACCCCAGACCTCCCTGAGGAGGCCTCGCTGTGCTGTGAAGCACAGGACTGGCCTGGAATCCACTACGTTGTCACCTTCCTACTGCCAACCTAAGGGGGCCAGTGCCTTTTGGCCCCATTATATGATACTCTCTCCCAGGACCTAATCCACTATTTGGTTAAAAATTCCCTCAGCCACATCCTCCTCTTCTGACGAAGGGTTTCCCCGTGTGCGCCTGACGGGTGGCTTTGGGGTCTTCATTTTCTCCGCCGGCTGACACTCTTCAGTTCATCCAGCTCCTTCTCCATTAAGTGGGATTCAGCAGTGGTCTCAGAGAGCTGGAAGCAGAGCAGCAAACCGTTATAAAGAAGGACGTTTCTGGGCTACGTTTCAGGTTGGCAAGGCCAGCCCTGCGCGCTGGGAGAAGCCCCACGGCATTTCCCTTAACGCTGCCGGCAGCCTCCACGACGGGAAGCCCTTGGTAACTGGGCAGAAAGTAACCTCCTGATGACCCAGGGCCTCAAGCACTTGAAGAACATTTACCATCCATTCTATCAACATTTTTGATCACCTAGGGTTGCGTGGCACTCACTGCGCGAAGGACACCAGGTTTCAGGGGATGAAAAACGCAAATATTGGCGATTTTAAGGTTAAAGGACTAAGGTCTAAGTTGCTTCTGAGTCGTGGCTCACATAAAAACGTTTAAAAAAGCATGCCACTTCCCGCATCAGAATCCTTCAGTGGTCTTTAGAGGAGAGGGTGGAAGACACTCCAGGCAGGGACAGAGAGACACAAACTCCAGAGGTCAGCTTACTGTGAAACAGAGGAGCCGCACTTCCTGAGCAAGACGCTATTCCAAGAGCTTTGCTTATATTATTAACTCACTAATGAGGTAGATCCTACTAGCGTGCCCATTTTATTGCTGAAGATACTACGTTTCTTACAGATACAGAGCAGTTAAGTAACTTGCCTGAAGTCACACAGCCAGTGGCGGAGCTGGGCCAGGGACCTGGGAATTTTAGCTCTAGACACCTGCTCTTAACCACTGCAATGTGTGCTCTGCTGCCTCTCAACCAACCGTCACACACAGCCCTAGGCTCAAAAGGTTGTTGGGCTTTTAAAAGCCACAGGAAGCCGATGCCAACGCAGAGAGTGCCCGTCGGCAGGTCTGCGCGGGGCACTGACTAATGGCTGCGTGGTGCAGGACCTCGCCCAGCCCGGAGCAGGCTGTCCTTCTTCCTGAATGCCTTCATCCCAGCCTCCATTCCCACCTTTATCTTTCCACATTCAGCTCAAATATCCCTTCCCCTGCAACATCCTCCCGACTGGACAGAATGAATCTCTCTCTCCCATGTGCGGATACCAGGCCGTGGAAAGACTTTAATCACTGCCCTTACCATGAGGCACTGTCACTATGTTTACTGTCTATCTCCCCACTTGACTGGGAGCCCTGGAGGGTGGGGACTGTGTCTGATTTGGTTTTGTATCTTTGGATTCACAGCAACGTACCTGAGCAAATTGGCACTCGAGAGGTGTGGGCTGGCTGAAAGGACTCGCAGTGGACCTGCCTAAAGAAAGCCAAGGCTTCCCTCCCCACCACCCTCCTCACCATGTCCAGCAGGATGTCCACCTTCAGCCGCAAGAGATTGTTCTCTTCCTCCAGCTGCTGGTTCCGCCTCCGGAGGCGCTGGGCCTCCCTCCGGTCCACACCTCCACTAACCCCTGTCTCTGGTGGAAGGACACAGGCAGCAGTCACAAGGCGGGGGTTCCTTCCACCATCTTGCTGGGCAAAATGGTAGGAAATGCAGCCCACCTGCTATCCACTGGCCGTTTTCAAACTTCAGGCTCTGCCCGGCCAGGTTCATGGTGGGCGTTCCATAGTCAAGGCCCAGCTCCACCTCCCGGGTCGACCGATCCAACTGTGGGGGAGACGCGCATGTTGGCTTCAGGAGGCCAGAGCACAGGGGCTCGAGGCCCAGCACCTCTTCTGCTAACGGTGTGATCCCAACAAAGCATTTCTTCTCTATACTCATCACCCAGCACATTTAGTGATTGTTTTTAAGTCAGAAAATTAAATAAGGTACCCCCAAAACTTTCAAACTGTAAGAGAGAAGAAACGTACAGCTTTATACCATAGATATTTTCTGGAAAAGCTATATATGCTGAAATTTGTAAACTGAATTATTTCGTATGTACAGGGCACTTAGCAGTTTAAGAAATCCTACTGTAAATTTTGAATAAAGTGAAAAATTCTTTTTAAATGTAATAAGCCCGAGCTATCATTTGTTTCTTATGGAGCTACATATGTCCTGGGAAAGGCATAAAATGCTAAGGCCCAAGGAGTAGTAGGAGCTGTTCTTTAATGTGTTTTTCAGTGTTTCTACAGCTCACTGAGCGCCCACCCTGCACCAGGACTGGTACTGGATATACAGAAATGAATGCAACCCCTCTGCCCTCAAGGAGCTCAGAAACTGTCTTTGGAGCTGTGATATATCCTTCTGAACGCTCTTAATGATAGCAAAACATCATCCTTTGAGAATAAATTTGATTCTTAGACATGAGTAAAACTGATTCCTGGACAAGTCTTGGGAGTCAAGTGAAGTCAAATTGGATAACATCATTTGGTCCCCAAAATGATAATGAGGACGACTACCTTTTAAGGTTCTTCAACAAGCTCTGACAATAATTCCCAAAAAGGAGTTTAAAAATGTTTTCAGCAATAACAATAATATGAATTAAAAGGATGCCCTCCCACGAGGATACCTCTGGAGGACCACACTTTCCATAAGAAACCAGGCTCGATGCTCCAGTCACGCTGCACACCAGGTCGAGCCCCATGCTGACACTCACATTATGCAGGTTGGAGAGAGACGCAGACTTCCGAGGGGGCGTCTTCTTCGGACTGAATGTACTCCCAAAGAGAGGCATCTTTGGCCTGATGAAGGAAAGGTCAATGCTCTCTTCTCCTAGGGGCAGAAAAAGTCAGGGATACAAAGAGTTGGGTCAGTGACCTTGCGCCCCTGTCCCGGAATCATGAAAACACACATCTCATCACGTGGCCATTAACAATCCTGGGTAACAATCCTCAGCTCCCATGTGCTGAGTGCTCACTACGTGCTAGGCATAGTGCCAAAACCTTGGCAATATCTCAGGCCTCACAGCCACTCTTTGTTTAGTTCCTCTTCCTATACCTATTTGACAGATGAGGTTTAGGAAGACTAAGGTCCTAAGTGTGAGTATTAGGATGCAGGTCTGTGTGGCTCTACAGTTCATGTTAACCACAGGCAAGTGCCTAACTGGCCTGTCTTAAGTTTTGTCACAAATTGGCATTACCAGATTTACACTCTAGGGCAAGGCATGTGATCCTACTTATTCCTGAACACTCGTAAGACTCACAGCTAGGGCAACAGCTTCTATATATACTCCATTTTCAAGAAATGAAGCCTTTCCTGGGACTTGCCTTTTTCCTTTTTTTTTTTTTTTTTTTTTGCGGTACGCGGGCCTCTCACTGTCGTGGCCTCTCCCCTTGCGGGGCACAGGCTCTGGACGCGCAGGCTCAGCAGCCATGGCTCACGGGCCCAGCCGCTCCGCGGCATGTGGGATCTTTCCGGACCGGGGCACGAACCCATGTCCCCTGCATCGGCAGGCGGACTCCCAACCACTGCGCCACCAGGGAAGCCCCTTTTTGCTTTTTTATTGGTTTCTTTTTAAGTTTTTTTCATTTTTCTTAAAATTTTATTTATTTATTTTTGGCTGCATTGGGTCTTCGTTGCTGAGCGCGGGCTTTCTCTAGTTGCAGCGAGAGGGGACTACTCTTTGTTGTGGTGCACGGGCTTCTCATTGTAGTGGCTTCTCTTGTTGTGAAGCACAGGCTCTAGGTGCATGGGCTTCAGTAGCTGTGGCACAAGGGCTCAGCAGCTGTGGCTCACGGGCTCTAGAAAGCAGGCTCAGTAGTTGCGGTGCACGGGCTTAGTTGCTCTGCGGCATGTTAGGATCTTCCAGGACCAGGGCTTGAACCTGTGTCCCGTGCATTAGCAGGCAGATTCTTAACCACTGCGCCACCAGGGAAGTCCTATTGGTTCTTTTTTGATTAAAGAAGTTCTTAATTTTAATGGGATCTAACTTATCAAAATGTTTTTTTAATGATTAGTGTTTTTGTGTCCTATTTAAGAAATTTTTGCCTAAGGTCACGATATTTTCATATATTAACTTTTGGAAATTTTCTTCTTGCAGCTTTCACATTTAGGACTACGACTCATCTGCAATTAACTTTTGTATGTGGTGTAGAGCAGGGTCACGGTTCATTTCTTCCCATGTATTACCCAATTTTAATGTGTAGCTTAAAAAGATTCCCTCGGGCTTCCCTGATGGCGCAGTGGTTGAGTGTCTGCCTGCCGATGCAGGGGACACAGGTTCATGCCCTGGTCCAGGAAGATCCCACGTGCCGTGGAGCGGCTGGGCCCGTGAGCCATGGACGCTAAGCCTGTGCGTCTGGAGCCTGTGCTCCACAGAGGGAGAGGCCACAACAGTGAGAGGCCCGTGTACTAAAAAAAAAAAAAAAAAAGATTCCCTCTAAAAAACTGTAGACTGATGATAACAATAATGAAAGCACAGGTGAGCAAAAAGAAAGAACCACAGCTCTCACTTTTCCTACTCTTAGGTATAAAAATCTTCCTTCACCACATTATGAGATAGAAATAGTAATGAGTTTATCATATCTGACAGGAAGTTGGCCAAAAAAAGAGGGAATTTCTCAAGACTATCTGAAAAAAGATTTTATGTCAACTATCATTAAACGATAACTCAAAGTAGGAATTCATCACAATTAGCAAGACATATATTCAATGAGAAAATGAAGAAGAAATTCTGTGCTGTTTTCAGTGATGCAGAAATTAACATCACTAAAATTAATGATAAAAGTTTAGAAGCTTCTTTGGAAGCTTTACAATACATATATACACTGTACAGAAATATATGCATAAACGACTTATAAATAAATAAATAAGACATTTACAGGTGTGTGCTCATGAGAGTTTTACTAGTGTGTGTTTCTGATTAAAAACAGTGGTAGAGGGCTTCCCTGGTGGTGCAGTGGTTGAGAGTCCGCCTGCCGATGCAGGGGACACAGGTTTGTGCCCCGTTCTGGGAAGATATCACATGCTGCGGAGCGGCTGGGCCCATGAGACATGGCCGCTGAGCCTGCGAGTCCGCAAAAAACAAACAAACAAACAAAGAAAACAGTGGTAGAGAGCCCTGAACCAAGATGGCGGAGTAGAAAGACGTGCTCTCACTCCCTCTTGCAAGAACACCAGAATCACAACTAGCTGCTGGACAATCACTGACAGGAAGACACTAGAACTCACCAAAAAAGATACCCCACATCCAAAGATAAAGGAGAAGCCACAATGAGACGGTAGGAGGGGCGCAATCACAGTAAAATCAAATCCCATAACTGCTGCGTGGGTGACTCACAGACTGGAGAACACTTATACCACAGAAGTCCACCCGCTGGAGTGAAGGTTCTGAGCCCCACGTCAGGCTTCCCAACCTGGGGGTCCGGCAACGGGAGGAGGAATTCCTAGAGAATCAGACTTTGAAGGTTACTGGGATTTGAATGCAGGACTTCAACAGGACTGGGGGAAACAGAGACTCCACCCTTGGAGGGCACACACAAAGTAGTGTGCGCATCGGGACCCAGGGGAAGGAGCAGTGACCCCAGGGGAGACTGAAACAGACCTACCTGCTAGTGTTGGAGGGTCTCCTGCAGAGGCAGGGGTGGCTGTGGCTCACCGTGGGGACAAGGACAGTGGCAGCGGAAGTTCTGGGTAGTAATCCTTGGCGTGAGCCCTCCCAGAGTCCACCATTAGCCCCACCAAAGAACCCAGGTAGGCTCCAGTGTTGGGTTGCCTCCGGCCAAACAATCAACAGGGAGGGAACCCAGCCCCACCCATCAGCAGTCAATTGGATTAAAGTTTTGCTGAGCTCTGCCCACCAGAGCAACAGTCAGCTCTACCCACCACCAGTCTCTCCCATCAGGAAACTTGCACAAGCCTCTTAGATAGCCTCATCCACCAGAGGGCAGACAGCAGAGGCAAGAACTACAGGCCTGCAGCCTGTGGAACAAAAAACATATTCACAGATAGACAGACAAGATGAAAAGACAGAGGACTATGTACCAGATGAAGGAACAAGATAAAACCCCAGAAAAACAACTAAATGAAGTGGAGATAGGCAACCTTCCAGAAAAAGAATTCAGAATAACGATAGTGAAGATGATCCAGGACCTCGGAAAAAGAATGGAGGCAAAGATCGAGAAGATGCAAGAAATGTTTAACAATGACCTAGAAGAATTAAAGAACAAACAAACAGAGATGAACAATACAATAACTGAAAGGAAAACTACACTAGAAGGAATCAACAGCAGAATAACTGAAGCAGAAGAACAGATAACATTCTGGAAGACAGAATGGTGGAATCCACTGCTGCGGAAGAGAATAAAAAAAAAAGAATGAAAAGAAATCAAGACAGCCTAAGAGACCTCTGGGACAACACTAAATGCAACAACACTCGTGTTGTAGGGGTCCCAGAAGGAGAAGAGAGAGAGAAAGGACCAGAGAAAATATTTGAAGAGATTATAGTCGAAAACTTCCCTAACATGGGAAAGGAAATAGCCACCCAAGTCCAGGAAGCGCAGAGAGTCCCATACAGGATAAACCCAAGGAGAAACACGCCGAGACACATAGTAATCAAACTGGCAAAAATTAAAGACAAAGAAAAACTTACTGAAAGCAGCAAGAGAAAAATGACAAATAACATACAAGGGAACTCCCATCAGGTTAACAGCTGATTTCTCAGCAGAAACTCTACAAGCCAGAAGGGAGTGGCATGATATACTTAAAGTGATGAAAGGGAAGAACCTACAGCAAAGATTACTCTACCCGGCAAGGATCTCAATCAGATGCCATGGAGAAATCAAAAGCTTTACAGACAAGCAGAAGCTAAGAGAATTCAGCACCACCAAACCAGCTCTACAACAAATGCTAAAGGAACTTCTCTAAGTGGGAAACACAAGAGAGGAAAAAGGACCTACAAAAACAAACCCAAAACAATTAAGAAAATGGTCATAGGAAGATACATATCAATAATTACCTTAAACGTGAATGGATTAAATGCTCCAACCAAAAGACACAGGCTTGCTGAATGGGTACAAAAACAAGACCCATCTATATGCAGTCTACAAGAGACCCACTTCAGACCTAGGGACACATACAGACTGAAAGTGAGGGGAAGGAAAAAGATATCCCATGCAAATGGAAATCAAAAGAAAGCTGGAGTAGCAATACTCATATCAGATAAAATAGACTTTAAAATAAAGAATGTTACAAGAGACAAGGAAGGACACTACATAATGATCAAGGGATCAATCCAAGAAGAAGATAAAACAATTATAAATACATATGCACCCAACATAGGAGCACCTCAATACATAAGGCAACTGCTAACAGCCATAAAAGAGGAAATTGACAGTAACACAATAATAGTGGGGGACTTCAACACCTCACTGACCCCAATGGACAGATCATCCAAAATGAAAATAAATAAGGAAACAGAAGCTTTAAATGACACAATAGACCAGTTAGATGTAATTGATATTTATATGATATTCCATACAAAAACAGCAGTTTACACTTTCTTCTCAAGTGCACACGGAACATTCTCCAGGATAGATCACATCTTGGGTCACAAATCAAGCCTCAGTAAATTTAAGAAAATTGAAATCATATCAAGCATCTTTTCTGACCACAGCGCTATGAGATTAGAAATGAATTACAGGGAAAAAACTGTAAGAAACACAAACACATGGAGGCTAAACAATACATTACTAAATAACCAAGAGATCACTGAAGAAATCAAAGAGGAAATCAAAAAATACCTAGAGACAAATGACAATGAAAACACGATGATCCAAAACCTATGGGATGCAGCAAAAGCAGTTCTAAGAGGGAAGTTTATAGCTATACAAGCCTACCTCAAGAAACAAGAAAAATCTCAAATAAACAATCTAACCTTACACCTAAAGGAACTAAAGAAGAACAAACAAAACCCAAAGTTAGCAGGAGGAAAGAAATCATAAAGATCAGAGCAGAAATAAATGAAATAGAAACAAAGAAAACAATAGCAAAGATCAATAAAACTAAAAGCTGTTTCTTTGAGAAGATAAACAAAGTTGATAAACCATTAGCCAGACTCATCAAGAAAAACAGGGAGAGGACTCAAATCAATAGAATTAGAAATGAAAAAGGAGAAGTTACAACAGACACCACAGAAATACAAAGCACCCTAAGAGACTACTATAAGCAACTCTATGCCAATAAAATGGACCATCTGGAAGAAATGGACAAATTCTTAGAAAGGTATAACCTTCCAAGACTGAACCAGGAAGAAATAGAAAATATGAACAGACCAATCACAAGTAATGAAATTGAAACTGTGTTTAAAAATCTTTCAACGAACAAAAGTCCAGGACCAGATGGCTTCACAGGTGAATTCTAGCAAACATTTAGAGAAGAGCTAACACCCATCCTTCTCAAACTCTTTCAGAAAACTGCAGAGGAAGGAACACTCCCAAACTCATTCTATGAGGCCACCATCACCCTGATACCAAAACCAGACAAAGATGTCACAAAAAAAGAAAACTACACGCAAATATCACTGATGAACACAGATGCAAAAATCCTCAACAAAATACTAGCAAACAGAATCCAACAACACATTAAAACGATCATACACCATGATCAAGTGAGATTTATCCCAGGAATGCAAGGGTTCTTCAATATACGCAAATCAATCAATGTGATACACCATGTTAACAAACTGAAGAATAAAACCCATATGATCATCTCAACAGATGCAGAAAAAGCTTTTGACAAAATTCAACACCGACTTATGAAAAAAACTCTCCAGAAAGTGGGCATAGAGGGAACCTACCTCAACATAATAAAGGCCATATACGACAAACCCACAGCAAACATCATTCTCAATGGTGAAAAACTGAAAGCATTTCCTCTAAGATCAGGAAGGAGACAAGGATGTCCACTGTCACCACTATTATTCAACATAGTTTTGGAAGTCCTAGCCACGGCAATCAGAGAAGAAAAAGAAATAAAAGGAATACAAACTGGAAAAGAAGAAGTAAAACTGGCACTGTTTGTAGAGAACATGATACTATGCATAGAGAATCCTAAAGATGCCACCAGAAAACTACTAGAGCTAATCAATGAATTTGGTAAAGTTGCAGTTTACAAAATTAATGCACAGAAATCTCTTGCATTCCTATATACACTAATGATGAAAAATCTGAAAGAGAAATTAAGGAAACACTCCCATTACCACTGCAACAACAAGAATAAAATACCTAGGAATAAACCTACCTAGGGAGACAAAAGAGCTGTATGCAGAAAACTACGAGACACTGATGAAAGAAATTAAAGATGATACCAACAGATGGAGAGATATACCATGTTCTTGAATTGGAAGAATCAATATTGTGAAAATGACTATACCACCCAAAGAAATCTACAGATTCAATGCAATCCCTATCAAATTACCAATGGCATTTTTTATGGAACTCGAACAAAAAAATCTTAAAATTTGTATGGAGACACAAAAGACCCCGAATAGCCAAAGCACTCTTGAGGAAAAAAAACGGAGCTGGAGGAATCAGACTCCCTGACTTCAGACTATACTACAAAGCTACACTAATCAAGACAATATGGTACTGGCACAAAAACAGAAACAGCTCAATAGAACAAGATAGAAAGCCCAGAGATAACCCCACACACGTATGGTCAACTAATCTATGACAAAGGAGGCAAGGATATACAATGGAGAAAAGACAGTGTCTTCAATAAGTGGTGCTGGGAAAACTAGACAGCTATATGTAAAAGAATGAAATTAGAACACTCCCTAACACCATACACAAAAATAAACTCAAAATGGATTAGAGACCTAAATGTTAAGACCGGACACTATAACACTCTTAGAGGAAAACGTAGGAAGAATACTCTTTGACATAAATCACAGCAAGATCTTATTTGATCCACATCCTAGAGTAATGGAAATAAAAACAAAAATAAACAAATGGGACCTAATGAAACTTCAAAGCTTTTGCACAGCAAAGGAGACCATAAACAAGACAAAAAGACAACCCTCAGAATGGGAGGAAATATTTGCAAACAAATCAACGGACACAGGATTAATCTCCAAAATATATAAACAGCTCATGCAGCTCAATATTAAAGAAACAAACAACCCAATCCAAAAATGGGCAGAAGACCTAAATAGACAATTCTCCAAAGAAGACATACAGATGGCCAAGAAGCACATGAAAATCTGCTCAACATCACTAATTATTAGAGAAATGCAAATCAAAACTACAATGAGGGTATCACCTCACAGCAGTTAGAATGGGCATCATCAGAAAATCTACAAACAACAAATGCTGGAGAGGGTGTGGAGAAAAGGGAACCCTCTTGCACTGTCGGTGGGAATGTAAATTGATACAGCCACTATGGAGAACAGTATGGAGGTTCCTTAAAAAACTAAAAATAGAATTACGATATGATCCAGCGATCCCACTACTGGGCATATACCCAGAGAAAACCATAATTCAAAAAGACACACGCAGTCCAATGTTCATTGCAGCACTATTTACAATAGCCAGGTCATGAAAGCAACCTAAATGCCCATCAAGAGACGAATGGATAAAGAAGATGTGGTACATATATACAATGGAATATTACTCAGCCATAAAAAGGAACAAAATTAGGTCATTTTTTGAGACATGGATTGATCTAGAGGCTGTCATACAGAGTGAAGTAAGTCAGAGAGAGAAAAACAAATATCGTATATTAACGCATATATCTGGAACCTAGAAAAATGGTACAGATGAACTGGTTTGCAGGGCAGAAATTGAGACACAGATGTAGAGAATAAATGTATGGACACCAAGGGGGGAAAGTGGCGGGGATGGTGGTGGTGGTGTGATGAATTGGCCGATTGGGATTGACATGTATACACTGATGTGTATAAAATGGATGACTAATAAGAACCTGCTGTATAGAAAAAATAAATTAAATAAAATTCCAAAAAAAAAAACCCAACAACAAATAGCGGTAGGCCCACAACCTGGAAGATGGCATTTGACACTTTAGGACTTGGACAAACCAGAATCATTCCAGCTTGGTGGTGGACAGGACATCACTGAGGACTAAGATGATGAGGGAATTTGAAGCTATGCTATCATATCATCCAAAACACAGTGGAAGCCCCTGGCATTGCTTCTGCTGGAGAAAAGAAAAAGGGTGGAAGAGGGAAGACAATTAATCTTATGTCTACAGAGAGCGGAACAGGAATGAAATGGGAATATCCAGGAAGAAAGATTTTTAACTCAAAAAAGAAAAGGTCACAACAAAAACTAACTAATATCACTTCCTGCTTATCCACTAGGGTTTGGACACAATGCTAGCACACTTCATATATTTCTTTTATTCCCTGTAGTAACCCCATAAGGTAATTTTCCTGTCCATATCAGAGATGAGAAAACTAGGGCTCGGAGAAGTTATCCAATTTTCCCAAGGTCCACAGCCATGGTCAGCTGGCTAAAGATGTATACCAAATTATGCTTGTATTAATAACTTGTGGGGGAGACTTCCCTGGTGGCACACTGGTTAAGAATCCTCCTGCCAGTGCAGGGCACATGGGTTCGATCCCTGGTCCAGGAAGATCCCACATGCCGCGCAGCAACGAAGCCCATGCACCACAACTACTGAGCCTGCACTCTACAGCCCACGAGCCACAACTACTGAGCCCGCGTGCTGCAACTACTGAAGCCCGTGTGCCTACAGCCCATGCTCCGCAACAAGAGAGGCCACCACAATAAGAAGCCCACGCACCGCAACAAAGAGTAGCCTCCACTTGCCGCAACAAGAGAAAGCACACGCGCAGCAATGAAGACCCAATGCAGCGATAAATAAATAAATAAATGTATTAAATAAATAAATAAAATTTAAAAATAAAAAAAAAATTTTAAAAATTCAAAAAATTTTTTTAAATTAAAAATTTTTTAATTAAAAAAATCAAAAGAAAAATTTAAAAAACCTTGTGGGGTACATCATAAAAGGAAGCATTTTCATCCATCACATTGGCAAAATTTAAGAGCTCAATAATATCCAATGCTGGTGAGGGTATGGAGAAAAAGATACTTTCATTTACTCTTCGTGGAAACATAAGATGCTATCATTTTTTCAATTAGGCAAAAGCTAGCAAAGTTTTTCATGTGCCCACGCTTCTAAAAACTCTCCTCCAGAAAGAATTGGACATGTTCACACAAATGTTCTCTATTGTTGATAACAGCGAAAAATAAGAAACAATTCAAAATGCTTACTAATGGTTGGTGTAGCCAAATATATCGTGGCACATTCTTATAAGGGAGTCCTAGACGTCAAGTAAAGACAGAGAGACAGCTGTACATGGACCACTCTAACATTAAGAAAGCAAGCGAGGGACTTCCCTGGTGGTGCAGTGGTTAATAATCTGCTTGCCAATGCAGGGGATATGGGTTCGAGCCCTGTTCCGGGAAGATCCCACATGCCGCAGAGCAACTAAGCCCGTGCACCACAACTGCTGAGGCTGCGCTCCAGAGCCCAAGAGCCACAACTACTGAGCCCACATGCCTAGAGCCTGTGCTCCGCAACAAGAGAAGCCACGAGAAGCGGCTTGAGAAGTCCAAAGAGAAGTCCGCGCACCGCAGCAAAGAGTAGCCTCTGCTCTCTGCAACCAGAGAAAGCCTGCCCACAGCAACGAAGACCAAACGCAGCCAAAAGTTAATTAATTAATTAATTTTTTTAAAAAAAGCAAGCGACAGAACAATGTGTATACTATAATCTCACATAAGACAAAAAGAAAATAAAAAGTGAGCATATAGGTCGCTAAATAAAAAAGATTTGGAGGGATAAACTGCACACAGTGGTTAAATCTGGGAAAGGAAGTAGGATGGCTGACTCAACTGAATTTGCCATTTTTAAAAACTTTTAATTTTAATTCTAATTTTTTTTGGCCGAGTCGCTCAGCTTGCAGGATCTTAACTCCCCAGCTAGGGATGGAACCTGGGCCCCTGGCAGTGAGAGCACCGAGTCCTAACCACTGGACCACCAGGGAATTCCCTGAATTTGCCATTTTAAAGGTAAAAAAAAAGCCAAATAGTGGCAATTTCATGTTACAATATAAAGTTATATTAAAGAAATATATTTCTGGATTTACTGAATTATTACAATGATAATAATATATCCATATATTACTTATGAAAAAACAAATGAACAAAAAAACCAAATAAAAAGCAGTCCCTGCTCCTCCAAGATCTGGAGACCAATTGAAGAAGGAAAAATAAGCCAAGTTGTTCTTGCAAAGCCCACAGTGGTGCTAAGAGCACTAAGCCTGAGCATATCACCTGGACACAACAGACCAAGTTCTAGGCCTGGCTCTGCCCCTCAGTTGCCGGCTAAACCCGGCCAAGTTACTTTATTCCTCCAGGTTTTAACAGGGCACTTCACGCATGACCTCACTAATTCTCACAACACTTAAGCCAAGCACCGTCACCAATATATTACAGATGAGGAAAAGGAAGGGTCTGGACTAGCTTTTAAGTCAGATCCACTCATCCACAAACAGCTCTGGCTGAGATCCTGGGATCCTAGAACATTAGTATGGACCAAGAGGTCCCAGCTGTACCCTTGGCCCAAGGAAGCCTTCTTTCCAGTGGAACTCCCTGGAGAGAAAGGGCTCAGCACAAAGGAGAGCTTCTAGGTTCCAACCATTGCTCTGCTTCTCAACCCCAGTGGGACCCTGCAACTTACCTTCCCTGGGCCCCAGGCATAACAATAGTACCCACTCACAGACTGTTTTTTGTGCTTTAGTGTTTTTAAAAAACTGTCGCACTTGATGCCCACAAACAACCCTGGCAGAAGTAGATCAAGTAGTTTGTTCCTGTCTACAGATCAGAAAACTGAGGCTTAGAGAAGTTAAGTAACTTGTTCCCAGTCACGCCGTGGGAAGGCGGTGGAATTGGGCTTCAAGTAAGGTCTACTCGTCTGCGCTGATGATAATAATCACTTCAACACTGTGCAACGCTTTACAGCTTGCAATGGGCGATAAAATACATTATCTTATTTTAATCTAACAAGAAGGTGAGGAAGCAGTCTCTGGCTTTCATCGGATTCTCGAAGAGTTCAGAGCCAACCAAGTATAAACCACGCAGGTACACGCCCACCCAGGGCTGTAAACTAACGGTAGCGAACAAACGTTCGTTCGCAAGCTCTCGTTAATCACCTTCACAGCTGACTTATGAGAGGAATCACCACCCCAATTTACAAAGGAGGAAACACACTTGGATAAAGGAGGTGACGGGCCTGCGGTAAACCCAGCCCCCGTCCCCTGCTCCGCGCCCTCCGGCTGCCCCAGCTGCGGAGAGGCCCTGGGTCCCCTGGGGAACGCCCGGGGATCCCAACCCTCCTCAGGCCCTCGGGCGACGCCGGGCTCGGAGACGTACCTGACGTGCCCCAGAAGCTGAGGTTCCAAGAGAACCCCCCCCCGACCTCCCGCTAGGTACCCAGCAGAGGCCACGTCCCCCGCCGCGACCTAGACCGCGAGCGCCTCCAGTCCGCGGGCCGCGCGCACGCGCACACGCAGCCCCGCCGGGCTCTACCACCGAGGGAGGTGGGGGTACCCGACACGGCACGGTCCCCAGCGCGAGCCTACGCAAAGCACCAGAAACTCTTGAGGACTACCCCCGATATATTTAATAGAATCCACAAAGGCAGTGTCTTCTGGAGTCACTTCCATGCCCCGTGCTACAGGCTAGAACGAGGAACCACACTCACCCTCCCCACAAACCCCTGGGTCTGGTCTCCCCCGCCTACAGGGGCCGTCGCCGTGGTAACGGCGTCTCGGGATGAGGTGGAGGCTCGCCACGCCTCCGTTGTCGTGGGAAAGGTGCGAGTGGTGGCTGCGGCCCGCGTTGCCTGGAGAACGTCAAGACTTACAAACGCAAAATGGGCCTCTCCCCGACGTCCCTCCTCCTCTTCCTCCTCCCAGACCACAAAACAAAGCGCACCCCTTCCTGGTGGATGTGGGGACAACGGGTGTCGGGTGTCCCATCCAGAACTTTACAGGGTCCCCAGAGGGAGCCGTGGCGGAATAGGCCCCGAGTTCGTCGGATTCCGCCTATGTCTTCAGGTAAGATGAACAGACAGGCAGTGACCCTGCCTGCCAGCCTCCCCACGCCGGGCCTCTCATCGGCTTTGACGGGCTGGGGAACCTGAGGTCAGGGGCCGCTTCAGGGTCGCACAGTGAGCAAGAGCAGAGAGCTACTCGAGCATCAACTCCAGATCTCCTAAAATCCTAACTGTGTGTATTACTGGTTCCATTTGACAAATGAAGAGACTCTGGGTCATTCAAGGGATATTTACTGGCTGCTTAGTGAGTGCACCAGGTCATCCATCCAGGGAGGGGCAGGACCCATAGGTCTCTGGCTCCAAGTGCAGTTTTCTTCCAACTACACGTTACTTCATTGAAAAGGGGAGAGTTCCGTGTCCTAGAACCAAACCACACGGTCTAACCCAGCACAGTCCAATGGAAACATAATGTGGGCCACATATATAATTTAGAATTTTCTAGTAGCCATATTTTTTAAAAAGTAAAAAAAAATCAGATGATGTTAATATGACTAATGTTTTAACTCATATGTCCCATATATGATCATTTCAACATACAATCAATATTTTCAAGTTTATTCTGCTTCAGTTTTTAAATTTTAATTAACTAAAATTAAGATTTTAGTGTTTCGGTCACACTAACCAAATTCCAAGGGCTCCATTGTCACATGTGGCTAGTGGCTACTGTGATGCACCGGTCTAGTCTTTTCCTGTCTTTCTACTGTGTGTCCCTCTGCTTGGGTGGTATTTCCCCTCCCCACTTACCTAATTAACTCCTGCTCTTCCTTCAAGTCTTGACTCCCTTGACTAGGTCGTTATCCACTATTATGTTGTCTCTCAGAGCGCTGTGTCCCTCCCTTTGAAGCAGTGATCAGTTATAATTCATGGTTATGTATATAATTAATTATCACTTGTCACCCCTAGTAGACATAAGCTCCATTAAGGCAGGGATAAAGTCTGGTTTAACTCACCAACCTGTCCCCCAGTAGGGACACATCGCTGGCTGTGTTGGGCAGTCAGTAAGTAGTCATTTAATGACTGAAGTTTAAACTGAACAAAAGTCTGTCTGACTCCAAAGTCAGCATTGTTTTAACTTGTTTAACATGTTTAAGTTAAAATGTGTTAACTTTAAACAACGGACTTTCAAATCTCAGCTGCCAGAATATGTGCTCCATGAGGGCAGAACGTGTTTTTATTCTTCCGCTCACCTGCCCCTAATATACAGCACAGTGCTGGGCACAGGGTATTCAATAAAGTTAGTTTGCTCCCCGACCCATTTTTTCTCCCCAAATAGTGACAGTAAAAACTTATCATGCTTCAGAGAATACTTACCCTAAAATGATATGATGAAAATTTCAGAAGGGAACAGAGTATTTTAAATGTGTCTTTTAACAAGCATAATATTCAGTTCCCCATTAGGCCTGGGTAATAATGTTAAGCTAAAGTAAGAGGCTTCTTAACAGGGTCCCCCTAAGCCTGGCTTTTCAGAGAACATGGAGTTTTCCAGTCATGCTGGCGGGGGTGGGTGGGTGGGTGGGTAAAAGTGAGAAGCCCTAAAATGCACCTGCCTCCTCTTTACCCTCACCCCCTTGCCTGTATGGCTGAAGACTAGGGGCAGGAGGCAGGAAATAATAGTTTTGACCTGAGCCTGGGCCAACCTTTCCTACAATCCAACTGACTTAGGACAGCCCAAAGTGGATAGCCTCTTTGGACCAGAAAGAAGTATGGTGAGTGAGTTAAAAATGGAATCAAATATTGAGTGAACCTAATTCCTAGAGAGTAATTTCCCTAATGGAGAAAGACGTAGAAGCAAATAAATTCTGGTTCTGCATTGTAAGTGCTATAATAGAGACTTGAAAGCAGAATCCTGGACTTCACAGAAAAGGGGTGGTATTAATGGCCTGGAGTAATTCAAGAAGGTTTTCCAAAAAGACATATCACCTGGACTGATTGAATGGAGGGAATTGCATGTACAAAGGCATAGAGGCGCAAAGCGCACACCATGGCAGGGATCAGGAAAAAGTTCGGTGGGGCAGGCATGTAGGATGGATGGCTGGGGAGAAGACAGCAGAGCAGAAGGCGTGAACCAAAGGAGAAGAAAGGAGACTGGTGAAAGGACACCTGGGTTAAGTTTTCCATCAAAATATACCTTTTCTCTGTCTTTCCATTACGTATGAGCTTCTTGAGGGCAGGTCTGAGTCTTTTACTTCATTATAACCAGGCCTATACCACCAGGCTCTGGACAGGGAGGACCCACAGATGGTAGTGATGAACTCCTCCTGGCCAATAAGCAAGGACACAGGAGAGCACTCTGGCCAGAATATTACAAATCCAGGAGGAAAAGTAGTGTGGGGCCAGTTTCCTGAAAGGGAGCAGAAAGCCTCAGCTAGATTAGGAGCCTCATGCTGAGGAGATGGACCCAGTATCATAGAAGCCCAGCATCTGAGGGCTGAAAAGGGGCTTAGGGACCTAATCCGAATCTCTGACTTTACAGGTGAGGCTCAGAGAGCCAAAGAGATTTGACTGCATTTCTAACTTGGAAACTGGCTTGCTGGAGGGTCTGGAGCCCCGTCTTTTCAGCAGTCTAGTCTTCTTATTTTTATTTATTTATTTATTTGGCCACACCGTGTGGCTTACGGGATCTTAGTTCCCCAACCAGGGATGGAACCCGGGCCCCTGGCAGTGAGAGCGCCGAGTCCTAACCACTGGACCACCAGGAATTCCCTAGTCACCTTATTTTTAAAACCAGAATAATTCTCATCAGGGGGTGGTGGGGATCAGCAGGTAGAAAGCAAAAGTATATATGCCTTGAAGTTCTCTGTTAAGAATGTGGTACCTATATGACAATGTACACATGTGGGCTTCTCATGTGGTACATATATACAATGGAACATTACCCAGCCATAAAAAAGAATGAAATAACGCCATCTGCAGCAACATGGGAGGACCTAGAGATTGTCATACTGAGTGAAGTAAGTCAGACAAGAGAAAAACAAACACCATATGATATCACTTATATGTGGAATCTAAAAATATGGTACAAATGAACTTATTTACAAAACAGAAATAGAGTCACAGATGTAGAAAACAAACTTATGATTACCAAGGGGGAAAGGGGCAGGGGAGGGATAAATTGGGAGATTGGGAATGACATATACACACTACTATATATAAAATAGATAACTAATAAGGGCCTACTGTATCGCACAGGGAACTCTACTCAATACTCTGTAATGACCTATATGGGAAAAGAATCTAAAAAGAATGGATATATGTATATGTATAACAGATTCACTTTGCTGTACAGCAGAAACTAACACAACATTGTAAATCAGCTATACTCCAATAAAAATTAAAAAAAATGGGCTTCTCAGACAAAAGCCTTTATTCCCCATTAACATGCAGCATGTGCCTCGCTATCAGCCCTGCTTACAAGATGAGTGTGGTTGTGCTTTCTAAGATGGTTGTATGCTATTTGTGATTCCCAGGAGGCTGGTGGAACAAAACAAGATTGTAGTGAGGAATGAGAGGCTCTTAAAAGTGGAAACTTACTGTTTGTCAGTTTACAAGAAACTGGACAATGGCTGATTTCAGGAACATGGATGTCATCAATTTCACTGCCTTGCCAATGGTGCCAGTAGATGAGCACCTGGCTGTCTCACTCACTGCACGGAAAGCAATGAAGGATGATGCCATGAGGAAGAATCTGGAGGACAGTCCACCCTGTATCCTTCTGTGGTGCCGTCTGCAATAGAGACCAAACACACCCGTGCAGAGGTGTAACCTGGGCTCGAGTCTATAACATACACCACTTACTAGCTCGTTTCTTATATGTTTGTTAATTTTTTTCAATTACTTAAGCCCTACCTGTCCTTTAAAAGAATATGAAGCTGTGAAGGATTGTTTGTCTTGAGTTTGTTTTACTAAGATAATCAGAAAGAGCCCTAAAGGGAGACATACTGGAAATATTCATTGAAAGAATGGGGAAGAAGAGAAAAAAATGTTCTTTTTACCCCATTGTCTCTTTCTTTCCCTTCTGCCTTCCAAAGAATTAAACTTATAGATAGAAACTTAGTTGTAGTCCAGCCCTCTGCCCTCAGACTAGTTAGCTGAGTGCCCAACTTTTAAAAAAAATTTTTTTCTTTTTTTTTTTGTGGCCACGCCGCACCGCAGCTTGCAGGATCTTAGTTCCCTGATCAGGGATTGAACCCAGGCCCTCGGCAGTGCAAGTGCAGAGTTCTAACCACTGGACCACCAAGGAATTCCCTTTGTTTCTTTCTTTTCATTTTCTTTCTTTCTTTTTTTTTTTTTTTTACTCCCTTTGACCTTTCCTCTTCTCACCTGCCACTGCCAGCACCTCTACCTGGGCCCAGACTTTGCCCCTTCTGACATCATCCAGGCTCTACCAGCATCTTTCTTCTCTGACTCTGCCTTTATTGATCCTGATCTCACTTCTGACCCTGAACCTTGTCTCTCAGGGACCCACAGAATCCCGCCTCTGGGGGACCATAGAACTCATCCAGCAAATAAAGACCCTCTCAGGTTATAAATAACCCTGTCTTTCCATCTTATATAGAGCTCATTTACCTTCAAGTCATCCTCCTGCCAACCAAACTGCATGTATCCCTCTGCATCACCTCACTTTCCATGCCTCTCAGAAACCCTTCTCAAGATGAGCACAGATGATCCCATCAGGATCTATTTCAGGGTCTCCCTTTCCTGGGCCTTTTTCTAATGTACGCTCTTTCTTCTTAATCCTACACTTATCTCAACCTAAGTAATCCATTTCACTTCCTATGATTTGTCATGTCCCTCCTTGGCATCTCCATTTGTCAAGTATCCTCCGATTTGTAAGAACACTTGAGGGTAATGGAAGTAGCAGTGAACCTTGCTATATGTGAAGGCAATGAGGAGTGGTAGGATTATGGGGCTTTTACAAAGGATATATCCTAGACCAATTGAGGCTAAGACAGAAAGAAATGCAAACGTAGAGAGGGTAGTAAGAGGGTGCATTGAACTGAGCAGCGATTTCAACAGTGATAAACAAGGTTGAGATGCCCTTGGACCCAGGCATCCTTCACCTGACAGAAACAGCTCTCTGTGTGACTGTGTGCACCACAGCATTATCTGTACTTGTAAAACAATTGTAAACAACTTAAATATTCAATAGCCAAGGTACAGTTAAGTCTATTAAGATGCATTCTCTAAATGGATTTGTATTCTGCCATTTAAAATATTATGAAGATTATTTAGCTTTATGGAAAATAATCATAATAATGAGTAGGAGAGAAGTCAGAGTAGTAAAATAGGCATCCACTGATATTATAATTATGTAAAAATGTGTGTATATCATAATGCTAGGAGGAAGTCTCCCGAAAACCTAACAGGTTGGTAGGGTGGTAGCGTAATAGATGATTCTTCTTATATTTTCCAAGGTGTCTAGAATATGGTTAATTTTTGTTTCTAATTTATAAAGCAACTCATTTAACACAAGATAAAAGAAGTGTGAATGTTCACAGAGAAAATAATTAAGTGAAAAGACAGCACAGAGGGCCCTGAACCAAGATGGCGGAGTAGAAGGATGTGCTCTCACTGCCTCTTGTGAGAACACCAGAATCACAACGAGCTGCTGGACAGTAATCGACAGGAGGACACTGGAATTCACCAAAAAAGATACCCCACATCCAAAGACAAAGGAGAAGCCACAATGAGACGGTAGGAGGGGTGCAATCACAGTAAAGTCAAATCCCATAACTGCTGCGTGGGTGACTCACAGACTGGAGAACACTTATACCACAGAAGTCCACCCGCTGGAGTGAAGGTTCTGAGCCCCACGTCAGGCTTCCCAACCTGGGGGTCCAGCAACGGGAGGAGGAATTCCTAGAGAATCAGACTTTGAAGGTTACTGGGATTTGAATGCAGGACTTCAACAGGACTGGGGGAAACAGAGACTCCACCCTTGGAGGGCACACACAAAGTAGTGTGCGCATCAGGACCCAGGGGAAGGAGCAGTGGCCCCAGGGGACACTGAAACAGACCTACCTGCTAGTGTTGGAGGGTCTCCTGCAGAGGCTGGGGGTGGCTGTGGCTCACCGTGGGGACAAGGACACTGGCAGCGGAAGTTCTGGGAAGTACTCCTTGGCGTGAGCCCTCCCAGAGTCCACCATTAGCCCCACCAAAGAACCCAGGTAGGCTCCAGTGTTGGGTTGCCTCTGGCCAAACAACCAACAGGGAGGGAACCCAGCCCCACCCATCAGCAGTCAATCACATTAAAGTTTTGCTGAGCTCTGCCCACCAGAGCAGCAGTCAGCTCTACCCACCACCAGTCCCTCCCATCAGGAAACTTGCACAAGCCTCTTAGATAGCCTCATCCACCAGAGGGCAGACAGCAGAAGCAAAAAGAACTACAGTCCTGCAGCCTGTGGAACAAAAACCACATTCACAGAAAGATAGACAAGATGAAAAGGCAGAGGGCTATGTACCAGATGAAGGAACAAGATAAAACCCCAGAAAAACAACTAAATGAAGTGGAGATAGGCAACCTTTCAGAAAAAGAATTCAGAATAATGATAGTGAAGATGATCCAGGACCTCGGAAAAAGAATGGAGGCAATGATGGAGAAGATGCAGGAAATGTTTAACAAAGACCTAGAAGAATTAAAGAACAAACAAACAGAGATGAACAATACAATAACTGAAATGAAAACTACACTAGAAGGAATCAACAGCAGAATAACTGAAGCAGAAGAACAGATAAGTGACCTGGAAGACAGAATGGTGGAATTCACTGCTGTGGAAGAGAATAAAGAAAAAAGAATGAAAAGAAATGAAGACAGCCTAAGAGACCTCTAGGACAACATTAAACGCAACAACACTCACATTGTAGGGGTCCCAGAAGAAGAAGAGAGAGAGAAAGGACCAGAGAAAATATTTGAAGAGATTATAGTTGAAAACTTCCCTAACATGAGAAAGGAAATAGCCACCCAAGTCCAGGAAGCGCAGAGTCCCATACAGGATAAACCCAAGGAGAAACACGCCAAGACACATAGTAATCAAATTGGCAAAAATTAAACACAAAGAAAAACTTATTGAAAGCAGCAAGGGTAAAACGACAAATAACATACAAGGGAACTCCCATCAGGTTAACAGCTGATTTCTCAGCAGAAACTCTACAAGCCAGAAGGGAGTGGCATGATATACTTAAAGTGATGAAATGGAAGAACCTACAATGAAGATTACTCTACCCAGCAAGGATCTCATTCAGATTCAATGGAGAAATCAAAAGCTTTACAGACAAGCAGAAGCTAAGAGAATTCAGCACCACCAAACCAGCTCTACAACAATGCTAAAGGAACTTCTCTAAGTGGGAAACACAAGAGAAGAAAAGGACCTACAAAAACAAACCCAAAACCATTAAGAAAATGGTCATAGGAAGATACATATCGATAATTACCTTAAACGTGAATGGATTAAATGCTCCAACCAAAAGACACAGGCTTGCTGAATGGGTACAAAAACAAGACCCATCTATATGCAGTCTACAAGAGACCCACTTCAGACCTAGGGACACATACAGACTGAAAGTGAGGGGATGGAAAAAGATATTCCATGGAAATGGAAATCAGAAGAAAGCTGGAGTAGCAATACTCATATCAGATAAAATAGACTTTAAAATAAAGAATGTTACAAGTGACAAGGAAGGGCACTACATAATGATCAAGGGATCAATCCAAGAAGAAGATAAAACAATTATAAATATATATGCAGCCAACATAGGAGCACCTCAATACATAAGGCAACTGCTAGCAGCTATAAAAGAGGAAATTGACAGTAACACAATAATAGTGGGGGACTTTAACACCTCACTTACCCCAATGGACAGATCATCCAAAATGAAAATAAATAAGGAAACAGAAGCTTTAAATGACACAATAGACCAGATAGATTTAATTAATATTTATAGGACATTCCATACAAAAACAGCAGATTACACTTTCTTCTCAAGTGCACACGGAACATTCTCCAGGATAGATCACATCTTGGGTCACAAATCAAGCCTCAGTAAATTTAAGAAAATTGAAATCATATCAAGCATCTTTTCTGACCACAGCGCTATGAGATTAGAAATGAATTACAGGGAAAAAACTGTAAGAAACACAAACACATGGAGGCTAAACAATACATTACTAAATAACCAAGAGATCACTGAAGAAATCAAAGAGGAAATCAAAAAATACCTAGAGACAAATGACAATGAAATCACGATGATCCAAAACCTATGGGATGCAGCAAAAGCAGTTCTAAGAAGGAAGTTTATAGCTATACAAGCCTACCTCAAGAAACAAGAAAAATCTCAAATAAACAATCTAACCTTACACCTAAAGGAACTAAAGAAGAACAAACAAAACCCAAAGTTAGCAGGAGGAAAGAAATCATAAAGATCAGAGCAGAAATAAATGAAATAGAAACAAAGAAAACAATAGCAAAGATCAATAAAACTAAAAGCTGTTTCTTTGAGAAGATAAGCAAAGTTGATAAACCATTAGCCAGACTCATCAAGAAAAACAGGGAGAGGACTCAAATCAATAAACTTAGAAATGAAAAAGGAGAAGTTACAACAGACACCACAGAAATACAAAGCATCCTAAGAGACTACTACAAGCAACTCTATGCCAATAAAATGGACCATCTGGAAGAAATGGACAAATTCTTAGAAAGGTATAACCTTCCAAGACTGAACCAGGAAGAAATAGAAAATATGAACAGACCAATCACAAGTAATGAAATTGAAAATGTGATTAAAAATCTTTCAACGAACAAAAGTCCAGGACCAGATGGCTTCACAGGTGAATTCTAGCAAACATTTAGAGAAGAGCTAACACCCATCCTTCTCAAACTCTTTCAAAAAAAGGCAGAGGAAGGAACACTCCCAAACTCATTCTATGAGGCCACCATCACCCTGATACCAAAACCAGACAAAGATGTCACAAAAAAAGAAAACTACACGCCAATATCACTGATGAACACAGATGCAAAAATCCTCAACAAAATACTAGCAAACAGAATCCAACAACACATTAAAACGATCATACACCATGATCAAGTGGGATTTATTCCAAGGATGCAAGGATTCTTCAATATACGCAAATCAATGTGATACACCATATTAACAAATTGAAGAATAAGTACCATATGATCATCTCAATCGATGCAGAAAAAGCTTTTGACAAAATTCAACACCGACTTATGAAAAAAACTCTCCAGAAAGTGGGCATAGAGGGAACCTACCTCAACATAATAAAGGCCATATACGACAAACCCACAGCAAACATCATTCTCAATGGTGAAAAACTGAAAGCATTTCCTCTAAGATCAGGAAGGAGACAAGGATGTCCACTGTCACCACTATTATTCAACATAGTTTTGGAAGTCCTAGCCACGGCAATCAGAGAAGAAAAAGAAATAAAAGAAATACAAATTGGAAAAGGAGAAGTAAAACTGTCACTGCTGATGATATGACACTATACATAGAGAATCCTAAAGATGCCACCAGAAAACTACTAGAGCTAGTCAATGAATTTGGTAAAGTTGCAGTTTACAAAATTAATGCACAGAAATCTCTTGCATTCCTATATACACTAATGATGAAAAATCTGAAAGAGAAATTAAGGAAACACTCCCATTTACCATTGCAACAAAAAGAATAAAATACCTAGGAATAAACCTACCTAGGGAGACAAAAGAGCTGTATGCAGAAAACTATGAGACACTGATGAAAGAAATTAAAGATGATACCAACAGATGGAGAGATATACCATGTTCTTGAATTGGAAGAATCAATATTGTGAAAATGACTATACCACCCAAAGCAATCTACAGATTCAGTGCAATCCCTATCAAATTACCAATGGCATTTTTTATGGAACTCGAACAAAAAATCTTAAAATTTGTATGGAGACACAAAAGACCCTGAATAGCCAAAGCAGTCTTGTGGGAAAAAAACAGAGCTGGAGGAATCAGACTCCCTGACTTCAGACTATACTACAAAGCTACACTAATCAAGACAATATGGTACTGGCACAGAAACAGAAACATAGGTCAATGGAACAAGATAGAAAGCCCAGAGATAACCCCACACACGTATGGTCAACTAATCTATGACAAAGGAGGCAAGGATATACAGTGGAGAAAAGACAGTGTCTTCAATAAGTGGTGCTGGGAAAACTAGACAGCTACATGTAAAAGAATGAAATTAGAACACTCCCTAAAACCATACACAAAAATAAACTCAAAATGAATTAGAGACCTAAATGTAAGACCGGACACTATAAAACTCTTAGAGGAAAACGTAGGAAGAACACTCTTTGACATAAATCACAGCAAGATCTTTTTTGATCCACCTCCTAGAGTAATGGAAATAAAAACAAAAATAAACAAATGGGCCCTAATGAAATTCAAAGCTTTTGCACAGCAAAGAAGACCATAAACAAGATGAAAAGAGAACCCTCAGAATGGGAGAAAATATTTGCAAACGAATCAACGGACACAGGATTAATCTCCAAAATATATAAACAGCTCATGCAGCTCAATATTAAAAAAAACAAACAACCCAATCCGAAAATGAGCAGATGACCTAAATAGATAATTCTCCAAAGAAGACATACAGATGGTCAGGAAGCACATGAAAATCTGCTCAACATCACTAATTATTAGAGAAATGCAAATCAAAAGTGCAATGAGGTACCACCTCACACCATTTAGAATGGGCGTCATCAGAAAATCTACAAATAACAAATGCTGGAGAGGGTGTGGAGAAAAGGGAACCCTCTTGCACTGTCGGTGGGAATGTAAATTGATACAGTCACTATGGAGAACATTATGGAGGTTCCTTAAAAAACTAAAAATAAAATTACCATATCATCCAGCAATCCCACTACTGGGGATATACCCAGAGAAAACCATAATTCAAAAAAGCACATGTACCCCAATGTTCATTGCAGTGCTATTTACAATAGCCAGGTCATGGAAGCAACCTAAATGCCCATTGAGAGACGAATGGATAAAGAAGGTGTGGTACATATATACAATGGAATATTACTCAACCATAAAAAGGAACGAAATTGGGTCATTTGTTGAGACGTGGATGGATCTAGAGACTGTCATACAGAGTGAAGTAAGTCAGAGAGAGAAAAACAAATATCATATATTAACGCATATATGGGGAACCTAGAAAAATGGTACAGATGAACCAGTTTGCAGGGCAGAAATTGATACACATGTAGAGAACAAACGTATGGACACCAAGGGGGTAAAGCGGCGGGGGGGTTGCGGGTGGTGGTGTGATGAATTGCACCAACTGGGATTGACATGTATACACTGATGTGTATAAAATTGATGACTAATAAGAACCCGTGGGCTTCTCTGGTGGCGCAGTGGTTGAGGATCCGCCTGCCGATGCAGGGGACGCGGGTTCGTGCCCCGGTCCGGGAAGATCCCACATGCCATTGAGCGGCTGGGCCTGTGAGCCATGGCCGCTGAGCCTGCGCGTCCGGAGCCTGTGCTCCGCAGCGGGAGAGGCCACAACAGTGAGAGGCCTGCGTACCGCAAAAAAAAAAAAAAAAAAAGAGAGAACCTGCTGTATAAAAAAATAAATTAAATTTTAAAAAATAAATGAACTGTGGGGAAAAAAAAAAAGCACAGAAAGGCAGTGAGCTGCTTTTCTTTACAGGCTCGCCCCATCCTGTTCTATTTGTGTGTAGTCATCACCCATAAAGTTTCCTTAACAGACTCACCTCCCAGCCTGCTGCATTGGCTCCATACAGCAGGTGAACCAAGGGATTGCTGAGACAGATCTGAGTCCCAACCCACTGGTGCACAGCCTGGTAAGTTATGTGTGCTGAGGCGAGGCTTCCAGCAAGGAAGTGCCTTAGGGGCCCCTCTACTTATTTGAAAGCACATTTGCACAATAGAAGTCTCAAAGATATATTTTTAAAATTAATAAGCTTTATTCTTAGAGAAGTTCTGGGTTCATAGCAAAATTGAGCTGAAAGTACGGAGTTCCCACATACCCCTCCCTGTCCCCACACATGCACAGCCTCCCCATCACCAGAGTGGAACATTTATTATAATTGATGTACCTAAATTGACACATCACATTCACCCAAAGCCCATGTTTACATTAGGTTTCTCTCCTTGTGCTGTGCATTCTATGAGTATGGACAAATGTATAATGATACGTGTCCACCCTTATAGTATTATACGGAATAGTTTCACTGCCCTAAAAATCCTCTGCGCTGCTATTCATCCCTCTCTCCCCCCAGTCCTTGGCAACCACTGATCTTTTGCTATCTCCTTAGTTTTACCTTTTCCAGAAGGTCATGGAATTGGAACCATAAAGTATGTAACCTTTTCAGATTGGTTTCTTTTACTTAGTAATATGTCTTTAAGGTTTCTCCATGTCTTTTCATGGCTTGATAGCTCATTACTTTTTTGCGCTGAATAGTATTCTGTTGTTTGGATGTCCACAGTTTATTTATCTGTTAACCTACTGAGGGGCATGTTGGTTGCTTCTGAGTTTTGGCAACTTTGAATAAAGCTTCTATAAACATTCATATGCAAGGTTTTGTGTGGACATATATTTTCAGTTCATTTGGGTAAATACCAAGGAGCATGAATCCTGGACCATATGGTAAGAGTATGTTTAGTATAGTAAGAAACTGCTAAATTGTCTCCCAAAGTGGCTGTGCCCTTTTGCACTCCCACCAGCAGTGAATGAGAGTTCCTGTTGCTCCACATCCTCGTCAGCATTTGGTGTTGTCAGTGTTTGGGATTTTGGCCATCCTAACCAGTATACTGTGATATCTCGTTGTTTTAATTTGCAGTTCTCTAATAACGTGATATTAAACATCTTTTTATATGCTTACTTTCCATCTGTATATCTTGTTTGGTGGTGAGGTGTCTGTTGAGGTGTTTGCCCCATTTTTTAATTGAGTTGTTTGTTTTCTTATTGTTGGGTTTTAAGATTTCTTTGTATATTTTGGATAACATCCTTTATCAAATGTATCTTTTGCAAATATTCTCTCCAGTCTGTGGCTGGTCTTCTTTTTCTCTTGACATTGTCCTTTGTAGAGCAGAAGTTTTAAGTTTTAATGAAGTGCAGCTTATCAGTTATTTCTTTCATGGATCATGCCTCTGCTGTTGTATCTAAAAAGTCATTGCGAAACCCAGGGTCAACTAGGTTTTCTCATCTAGGTTATCTTCTAGGAGTTTTATATTTAGGTCTGTTATCCATTTTGACTTAATTTTTGTGAAAGATGTAAGGTCTGTGTCTAGGTTCGTTATTTTGCGTTTGGATGTTCGGTTGTTTGAGCACCATTTGTTGAAAAGTCTATCTTTGCTCCATTGTATTGCCTTTGCCTCTTTGTCAAAGATCAATTGACTTTGTTTATGTGGGTCTATTTCTGGACTCTCTATTCTGTTCCATTGATCTATTTGTCTGTTTTTTTGGCCAATGCCACGCTGTCTTGATTACTGTAGTTTTATAGTAAGTAAGTCTTGAAGTCAAGTAGTGTCAGTTCTCCTTCAATGCTGGGTTTGCTATTCTGGGTCTTTTACTTCTCCGTGTAAAGTTGAGAATTAGTTTGTCAATATCGACAAATAAGTTGCTGGAATTTTGATTGGGACTGCATTGATCAAGTTGGGAAGAACTGACGTCTTGACAATATTGAGCCTTTCCATCTGTGAACATGGAATATCTCCATTTATTTAGTTGTTTAATTTATTTCATCAGTTTTGTAGTTTTTCTTATTTTGATCTTGTACATATTTTATTAGATTTATACCTATGTATTTCATTTTTTTGTTAATATAAATGGTATTGTGTTTTTAATTTCAAATTCTACTTGTTCATTGTTGGTTATAGGAAAGGGCACATATCCAGTTGATTGATGATGCTGTTGAGTTCAGCTATTTTCTTACTAATTTTCTATCTGCAGGATCTGTCCCTTTCTAACAGAGGAGTATTAAAGTCTCTAACTATTATAGTAGATTCATCAATGGATTCATTGTCCATGCAATTCTTTTTCTGCCTCATGTATTTTGATGCTCTGTTTTTAGGCACATACACATTAAGATTGTTAAGTCTTCTTGGTGTATTGACCCCTTTATCATTACATAATGCCCCTCTTTATCCCTGATAACTTTCCTGGACCTGAAGTCTCTAAGTGAAATATACTTTTTTTTTTTAATTAGTGTTAGTATGGTATATCTTTCTTCATCCCTTTACTTCTAATCTGTATATTTATTTATATTTAAAATGGGTTTCTTATAGACAAAGTATTTTGGATCTTGTTTTTGGATTTACTCTGACAATCTCTGTCTTTTAATTGGCATATTTAGACCTTTCATTTTAAAGTGATTATTGATATAGTTGGATTAATATCTACCATATTTGTTCCTTTTTCTATTTCTTGGCCTGTTCTTAGTTCCTGTGTTTTAAAATATTTATTTATTTTTAATTTATTTTTATTTTTTGGCTGTGTCAGGTCTTAGTTGCAGCACCCGGGCTCTTTGTTGTGGCACGTGGGCTTCTCTTTAGTTATGGTACATGGGCTCAGTGGTTGCGGCACGTGGGCTTAGTTTCCCTGCGACGTGTGGGATCCTAGTTCCCTGACCAGGGATCAAACCCACGTCCCCTGCACCAGAAGGCGGATTCTTAACCACTGGACCACCAGGGAAGTCCCCTTTTTTCCTACTTTTGTCTTCCAAACTTTTTCTGCCTTTTGTGGTTTTAGTTGAGCATTTTATGTGATTTTATTCTCTCTCCTTTCTTAGCATATCAATCATACTTCTTTTTGTACTTTTTGTACTTTTTTTAGTGGTTGCCCTAGAGTTTAAAATATACATTTACAACTAATCTAAGTCTACTTTCAAATATTACTGTACCACTTCACGGGTAATGCAAATACTTTATAATAATAAAATATTCCTAATTCCATCCTCCTGTCTTTTGTATCATTGCCATCATTCATTTCATTTCACTTGTGTATGTGTGTATATGTATATACACACACATTGCTACTACTATTATTTTGAACAAACTGCTATCTGTTAGATCAATTAAGAATAAAAAACCAAATTTTTTTATTTTACTTTCACTGATTCGTTCTTTGATGTGCTTCCTTTCTTTATGTAGATCCGAGTTTCTGACCTGTATCATTTTCCTTCCCTCTAAAGAACTTCCTTCAGCATTTCTTCACGGCAGATGTACTGGCAACAAATGCCCTCCGTTTTCGTTTGCCTGAGAAAGCCTTCATTTCTCCTTCACTTTTGAGGGATAATTTTGCAGAGTACAGGGTTCCAGGTTGGCAGGGGTTTTTTCCTTAACACTTTAAATATTTCACTTCATTTTCCTCTTGCTTGCATGGTTTCTGAGAAGTCGGATGTAATTCTTATCTTTGCTCTTTTATAGGTAAGGTATTTTTCCCCCCTCTGGCTTCTTTCAAGATTTTTTTTCTTTTTTGTCTCTGTTTAAATATTGATTTATTTATTTAGGCTGCGCCAGCTCTTTTTTTTTTTTTTTTTTGCGGTACGCGGCCCTCTCACTTTTGTGGCCTCTCCCGTTGCGGAGCACAGGCTCCGGACGCGCAGGCTCAGCAGCCATGGCTCACGGGCCCAGCCGTTCCGCGGCATGTGGGATCCTCCTGGACCGGGGAACGAACCCGCGCCCCCCACATCGGCAGGCGGATTCTCAACCACTGCGCCACCAGGGAAGCCCTGTGCCAGCTCTTAGTTGCAGCACGTGGGATCTTCGTTGCCGCGTGTGAGATCTTTAATTGTGGTATGCGGGATCTTTTAGTTTCAGTATGCGGACTTCTTAGTTGCAGCATGTGTGTGGGATCTAGTTCCCCGACCAGGGATTGAACCCGGGCCCCCTTCATTGGGAGCACAGGGTCTTACCCACTGGACCACCAGGAAAGTCCCTAAAGATTTTTATCTTTGATTTTCTAAAGTTTGAATATGAAATGCCTAGGTGTAGTTTTTTGGGTTTTGTTTTTGTTTTTTGCATATATCCTACTTGGTGTTATCTGAGTTTCCTGGATCTGTGTTTTGGTGTCTGACATTAATTTGGGAAATTTTCCAGTCGTTTTTTCCTTCAAATATTCCTTCTGTTCTTTTCTCTCTTTCTTCTACTTCTGGTATTCCTATTATGCACATGTTACACTTTTTAATAGTTGTCCCATAGTTCTTGGATATTCTGTTCTGTTTGGGGGGTATTTTTCAGTCTTTTTTTTTCTCTTTGCTTTTCTGTTTTGGAAGTTTCGATTGTCATTTCCTCAAACTCAGATTCTTTCCTCAGCCGTGTCTAGTCAACTAATGAGCCCATCAAAGGCATCCTTCTATTTTGTTACGGTGTTTTTGATCTCTAGCATTTTTTTTCAAAGATTCTTTTGATGTGGACATTTTAAAAGTCTTTATTGAATTTGCTACAATATTGCTTCTGTTTTATGTTTTTGTTTTTTTGGCCACGAGGCATGTGGGATCTTAACTCCCCAACCAGGGATCGAACCGCACCCCCTGCATTGAAAGGCGAAGTGTTACCCACTGGACCGCCAGGGAAATCCCCTCTAGCATTTGTTTTGGACCCTTTCTTAGAATGTTCATTCTCTGTTTACATTATCCTTCTGTTCTTGTATGTTTCCTGCTTTTTCTGTAAAAGCCCTTAGAATATTAATCATAATTTTAAAAAATTCCTGGTCTGATAAGTCCAACATTTCTGCCATGTCTGACTCTGGTTCTGATGCTTGTTTATGCTCTTCAAACTGTGCCTTTTGCCTTTTAGTATGCCTTGTAATTTTTTGTTGAAAGGTAGATATGACGTACTGGGTAAAAGGAACTGTGGTAAATAGGCCTTCAGTGATGTGGTGGTAGGTGTGAGCGTTGTGGGGGGAGTGTTCTGTAGTCCTATGGTTGGGTCTCAGTCTTTTGATGAACCTTCGGTACCTCTGGACTGGACTTCACCATTGCTTCTCAGTTTTTTTCCCCCGCTTGGGTGGGACAAGATAGCTAGATGGTGCTAGAATTGGGTATTTCCCCTCCCCCAGGTGGGTTAGGCTCTGGTAAATTATTGTCTCCTGAGGGAAGACAACATGCTATATGGGATATTTAAGAATGGTTATGTTTCCTCCGCACTTCCACGTGGGGTCATCAGCTGGAGCAGAACAGCAGTGGCTCTCGTTATCAGAGCGTGAGGTCTCCAGGTTGCTACAGTTCCCACCACTCCCTGACGCTCCTGATAAGGAGGCAAAGTGTTGGTTGCCACATGGTCTTACGCTCGGCCGGCTTCACTCATTTATGTTGCTGACTACGTCTCCAAACACAATGAAAGAGACTCAGACTAGATGAGAACCCAAGTCATTTGTTGGCAGTGCAGTTCTGTAGATTGGGAGGACCTTCTCTGTGGGTTCTCACTTGGCCTGATCTTCAGTCCACCATGCTCCCTGGCCCTCCTTCTCTCCCATCCCTTCTCTCTGCTTCTTCGGTCTGTCTTAACCCTGCTCCTTTACTTCCTGCCAGTTCACTCCACCTAAACCTCCTCACCCCTTCCTACCTGGCGTCTTGCTCTCCACCAAGTTCCTCTGGCCCAGGGTCCTGAACCTGGTGATCTGCCTCCACAGTTTTTAGCTTTACCCTCACCTCGGCTTTTCCAGTACTGACCTTTGGGCCAGTTTAGCTCTTGAGTCAACAATTTTTTTCTTTTATTGAAAAAAATTTAAATAGCAAGGTAATGCATGCTTATTCTAAAGTATTCAGGTATCTACAAGTATGTAAGTAAACAGTGAAAGTCACTTTCCCTTTCAGCCCTAGATCCCTCCCTAGATGCTAGTTATGTGGTGTGTATCCTTCCAGAACTTTTAAAAAATACATTAGAAATATACAATATAGACATTTAGGGTTATTGTTTTCTTTTAGGGTTATTGTATCCTTCCAGAACTTTTAAAAAATACATTAGAAATATACAATATAGACATTTAGGGTTATTGTTTTCTTTTTTAATGTAATCAGGATCATACCATAAATATTGTTTTGGAAGCTGCTTTTATTTTTTTCCTATTTATTTATTTATTTTTAGCATAAATACCTCCTGGAGATTTTTCAAAGTCCGTGCTGTTGACTGATCCCATTCTTTTCGTAGCTGCATAATATTCGAAAAGTTGGATATGGCATAATTAATTTAACTCTTCCCTATCAATAAGTATTTCAGTGCTATTTTCATCATAGTGAACATGTGAATATTTTTGTACATGTATCTTGGGACTCATCTGCAAATATTTCTGCAAGCTAGAGCCCTAGATGTGAAATTTAAAATTTTGGTAAATATAGTCAAGTTGCTTTTCACAGAAGTAAAGGCATTCTTCACTGAAGCGGAAAGGACACCATGAGCTTCTGTTTCCCCTACCCCACTGTCGAACACATTCTAGAATTGAGTTGTAAATAAAAGCAAAATAGACACACACACTATTTGGAATGATTCCATGTAAAAAGCCTTATACCTCTGTATGTGTGCATGAGGGTAGAGCACCAGAGGCACAAAATAAGACTGTCAGAGTTTAAATTCCTGCTGCTTTACTGTTTTCTCACACTGTGACATTAGGTAAATTATTTAACCTTTATGAGTCTCAGTTTCCTGTAAAATAGTGATAACATTAATAACATACCTGCCTCATAGATGTATTATCTCTGAAAGAACTGGACAAGTTAAGACTCCTGAAAACCCTTAGATCAGTGCCTGGCCCACAAGAAGCACATTATATATGTATAAATGTGTAGGGGAGGAGTCTGGAAGGATGCGTATCAGATGGAGTCAGTTCTGGCAAGGGAGTGGGGTGGAAGGGGGTAAACTGTTTTTACCCTGACTACTTCTGTAATGTTTGGGTATTTTACAACAAGAATGTATTTATATGTCAGTTCTGTGGTTTTTTTAATGATAACTTGAGAACCAGGGAAATGAATGAGATGATTCTCCCAGTAGCAGGATCTGGTGGCTTTTCAAGGCTGCCCAGCATGGGCACAGCTCCTCGGTGTTCTTCATTGCCACTCAGAACAGGGCCAGGGCTGGCAGGAGCAATCGTGGATCCTCACGTGACCTGGAGGAAGCATCCTTCCTGCTCCTCTGCGCAGGCAGCTGGTCAGACCTGGCAGATGCTGGCTGCCTGTTGCCACCAGAGCCCACCCCTGGGCTACCCTGCCCAACCTCTGCTGGCTGCGGTGTGCCCTGCCCTTTATATATCAGGCCTTGACTGTATGGCTGCTTCTCCCGCGTCAGCACCTATAGCCAGGCTCCACGCTGCCCTACCACGTGGCACCTAGCACGTACCTGGTGCGTAAGAAGTGTTTAATAGCTGTACTAGCAAATGAGTGAGCCGCCTCCTTCTGAGACCCAGACACCCCCCGCCGACTTCCCGCACAGCCATGTCCTATTTCTGTTCCTTCTCCCATGCCCTAAATGTGGGTTCCCCCCAAGACTTTGGCCGTGAACTTGCCTAGCTCTTCTTTCCAGTCTCCTTCCTTTGGGAGCTTGTTCACCCACCGTCACAGCTTCACCATTCACTCCAGCAGTAAGTGTGTTCCTTCCTCTCCGGATAGGCCACTGCCTCTGCAAAGGCCTTCCCTGCACTCTCAGCCCAAGATCAGTGTAGGTGCCCCATCGGGGCGCCCTTCTGGCATCCTGTCCCTCCCCACAGCAGCATCAGTCACCTCATAATCACCGGCTTCTCCCTGCTAGTCTCTGAGCCCTCGGAGGGCAGAGATGGGCTTCACTGCTCACGGCTGCATCTTCTCTTGGACACCAGCCCGGCACCTGGCTTTTAGTAGGTGCTCAGGGAAGATTCGTGGAATGAATGATATGTTTGCAAATTCTATCTTCTCACCTGTTTTTCAGTCTCATATTCCCAGCTACCTAGAGCAGTGATACCTAAACCTAGCTGATCATCAGACTCCCCTGGGAGCTTTTTAAAAACTAAAAGTGAAGAGAGCCAGGCACAGGCCTGTGAGCTGTGTGTGCTCTCATCTGAATAGGTACAGAATATCTCTAGAAAGCTGTGCAAGAAACTAAGGGTCTTGGGTGAGCAGTAGGAAGGAGACTTTTTACCGTATTTGATTTTGTATCACGTAAAATATTTATTGTTTTTTAAATTTAAATAGAGAACAACTCAGGGGCCACAATAAACAATTCAGAACCCGATAAGGAATGACGTTTATTCCTTGGATTGGATGTTTATTCCAGATTCTAATGAACCTGTATATCTGAATACTTCCGTAGCAAGGCTGGTCATCATCCAGGTTTGGGAGCTGCCTTCCCAGGGAACAGCCCCAGCTGTAGGTCCTTCCGTCGTCTCAAATGCAAACTCAGGTCTCATCATTCTTGCCCTAAAACTTGCTTTTCCTCCAGCGTTCAACTATCTTTTCTGTTCTTTCTCTGTGCAAATCTTGTCCATCCTTCCGGGCCCTGACAATATCAGCTACAGTGACATCCTGGCAGATATCAAAGACATGGCTGTATTGACACACACCCGTCCGATGCATTCATCCATCATGCCTTCTCTAGTGTACTTAATTGGAGTGACAGTGTTGACGCATAGGCTTAGCAGTGTGACCCTTCCCTGACACACACACACACCTGCGCACGTTCCAGTACCTTTAGCTCACCGTGCAGGCCGGGGCTGCCGGTTCAGGAGAAAGGTGGGGCGGGCTGGAGGGGCACTGCACGGTTTATCAGGCTAAGGAGAGATGCCTCACCCCTCGTATTCCCAGCACTCGTGCCCCGCCACTTCTGGCCAGTCCTCTGTGACTGCTCCAGCCCATACCGATCTTACTCCTTTGAATCCTAAACATAGCAGTTTAGGACTTAATTGTTCCACGTGTGTTGATTTGGTTCTCTGAATAGACTGTAAATTCCTTGAGGGTGGTGAAGACATAATCATGCTTTAACTTCGTTACCCAAGCTCAACGCTGGGCTGGTTGACAATCAGTACAACTTGCTGGGTCACTGACATTCATTTTCCTTTCCTCCCTTTTTGGCAGGACTGGGGGTAAGAGGAGTCAGAGATCAAGGGAAATCTCTTGAGAGGTCAGGGGTATGATGATTAATAATAATAATAGTTACCCGTTATGGAGCAGCTCCGATCTGAAAGCCTCTGTGCTAGTGTTTCACAGCGTATTACATTCTTTATATCTTATCCTTATGAGAGCACTGGGAGGCAGGTATTATTATCCCCCTTTACAGAGGTCAAACAGTAGCTTGTAACCCGTGGAGCCATGATCGGAACCCTGTTCCCAATCCTGTACTCCTCAGGAGCGTAGCCAGGAGGAGGGGCAGGTGAGAGACCGTGGGGGTGGGGGACACATCGGTGGTGACACTCAGGGGGATGAGGTCAGTGACACAGATGGCCACCAAGGCCCTACCACCTAGTGGGAGACAGCAAGGCCCTGCCACGCACTTTGTTCCAGGTCTTTTGCACACCAGCAGGAGAAATGGCCTACTCCCTGACCCCTGCCCTCCTCTAAGATTTGCACTAACCCCTAAAACCCCATTTCTTTTTTGGTTTTTGAAGGCAATTGAGAAGTACGAGATGGAGAAGAAGGCTTTAAAAGGAGAGAGAAGTCACGGCAGCTTGGGAGACAAAGGCAAAACTCCTTTCTCATAGCCTTGATGGTGTTTTTGTGGGGTTTGGTTTTTTAGTATCTAAAATGTAATCGAGTAGGAGTCTGGAGTCTCAGATGAGGGTATTTTTAGCCTCTTCTGAAAGAGCCTTTAATCTGACTTCTTGGCATAGGGCAAGAAAGGGGGGAGGGACAACACCATTTCCAGACGACCTGTATGGGACACACTGCACCAGGTGCTTTCATACGTATCCCCCTGTTAAAGGTTCCTAATGCCCCCTACCTGTGAGGTGGGTGCCGTAGAAAGTGTTTTATAGATGAGAGAATAGGCTTGGGGGTAAGGGAACAACTTGCCGAAAGCCACACAGCTTGTCTGCGGCAGGTCCTGGATTCTCCCCAGCCTGACTTCAAAGCCCACGTTTTATCTACTCCTCCTGGCTGCTTCTCTGGCTCAAGCAGTCTAATCAAATGAGGGGAATCTTAGTAAGTCAGCAACCCAGGTGGGATCTAGGGAGACTAATAGTGTGCGTGTCATCTGACTGCTCAGGTTGAATGAAAGATCACAGGTATGATCACCACACAGCAGTGGACAGGCCCCGTGGTCACTCACATCCTACTTCTCTTCTTCCATACTTCTGCAGAAAAGAGCGAAAGAAAATCTCAGTATATTTACAAAGGCTCAGAATCCAGGAATGTCAAATCTTTCATTATCAAAAGGGTAAGAGATCTATTGCTAGGTCTGTTTCTGCTGGGCATGGACTAGATTTTATTCCCAGGGAGGGGATACTTGGCACCTGGATGGTGACTACGCAGGAAAATGGCAGAATTCCCTTTTTAGAGAATCTTAAAGTATTTTAATAATGCTGGAATTTCTCGTAACGACTCAAAAAGATAGAATGAGGAGTGTTCTAGAGGTCATTTGTCTGTTTATTTTTAGAACTCAGAAGATGTTTGCCCTAAAAACAGTGAGTTCAGATTCAGTTCACACAGCCACTGTGCTGCGCAGCTCCGCAGGGCCCATTCCCACAGCAGTGCTGGTTTTGTCGGTCACTGCAGATAGCCCGGGACGCTGGCAGTCGGGAACAGTCAGAGGATGTGTCCAGCATCAGGCAGCTTTTCAGTACCAGAGACCTGCTTCCCTCTCAGATCCCCGGACCTGCGGCCAGGCTCTCTCTGCTGCCTCTGCAACCACAGCCTGGCCCCGCCATACAGCCGCCCCAGTTAAGATCCTCCTAAGCTGGCTCTTTAACTACCCAGCTCGTGTGTATTCAAACCTGGAAATGCTAGGGAACACGTTATCCTTTTTTCACTTTTTAGCCACACAGCATAAAGCCCGATGGTTGACGGTCTGCACTGAAACTGTCATACTACCCATGATGGTGGCTGAGCACATTTAAATGTCCTGTCCAAGGCAGGACAGCTAGTAAATGGGAGAGCTGACATCTGACTCAGAGTCAAAGCAGTTAATCACTGAGTTCTTCCATTGTCAAGGCCATAGCCCAGTTAGAGAGGAACTCAGTCCCTCAGCATGTTTCCAGTAGGTGCCTTTGGGTGGCGGTAATAGGTTTCCTCTTTCTACTTTTCTGTATTTTTACATTTTTTATAGTCATATTTTATTTTTATTCTAAAAATCCATTTAATATATATGTTAAGCACCATAGGGATAGTTGTATCCTTTGATCTAATAGTGCCATTTTGAGAAATTCATACTAAATAAATAACCCCAAAGAGGTGAACCGTATGCTCCAAGTTACTAATAAATAATATTAATTTGAAGTGATCGGTGAGTAGTTAAATTAAAGCAATCTTGTTAACAAGATATATTATTTTAAATGATAAATGTGAAGACAGTGTAACAATGTGAAAAATCTAAAGTTAAGTGGATAAAGCAGGACATAAGAGTGTGTGTGTACATATACGTATTCTAAAATGATTGAAGTAACATACATATCTGTATACATGTGCTCAAAGCCAGAAAGGGAAAGTGGAAATAATGTATATAGGTGCTTGGTAAGGGGTGCTGCGATCATGAACGCACTCTATAAAACACTCTGTCTATAAGGTTGTTATATTGTCTCCGTGATAAAAAGCAGATACTGTATTGTTTTAAACTGTCAAAATGATGGACCCCATTTTCGTATTCTGCTCTTTTCTTCAGAAAATAGCAAACAAAAATATGCTGGCAGAGCTGTACCAGTATGCACAGTTTGACGACTCTAAGCCAAACAACCTTCCAAATGGAGTGGACTTCTATGACATGGTGGGCAATGTGATCCAGGCTGAGAGAAACCCCCTTAGTGGCAAGGTAAGGAAAGAGAGCGGCAGCCCCTCTGTGATATCCAGCCAGCCTCACACCAACCTGCGCGGCAGACACAGCGGTCCCAGTTTTACACACCAGGAAACCAAGAGTGGTGGCAGTTAAGTTGCTGAGGGCCACACAGTTTGCAAGTGACTGAGCTGAGATTAGACACCAGGCCCACGTTTCCTCCAAAACCTACATCCTTTCTCCCAGACCTCCGGTCTCCCAACTAACTGTTCTGATCACGTATCCTATTAGCACAACATTTTGAGTTCACACCCTCATGATATATGTTTCTTTATAAATGATATATGTGTTCTGTTGTCAGTCACGATGTTGTATATTGATAAATTTAATTTCTTTTTTTTCTTAATTAGACATTAGTTAGAATATTTACTTCCCACACCCTGTGGTACCCCTTGGGGTGAGTCACCCACTTGGAGAGCAGTTCACACTGGGTTCCTTAGGAAGGAAGGAAGGGAGAATTCGAAGGCCCTGAAGAACCTGTGTGCGTGTGAGACAACGCTGGCCACTCAGGAGCTGGGGGATAGTTGTGAGGAGGGGTGGAGAGGGGAGGAGGCCCAGAAAATGGTCTCGGCAGCCTTACAGCTGTGCCTCATCGCCCTTCACGACGGCACAACTCCAGGGTCCCCAAAGCAGCTATGACATTGTATCCTCAGCTCCTAACTAGTCACCCTCACCCCCATTCTTGGGACCCAGCTTTGCAGTCCCTTCTGTCTGTACTTCTCACTGCAGCTTCAAACCACACCCCCCTCTCTCCCTCTTTCTCCCTCTCCCTGCCCACCCCCATCTCCTCCTCCCTGTCTCCCTCTCCCTCCTCTGCCTTCTTCTCCCCATCTTCATGATTTTTCCCTGCTGCCCTCTCTCTGGCTGTGTCTCTACCTCTGTTCCATCTTGCATTCAGACTTCCTAAGAGCAATGATCTGTTTAGGCCAGTCACTGCCCAGTATGACGATGGTGTCTGCTGGACTTCCAGTGCCGGGCTCTGGCGTGGACTGCAGTCAGTAAGCTGCCTTTCACCAGGTGCTGGTCCCCAGGGCAGGTAGTGGTCACCCTGGGATCAGGTACCTGATCCCCTGCTTTCTTTATCAGAGAGGTAGAGGAGCAGCAGGCACTCAGAGCATCACATTCCCTCCAGGACAATGTAAAAAGATGCTCACCACGTGGATTCTGTGATAGCAAGGGACTGGAGGGCAGTACATCTTTGGTGGTTAAGTAGCTCTCTGGGCTCCAGTTTCTTCTCCTATAAAATAGGGATAACAGGGCTTCCCTGGTAGCGCAGTGGTTGAGAGTCCGCCTGCCGATGCAGGGGACGCGGGTTCGAGCCCCTGTCCGGGAAGATCCCACATACCGTGGAGCGGCTGGGCCCGTGAGCCATGGCCTCTGGGCCTGCGCGTCCGGAGCCTGTGCTCCGCAACGGGAGAGGCCACAGCAGTGAGAGGGCCGCATACCGCAAAAAAAAAAAATAGGGATAACAATAGTCTCTACCTTGAAGTATTATTGTAAATTAAATAAGATAATATACATAAGCACACTTAGCACAGTGCTTAGTAAGTCATAATTGCTCAAAAAATGATAGTTTTTATTATCAATGTTATTAGAAAAGTTTAATGATCAATAATAGAAGAACAGTACAGTCATTTTTGGTTTATACATGATGGACTACTTAGCCACTACAATGAATATTTATGAAGAGTGTATTTTAACATGCAATGCTATGTTGTTAAATGAAAAACATCGGTATATAAAATTGCAGTACAATGTTACATAAGCACACACAGGAAAATCTGGGGTGAAACCATACATAGCTATCACTAGCATTCTCTGAGTAATAAGATTGTAGTTTTTAAAAAAAATTTTATTGAAACATAGTTTATTTACAATGTTGTATTAGTTGCAGGTGTACAAGATTATAGGTTTTTTTCTTCTTCCTTTTTCTATAATTTAAAAACGGAAGAAAGACCTTTGGAAATGGATGGGGTGTTTCACAGACCCGCCGTTCCTGTGAGACCTTCCAGCACCTCTGCTGCCCCTGACAGGCCCGCTGGCCCAGCCACATGTGCTCTTGCTCCATTTGCTGTGTGGGTGGCCCCCAGGACAGTGACTACGATGCTAATTAATGTCCCCTGGGGAATGTTTTCCTGAGACCTTAATCCCAAGAAAAACTGTGCATCTACGGGAATGCTTTTAGTCTTATAACTGATGCTGGTTCCTGCTTTTCTTTGGCTCCCAGGAAACCCAAGGCAGATATGTGCCCTGGCTTTAAAAGGACCCTCTTCCATCCTGCTCGGGGGACCATCCCAAATTTTACTTGCCTCCTCCTGGGATTCCTTCTCTCAAATGTCTGTTTACCTGTGAACACCTTCAGGGCAGGGACTCTCATCAACATCCCGAGCACCTAGGTGCTCGAAAAATATCTGTTGAAGAGCTGAAATGAAATCTTTTCGAAAGGAAGCAGGAGCGTGAATAAATAAACGATAAAGAACTAGCACACTCTTAACAAGTGTTGCCTAAGTGCCTGGCACTGTTCTAAGTGAGTATGTATGCTTTGCGTGTGTGTCACCCATTCATTTAACCCTCAGAGCAGTCCTGGAGGTAGGGACTGTCGTCATCATCATCTCCATTTCCCAGATGAGGAAATTGGGCACAGACAGTTTCAGTGACATTGCTCAGGGTCACGCAGCTAATAAGCTTAAGAGCTGGATTAGAATCCAGACAGTGCGGTAGCAGTCTGTGCTCTCCACCTCTCTGACGATACTGCCTCTCTCAGGAAACATGAGGAATGGCGGAAAAGACAAAGCCAAGAGCAGGGCTCAGAGAGCTCCTTGCTAACTAGGGTAGCTTGTGTATCAATGCACCATGCCCTCAGCTTCTGTAGGCTTGAAGGGAGTGCCAAGGAGTCTTTCCCTTTGCATCCAGGATGGGGGCAAGAGAGAGATCTCTGCTCCTCTTAATGGTAAGAGGAGAGGCAGCCTTACCATGTCTCTGGGGCCAGGCTGCCTGCTTTTGAGCCTCCCAGGCTGTGTAAGCTTAGGCAAGAATCCTAACCTTTCGACCCTCATTTTTCTCTTCTATAAATTGGGGATAACAGTTCCATCAACCAGCACCAACCGCAGAGATAGATGATGAAAAATAAAGTGAGATAAACAATGAACGGCATAGCTCAGTGCCTGATACATGGCAAGCATTCACCAAATGTTACATATTATTGTGGTAGCAGCTTTGGAGTCAGGGAAGGTTCAAGACCCGGTTTAGGACAATGAAGCCTGAATTTTCTGCCTCTCTGAGTTCACTGATAATTCTGTTCCAATTTTAGAACTCCATATGCTTACTGCTAACTCAGCAGGATTTCATGGTCCAGTGATTTGCATCTGTATAATATCTATGTTTGTTGATACTGATTATTATTGAATGAACACAGATGACAGCATGGAGCAACTGCCTAGAGTTATGGGTTCCGATCCTGGCTCTGCCACTTGCTGGCTGTGTTACTTTGGGCAAGAGACTTCAGCAATATATTTATTTTGGCCGCGCCACGTGGCTTGCAGGATCTTAGTTCCCCCACCAGGGATCAAACCCGTGCCCTCAACAGTGAAAACGCAGAGTCCTAACCTCTGGACCTCCAGGGATTCCTGTGACTTCATCAGTTTAGTCCTCAGTTTCCTCATCTGTGAAATGGAGATAATAACACATGCCTTGTATGATTATTGTAAGGGTTAAATGAGAACATGTAAAAACACCTGGCAAGGTAAATAGTTGGCACTCACTGAAAGGTTAGGTGGGTTTTTTTTTTAAGTTGACCCCAAAGTGTGTTGACTCCAAAGACGTCTGGCGGGGAGGTGGTGTGATTAATGACAGTAACAAGCCATGGAACATAGGTGGAAAAGCAGGTTTTGAGTGGAGATGATTATGAATCTGGCTGTGGCTCCAGGTAAATTTCAAAGAATAAATAAGTAAATAAATAAACAATAACAATAGCAATAATCATGTGAATTTTGTTTCTTTTCAAGTCTTTCTGTTCAGATAGAGAATTAGAGCAATTTCTCTGTTCTCCTTCTGTAAGAGCCATGTGGCTGGATAGCTTCTGGTGGATCTTTCATGAAAGGTACCAGGTAAATGCAAATCCGATGGCTTCTCTCCCTCACTTAAGTTATTTTTCTGTGGCACAAACCCCAGCCTCTTTAACGTGGGCTGTAAGCCCTTCTGATTCCACGGACCGCCCCAGCAGCCTCATCTGTCACACCCTGTCCCTTCCCCACCCATGCCTCGTCCATGCACTCTGGGCTGTAAACATTGCACCACGTCCTGCAGCTCCCCAGAGCATTAAGGACTGGTCCGTGTCACATGGCTGGTCAACGGCAGGGCAGAGAGTAAAGTCAGGACCTCGTGGCCCAGAGTTTGTGTGCTTTCCTCAACATTCTACCTCTCTGTATGTGTTTTATAGATCCTATAAAACAAATCAGTGTAGTATTTCATAAATAATATGAGATTAATTACCTTGAGAATAAGATTCCTAAAAATGAGAGAAATACTTAGTTAAGATTCCCAGTCCTTGGCCGCTTCAACAAGGGGCTCTAGTAATTCCTTCTCCGTTTTTATTCCCGGTAGCCAAAGAAGGAAGTCCAGAACAAGCTGTTCGACCGGATAGCCCAGCACTACGCCTTTCTTTTGTCTTGTGAATCCAGGTCCCACTACGAAGAGGCTCTCTTAAAAGTGAGCATCAATCGCTGTTCAGGAAAAAAAATCACATTGGATAGATGTTCACTGCTAGTGCCAAGTTAATGCCCTTAACGTGCTTTCCATAAGGGAGTAATTAGTAAGTTGTGATGTATTCATATACTGACTTGTAATGCAGCAGTTACCCAAAATAAGGTAGATCTATATATACTGATAGGGAAGATGTAATGATGTATTTCAAGTGAAAAACAAAACTCCATGTTAGAAAAATTATATGTATATGTATGTGTGCCTATGAGTAGAAAAAAAAGTCTGGAAAAATATTTACCAAACTCATAGCAATGCTTATTATCTCCAGGGAATAAGGTTATAAGAAGCTTCCTTTTATATTTTATTTATTTCTATAGTATTTAAATAAGCATGAGATTTGAAAATTATGAATATACATATGTACTTTTTATATATGTGTGTATGTACATGTATACTAAAAGGGTTGCTAGAAGAAAATATAAGTGAATATTGACATGATTTGGGGGTAGGGAAGGACTTTCTAAATATGACCCCAAGGGATTAACCATAAGAAGACTGATTTAACTATATAAATTATTTAAATTGCTACAGTCAAAGTTAAAAGGCAAATGAGAAACTATGCAAAAAATACTGGTAACATATATGCCACACAACATAAAGAAGTCTTACAAATCAATAAGAAAAATGGGCCAATGGACAAAGTACATAAACCAGAAATTCACCAGGGAAGAAATAAAAATGGGAGAAAAAGTTCACCTTTGACAATAATCGAGGGAATTCCCTGGTGGCCCAGTGGTTAGGACTCTGCTCTTCCACTGCAGGGGGCGCAGGTTCTATCCCTGGTCGGGGAGCTAAGATCCCGCATGCTGCGTGGTGCAGCCCTCCCCAAAATAATAATAATTGAAAATACAAATTAAAACAATCCTTTGGTACATCTTTTTACCTGATAGATTGCATAGATTAAAAAATGTAATTCCCAGTGTTATGAAGGACATAGGGAAATGGCACTCAGACAGCCTGAGTGGGAAGTGAATTGGGACAGATGGGCTGAAAGGCACTTACACTAGTTAAGTGTCTGCTTAACAAGTTGCTTAGGCTTTCAGTGTCTCAGTTTCATCACCCATAAAATGAGGATAATAATGCCTCTCTCGTTGAGTTGTCCTGAGTATTAAATGAGATGGTGTTTGTAAGGCATCTGACATATCACCCAGCACACGCTAAGCCCCCAATATATAATAGCTGCTATTATTACTCTTATTATACCATCTTCTGGAAGTCATATTTGAATATATAGTAAAAGCTGCTTTCATTTATGCATTCAACAAACTTTTTTATGCATTCAACAAACTTTTGATTGCTTAATATGTGCCAGACACTGAGCTAGCTTAATAAATAAATATAATTATTCTGCATAATTTGTAATGCAAAGTCCTAGAAACAAGACAATATCCACAGATGCTGAATGTTTAAGTAAATTTTGATATGGTCACTCAGCACAATACTATGAAGGTCACTACTGGAAAAAAAAAATCCCAAAGAGTTTATAGTAACCCGGGGAAGTATTTATGTTATGATGTTAAATTAATAAGCCAGATATAAATGTATAATTTGACCTTAACCATAGTTAAAAAGGAACAACAGTACTACTTATGCACAGGAAAGGAAAAAAAAAAACAGGAAGTAGGACTTAATATTATCTCTGGGGGACAGCAAGATGGGTATGTCAAATGTACTTTGTTATCTTCTGCGCTGATCTTTGGCCAGGTTGTAGAAGGGGCTGAGGCACAGACCGCATGCAGAGGAGCTGGGGGAGGGGGGTTTGCTGGCCAATGTAGCATGGTGTTTGAGGAGTGGTCCCCAGGTAGGGTAAGGGGTCCACCGAGATGTGGGGCAGCTGCAGATAGAAATTGCTTCCCTCGTGAACAGGAAGGCAGCATGGTGTCAGGTAGAGTGTTTTATCACAGGTCCTTTCTGAAGTCAGGGGCTCTTTTCTGGGTGTGGAAATGTCCAGAATATTGCCTGAGCTCTGCTTGCCCCCCAGAGGTTGCCATTACTTCTGAGTAAAGCCCTGTACACCAGCTTCTGCTGCTGCTTCCCTCAGTCCTGGTTCAACACTCACGAATTCAAGTCTGACATCTGTAACACGATGAGCCTGTGGATTTCAGGTGAGAGGTGGCTACTTTCTCCTGGGGAAAGCAATTCCAGAAACACGTCTTCCACCCGAGCCCAGGTAGGTTCCTGTTTGCCATCACACCTCTTCATCGAGGCAGTTGTTCTTTTCTCTCCTTGAAAATAAAGAAAGTAAAGTGTGTGGTTAGAGCCCGAGGAGTACTCATGATTCTGCTCCCTCAAACAGTTCTGAGACATTCCTAGTCCCCTTTCGTCCCCAGCTGCATCGGCAGGGAGCAGGTTTCGGCACAGCCCTGTTAGTTAACAATGTGCTGTAGGCCAATGGACCCAGGAACCCAAAAGCACTGTGCTGGCTAGATAATCCCACCTTCCACCCCCACTGTGACCCCACTTGACCCAACTGTCGTCCCCCTCTCCCTGCAGCACACACAGTGCCAGCTTGAGTTTGCTTGTCAATTACTTTTCAGTCTCCTTCCTCACGTCCCCCATCTCAACCCAGACATCCTCTAAGGTCGTTGAAAGCTGAGAGGTTCCCTGTGTACTAGGTACTGTGCTAAGTAAGCACCTTTCACATTTCCTACTGTGTTGAGGGTCTCCGAGATCAATTCCACATTAGGAGATTCGGTGGAGCTCACAGGTCTCGGCATACAGTTGTGTTTATGGCTAAGACTTATTATTACGATATGTAGTAAGGGTACACAGCCAGATCATAAGGGGAAAGACAGGCATTGTTTGGAGGAATTCACATGCAGCCCTCCTCCTCCCGTGAGGAGTTATACAGAGCCCCTCATCCCACTGCAGTGAACACGTGGCAACATGTGTGTGATGTTTCTGCCCAGAAGCCCGTTAGAGAAACAGCGCCCAAGGGTTTTACTGCGGGCTGGTCATGGAGGCACCTCTGTCTATCGTGTACCAAAGTTCTAGGGAAGCAGGTGTTTAGCATCAGCTACATTGTTACATAAACAGTCTAGGCGCAGTGAGTCACTCGTCAGCTAGGGAATAAAATTTCCCCCAGCTTTATTGAGATATAATTGACATAGGACACTATGGAAGTTTAAGGTGTACAGTATGATAATTTGATACACGTATATATTGTGAAGTTTTTACCACAAGCAGGTGAGTTAACACATCCTTCACCTCACATAATCCCCATCATGTTGTTGTTTTATGGTGAACATTTAAGATTTACTCTCAGGACTTCCCTGGTGGCACAGTGGTTAAGTATCCACCTGCCAATGCAGGGCACAAGGGTTCGAGCCCTGGTCCGGGAAGATCCCATATGCTGCAGAGCAGCTAAGCCCGTACGCCACAACTACTGAGCCCTCATGCCACAACTACTGAAGACCATGCACCTAGAGCCCATGCTCCACAACAAGAGAAGCCCCCGCTCGCCACAACTAGAGAAAGCCTGCGTGCAGCAACAAAGACTCAACACAGGCAAAAATAAATAACTAAAATAGATACACTAAAAAAAAAATAAATAAATAAAAAGATTTACTCAGAGCAACTTTCAAGTGTACAATACAGTGTTATTAACTGTAGTCACCATGCTGTCCATTACATCCCTGGAACTTGTTCCTTCTGTAACTGCAAGTTTGTACCCTTTGCCCCACATCTCCTGATTTTCCCCACCCACAGCCCCTGGCAACCACTGTTCTACTCTCTGCTTGTATGAGTTTGGCTGTTTTAGATTACACACACATAAGTGAGATCATACAGTATTTGTCTTTCTCTCTGAGCCTTATTTCACTTAGCAAAATGTCCTCAGGGCCCATCCATATTGTCACAAATGGCAGGATTTCCTTCCTTTTTATTGCTGAATAATGTTCTATTGTGTATACATGCCATAATTTCTTTACCCATTCATTTGTGAGTGGACAGTTAGGTTGTTTCCAGGTCTTGGCTATTGTGAATAACGCTGCGGTGAACATGAGCGTGCAGATATCCCTTTGAGATAGTGATTTCATTTCCTTTGGCTGTATATCCAGAAGTGAGATTCCTGGATCATATGGTACTTCTATTTTTAATTTTTTGAGGGACTTCTATACTGCTTCCATAGTGGCGGTTCCAACTTACATTCCTATCAACAGTACACAAGAGTTTCCTTTTTTCTCACAACCTCGCCAGCATTTGTCGTCTCTTGTCTTTTTGACAATAGCTGTTTTAATAGGTGAGAGGTGATAATCTTATACTGGTTTTGATTTGCATTTCCCTGATGATTAGTGATGTTGAGCACCTTTTCATGTACTTGTTGGTCATTTGTATGTCTTCTTTGGAAAAATGTCCGTTCAGATCCTTTCTCTTTCTCTAATTGGACTGTTTGGGTTTTTTTGCTACTGAGTTGTATAAGTTCCTTACAGACTTTGAATATTATCCCCTTATTAGACATATGGTTTGCAAATATTTTCTCCCATTCTGTAGGTTGCCTTTTCATTTTGTTGTTTCTTTTGCTGTGCAGAAGCTTTTTAGTTAAATGTAGTCCCACTTGTTTATTTTTGCTTTTGTTTCTTATGCTTTTGGTATCATACCCTCCAAAATCACTGCCGAGACCAATGTCAGGGAGCTTTTTGCCTGGGTTTTATTCTAGGAGTTTTATGATTTCAGGTCCATTTAAGTCCTTAGTCCATTTTGAGTTGTGAATGGTGTAAGGGGTGTCCAGTTTCATTCTTTTGCTTATGAGTATCCAGTTTTCCCAAAACCATTTATTGAAGAGACTATCCTTTGCCCATTGAGTATTCTTGGCTCCTTTGTTAAATATTCGTTGATCATATATGCACGGGTTTATTTCTGGGCTCTCAATTCTGTTTCATTGATCTGTTTTTCTGCTAGTACTATATTGTTTTGATTTTCATAGCTTTGAAATATGTTTATTTATTTATTTTTGTAAATTTATTTATGTTTTTTTGGCTGCATTGGGTCCTCGTTGCTGCATGCAGGCTTTCTCTAGGAACAGCGAGCGGGGGCTACTCTTCGTTGCGGTCCACGGGCTTCTCATTGCCGTGGTTTCTCTGGTTGCAGAGCATGGGCTCTAGGTGCACGGGCTTCAGTAGTTGTGGCATGTGGGCTCAGTAGTTGTGGCTCACGGGCTTAGCTGCTCCGCAGCATGTGGGATCTTCCCGGACCAGAGCTCGAGCCCATGTCCCCTGCATTGGCAGGCGGCTTCTTAACCACTGCGCCACCAGGGAAGCCCCTGTGATATAGTTTAAAAACAGGGAGTGTGGTGCCTCCAGCTTTGTTCTTTTTCAAGATTGCTTTGGCTATTTGGAGTCTTTTGTGGATCCATACAAACTTTAGAATTTTTTTCTATTTCTGTGAAAAATATCATTGGAATTTTGATAGAGATTACATTGAATCTGTAGATGATTTGGGTAGAATGGGCATTTTAACAATATTAGTTCTTTTGATCCATGAACATGAGATATTTTTCCATTTATTTGTGTCTTCAGTTTCTTTCGTCAGTGTCTTAGAATTTTCAGTGTATAGATCTTTTAATTCCTTGGCTCTAAGTTTACTCCTAAGTATTTTATTGTTTTTGATGTTTTGTAAATGGGGCTGTTTTCTTTATTTCTTTTTCAGATAATTCACCGTTAGTGTATAAAAACACAACTGATTTTGGTATGTTGATTTTATATTCAGTAAAAATGAATTTTACTGAATTCATTTATTAGTTCTAACAGTTTTTGGTGGAATCTTTAGGGTTTTCTCTATATAATATCATGTCATCAGCAAACAGATACAGTTTTACTTCTTCCTTTACAATCTGGATACCTTTTATTTCTTTTTCTTGCCTAATTGCTCCAGCAAGGACTTATAGTACTATGTTGAGTATGAGTGGTGAGAGTGGGCACCCTTGTCTTGTTCTTTTTATATATATATAAATTTATTTATTTATTTTTGGCTGTGTTGGGTCTTTGTTGCTGTGCGCAGGCTTTCTCTAGTTGGGGAGAGCGGGGGCGGCTCTTTGTTGTGGTGTGCAGGCTTCTCACTGCGGTGGCTTCTCTTGTTGCAGAGCACGGGCTCTAGGTGCGTGGGCTCAGTAGTTGTGGCACATGGGCTCAGTAGTTGTGGCTCGCGGGCTCTAGAGCACAGGCTCAGTAGTTGTGGCACATGGACTTAGTTGCTCTGCGGCACGTGGGATCTTCCCGGGCCAGGGCTTGAACCCGTGTCCCCTGCATTGGCAGGCAGATTCTTAACCACTGAGCCACCAGGGAAGCCCAGCAAAGTGTAATAGTGTGTTGAACAAACATTTGCTAAGTGCCTATTTATTGTGTGCCAGGTCCAATACTAAGCCCTGGAGGTACAAAGATGAATCAGACCCAGCCCCTGCCTTCCAGGCAGAGGAGATAGACAGGAAAACAAATAATTACTATGCCTTCACATCTGTGTAGTGTGTCACAGGTTCACACGTCTGTGGTGTGATCTCATCCTCACACTCACGCTGTCAGGAGGGCAGGGTGGGCATCACATCTCTGTTTTCCAGATAAAGAAACCAAAGTCTCATAGAGAGGAAGTGGCTCACTCAAGGCTACAAGGCCAGTACTGGGGGGAGGGAGGAGGGATCATGCTGGAAGCTCAGCCTCCCCGGGACCAGCAGGGGCATCTCGGAGGCCTCTGTCTTCCATTTTCTGCCTCCCTTTCTCTTTTGCAGAAGTTTTCATGATCACTCTTGACTCCCTCTTAGGTATATATCCTTGCCCACACAGCTATAATAGCTGGGACTACTCAAAACTGGATCCGGAGAGATTCCAGAGAGAAGAATTAATGTTGCAGAAAAAAAGTCTGCTGAAGGGTAAGGTGCCAGGTAGGGACTTCCGTCCCCTCTGTCCCCTGCCACACCCAGCTACCATCTAGTCCGGGCTGGGAGGGGCCCTAATTCTGAAATCCTCAGGCCTGGTTCTCTCTCACGTACCTCAAACTAGCCTCCAAAATGACTGAAATGTTAATGCTTAGCAACTATAGAGTCAGCACACCAAAAGTGCTGGGATGTGTGGGAATTTTAAAATAGTAGATGTCAGTTATTCAGTGTCTACCATGTGCCAGGCACCAGGTATCCTTTTTTTATATATATATAAATTTATTTTTTTATTTTTGGCTGCATTGGGTCTTTGTTGCAGCGAACAGGGCCACTCTTCGTTGCAGTGCGCGGGCTTCTCATTGCGGTGGCTTCTCTTGTTGCGGAGCACAGGCACTAGGCGCGCGGGCTTCAGTAGTTGTGGCTGGTGGGCTCTAGAACGCAGGCTCAGTAGTTGTGGCGCACGGGCTTAGTTGCTCCACGGCATGTGGGATCTTCCCGGACCAGGGCTCGAACCCATGTGCCCTGCATTGGCAGGTGGATTCTCAACCACTGAGCCACCAGGGAAGCCCCAGGTATCCTTTTTTTTTTTTTTTTTTCCTGCAGTACGCAGGCCTCTCACTATTGTGGCCTCTCCCATTGCGGAGCACAGGCTCCGGACGCGCAGGCTCAGTGGCCGTGGCTCACGGGCCTAGCTGCTCCGCGGCATGTGGAATCCTCCCGGACCGGGGCACAAACCCATGTCCCCTGCATCGGCAGGCGGACTCTCAACCACTGCACCACCAGGGAAGCCCCCCAGGTATCCTTTCGATTTAATCCTCACAACGGCCAGCTGAAGTACACATTAAATCCACTTCACAGGTGAGGAAACCAGAGTTCAGCGAAGCAACTTGCCCAAAGCCAACTTTCTTTTCGCACTTAACAGACACGTAAAGAGCGCCACGTGCCAGGCACTGTGCTAAACAAACACTGGGAACACGGCGTGGAGGCAAGCACAGCCTCCGCTGTGTGGTCTAGTGGGAAGTCGAGGTCAGGCAGTTATCCTACAGTGGACTGGGCACTGGTGACAGGTATACAGGGTGCTGAGGCAGCAGCAGGAGGGGGACCCAGGCCAGCCCTGAGAAGGTCAGTAAGTGACAGGTGAAGCGAAGGACCACTGTGTTCCAGGCAGAGGGGACAGCAAGTGAGAAGACCCAGAGGCGCTGAGGGAACAGAGGCAGTCCTCGTGGCAACAATGAAAGGACTGTGACGGGCAGCCAGCCCGTGGGTGGCTGAACCAGGATTCAACTGAGGACTGTGAAGCCAGGGAGACGCCACCTTGGGTTAGGATAAATTTACATCCTCCAGCTGGGGGCTGTCTGCCCCTTTTTATGGGGCACCCCAGGGATGCAGCAAAGCCTTGTCTGTAATGGTCAGTAGGACCCAGGGGGCAGACAACATCTGGCTAATCAAACCCCCGTAGCAACATCTAGGACCCTTTGGAGGGGATAGGAGTGAGGAGAGTTTTTTTTTTCTTAAATATGGTGAAAACAGTTCATACTGTCAAAGAGCATGTATCTGAGCACATAGCAGTAATCTGAATAAAAATAATGCTAATGCACACGTCGTTCTCTGCACCAGCCACTGTTTGACTTGTGTCATTCCACACCGCAGCTTCTTGAGAAATCCTGTCACCTCCATCTTACAGCAAGAATTGAGGTGCAGAGAGGCTCGTGTGCCCAGGGTTTTCCAGCACAGCTGGGGAGCCAGGATTTTGTCCAGATAGGCTAATCAGTCTCCTGCTTCGGTCAGTCTGGCCTCTCTGACCAGTTAAACCATTCCCCTCCCTCAGTCTAACGCCCTCGGGGAAAGCAAGGGTGCTCGGCAGGAAGGAGGGACCTCCTAAGAGGCAGTGCTGTCTCACCGTGGTGAGCTTCCTATCCCTGGAGGGCCCTGGTAGAGCTGCCGCATGCTGCCTAAAAGGTTCCGTGTTGGGTGGGAAGTTGGGTGAGGTGTCCCCTAAAGACCCTCTTTCTGAAGGCTGGACAACTGCAGTTAGGATTGTGGCTAGGATAAACGAGGGTGGGGGAACTGTCCCCAAGGCCATGTTAACTTTCGGTAATTCCTTAGGACTCACGCAGGGCTCAGTGTGTAGTCGTACTCACCGCTGTGATCTATTGCAGGAAAGGGCACAAAGCAAAATCTGCAAAGGGAAAAGCCAGGGCTTCCCTGGTGGCGCAGTGGTTGAGAGTCCGCCTGCCGATGCAGGGGACGCAGGTTCGTGCCCCGGTCCGGGAAGATCCCACATGCCGCGGAGCGGCTGGGCCCGTGAGCCATGGCCGCTGAGCCTGCGCGTCCGGAGTCCGTGCTCCACAACGGGAGAGGCCACAACAGTGAGAGGCCTGCGTACCGCAAAAAATAAATTAATTAATTAAATAAAGGGAAAAGACACGTGGAGCAAAGTCCAGTAAAACCAGGAACAAGCTTGCAAGAGTCCTTTCCTGCAGAGTCACACAGGACCCACTTTAATTCCCCCAGCGAGTTGCGACAACACGTGTGAGATGTTGCCTGTCAGAGGAGCTCGTTAGGGACCCAGTGCCCAGGGTTTTCCTGGGTGCTGATCACATAGGCGCTCCCCTGTGTGGTCACATACCCAGATTCCAAACTCCCAGAAGGAAAGTGGGTATTCAGCGTAAACCACATTGTTTGCACCGACAGTTTAGGCACAGTGAACCACTCTTATCAGTGGTGGGAGCCCTCCCGAAAGCTACATTCCCAGATGCCAGTCAAGGGCCAAGCTTGCAGTCAGGACTTTTCAAGGACAGTAGCCAGGACTGCTGTGTTAACACTTTTCTGCACAGTTGTGAAGATGGACGTGAAGCCATAAGCAAGATGGAAACTCATGGAAATTCAAGAGCTTTCAAGCACAGTGGGACAGGCCAGGAGGAGACTGGAACTGGGGTGGCTTCCAGATTCTAAGCAGCTCTAAGCATCTAGCAGCCAGCGTTTGTAGGTGTTCCATTTAGAAGTAAGAAATCGAGGGCTTCCCTGGTAGTGCAGTGGTTGAGAGTCTGCCTGCCAATGCAGGGGACACGGGTTCGAGCCCTGGTCTGGGAAGATCCCACGTGCCGCAGAGCGACTAGGCCCGTCAGCCACAATTACTGAGCCTGCGCGTCTGGAGCCTGTGCTCCGCAAAAAAAATAAATAAATAAATAAAAAAAAAAAAAAAAAAAGAAGTAAGAAATCGAGAGGAGGATCAGGTCTGTGAAGAAAGGCTATACGTTCAATTTCAGATGATGAATTTGAGGGAAGGATGGAACATCAGGTGGAGATGTCTAAGACATTGTTGGTGATACGGCTAGGGGAGAGATCGGGGCTGGGACTCCCACCTGAGGATTTATTCAGATACATGTGTTTGTAGAAATTACCTCTAAATGGGAATATCAAAGAAGGGAGGAGACAAGGCGGCTGAGGTCAGAGCCTTGGGGACCTCCTACACGCAGGAGGTGACAGCAAGAGAAATCAGAGGCAGGAGGAGCCCAGAAAGAATAGGGCTGTGGCAGCCAAGGTGGGCTCTCCTGAGGGGTGGTCAGTGGTGCCAACTACTGCAGAGCGTACCCCGGAACAAGGCCTAGGAGGAAGCCATGGAATCATACAGTTAGGTTGTTGGTGATCTTTATATATCGGCTTTATTGAAACCTGATTTACATAACATAAAATTAACCCCTTTGAAATGTATAATTCAGTGATTTTTAGTATATTCCCGTCACCACTTATTCCAAAACATTCTCATCATCCGCCTCCAAAAAAACCCCTGTTAGTGAACTTTGAAACAGCTATTAACATCAGGTGGTAAAAGGCGGGACCCAGATTTCAGGGAAAGTGATACAGAAGTGAAAACAGAGTAGAGAAAGGTGTGCTGGAGGCATTAACAGGGTTGGGGGTAGGAGAGCCACCCTCGTGTAAGCAAACACCATCACTCTTAGATGCCAGCTGAGAAGAGCGGAAATAGAATGGGTAGAGGAGGAGGGCAGGGTGCTTCAGCATCGCCCTCTCCTGTGAGGCCTCCTCCCTGGGGTAGGTTTCCTGGCTCAGGAGGCAGACTGCTGGGCCTTCACCTCTCTGCCCCACGTGGCTCCCGTGGTGTGGCAAAGACCCGCTGCTCTAAGTGTGGTCCGAGGACCAGCAGCATCGGCGTCTCTCTAGATCGACTAAAGCAGAGCCTGCAGTTTGCCAGGGTCTCCCAGGGATCTGTAAGCACATTCCAGTGTGAGAAGTCCTGGTCCAGGGCACAAGGGAAGAGCATACCTGGCAGCCCTTAGGGAAGAGTATGGCTGCAGTTATCAGCTGGAAATTATAAGAGCCACCACGTATTTGTCTAAGCATTTGCAGCTACTGACTCAAAAGGTTTGCTTTCCCAGCAGTCGTCATGGACACACAGGAATTTCAAAGTGAAAAAAACAATCTAACCTGGAAATTGTCGTCAAATTTAATGACATTTCAATGAATATTAAATTTAACACCTTAAGAGGTTGATAGATTGTTACTCTTTTAAGTGTTTAGTCCAACATTTATTCATTTCAATTGTGCAAAGTTCTGAGTTTTTGTTTTTCTTTTGAAGCCAATGCTTTTTTTGTTTTTTCTTATGGGTTGACTGCTTGCCCTGTGTACTCCCTGCATACATCATTTGCTTTAATCGGCTCATCAGCCCTTCAAGGTAGTTAGCATTCACACCCTTTAACAGGATCAGAGATGTTAGGTAATTTGCCCGAGGTCACTCAGCAGGTGGAATGACCGAGAGGCTCTGCTTTGTCAGAGGCCAGTCCTCTCGCTGTTGCTGTTGCCTCCAGGGAGGGGGGCTGTCTCAAAGCTCCTCCTCTGCAGTGTCACCCCCAAGACAAGAAGGAACTGAAGAACTACTTTTTTTCTCTTCCGTAGGAAGAGAGTTTTCTTTCCGCACTTCTAGGAGATACTTCAGCCAGAAGTCCCCCCAGAGCAAGAAGGTCTACTGCCCTCAGGTGAGTGTGAGGCACAGACCCAGACCCCTTGGAGCCCCCTAAGCTTCAGTGACTTCCGGTTGGTTCCGCGCCTCTGCACTCCCCGCCCCATCATCTCGGGGAGGGGTCCTGCTAGTCCTCCAGATATACATGGATGAGTGGGGCGCTAAAGGGTAGCCAGAAATGCAAGGACTGGGGGGAGAGAGGAGAGGAAGCAATCTTCAAGTGTAGGCCGCAGCACAGGTGCTTCTGTATCTTCTCCTCCCCAGTGACCCTCATCTCCAGCCTGAACCTGGCCCTCCTCCCCATACCTCCTTGTTCCTCTCTGCCCAGTTCCTCTTCCCTGCTGCGTAGCGCCCAGCACCACCACTCCTCTCCCAACACTCCAGGTTGAGCTCCCTTCACTAGTGCAGTAGGCTCCTGTCTCCCTCAGGCTCTCATCCCCCCCCCCCCCCCCCCCCCCCCCCCGCAGTGTTTTCAAAACACAAATCTAATTACATCATCCTGTCACCACCTGGCCCTGCCCTACTCCCCCAGCCCGAAACACGGTCCTCTCAGCCCAAATGAAAAACGCCTTCCAAGCCTCAGAAAGCTTCCTCCTGCCTTGGGGCAGATGGCCCTGCGGGGCCCTGCCATGTCTGGCCAGCCCTGTTGCCACCCTCCCGGACTCTGGGGCTCCTGCTGCAGGGACCTATTTCCTTGTAGACACCACACCCCCTACCTATACCTGGCCTCTGGACCCGCCGTTCCTTTTGTCCCAGGAAGGATCCCTCCACCACTGCCCTCATCATTGTCAGCATCTCCTCCCAGTGGTAGCCCGAAATCATCCAACGCTACCAACCAAGGCCCATTTTTTCCTGATAAATGTCCAGGCAAACTAAGAATGAGGCCTTCCACTGCCTGTTGTCGTAAATGACACCTTACTGGCACACAGTCACAGCTGCTGGTTGATTATTGCCTTTGACTCTGCAGCAGAGTTGAGTGGTTGCTATAGAGAATCAATGGCTTGCAAAGCCGGAAACGTTTACTCTCTGGCTCTTGGCAGAACTTTGTCGCCCCTGTCTCAGGGGACACATACTTATCCTTCCATCTCAGCCGAGGCCCTGGTCCTCAGGGTCGGCTGTCTTGACCCTGGTCTGGATTTGGGTCCTTGTCATCTGTGCTCACATCCCTCTCCTTCAGAGCACTTATGTAGTTATTCGGTCCTGACTCTGATCACGGCGCTCTCCAGAGCTACTCTTTGAGCTCTGGACTGACATCCCCGTTTCTCATGCTTCATTCTTAACAAGTAGCTTATGAGACTTGATCTGCTGTTAGAACAGCCTTCCCCCTTTGTTTGATGCAAAGTTGGGAGTGTTTCCACCCTGGAACCTTCACCAAAAGGATGTTTGGGATGGGTGGAGGTGTGCCTTTCTTCTGTAAAGTGGGATTAAGGGACACTGCCAACACCTGCACATTCTCAGGACGCTCACTCATAGCAAACAGTAACTAAGGAAACTTGAGGACCTGGAAATGGGTGTTCTTAGAACCGGCAGTCCCACTATTCCTTGGGAAGTCTTCATGTCCCCACAGGGGTTGACGATCTCTGCCTAGGAGCCTGGTCTCACGGGTTCAGATTCGAGCTGTGCAGACGTAGACAAGTTACTTAACTCTCCTAAGACTTGGTTTCTGCAGGTGTGAAATGAGCACAGTCACAACAGTGCTTTCTTCCTGGCACCACGAAGGTTGCAGCACGCCGACTGTGGCTGGGCTCCCTGTAGGTGCACGGCCACACGTCTCAGCTGGGCACTCAGCCCTGCCCGCCTGCGCTACCGCGCTTCCCCAGCCCGTCCAGGTTCCCACTCCTCCAAAGCCTTGTTCTGTTCCCTTTGCAGAATTCTCCAGCTGCAGTCAGCCTTTCCCACGCGCCCTCCACCCCAGCCTCTCCCAGGTAATGTCTTCATTGAGAAATTAGAAGCGGTCAGCAGTAAGGCCCTCGCCTGCCGACCACGAAACAGCCTGCCCCCATCTGTACCTTCGCCGCCTGCCAACCCGGCGCCCCTGGAGGATGGGCCCTGCCCCCCACCTGTGCTTGGACCTCGCCCCCTCGGCTTCCACTCCTGCACTTGGCACCCTCTTTCCTGCATCATCGTTTTCCCCGCTCTGTTGGATCACTCCCATCGTTGAACTGTCCTGCTCTAGCATCTCTTGCCTTTGCAAAGAAAATCCCCGTTGTCTCTGCACCCCCATTTCTTGCTGCCTTTCCCACAGAATTCCCTTGAAAGACTCGTCTGCACCGGCATCTCCTTTCCTCAGCCACTCCAGTGGGTTCCTGCCCTCCACGTGCCTCTGCACCTTCTCTGGCCAACCTCGCCTGGCCCCTAACCTGTTCACTCTTCTGGTCTGTTTCATGTGGTGGGCTGCTCCCATCTCCTTCTCTTTTTTTTTTGGCTGCGTTGGGTCTTTGTTGCTGCGCACAGGCTTTCCCTAGTTGCGGCGAGCGGGGGCTACTCTTCGTTGCGGCGCGGGCTTCTCATTGCGGTGGCTTCTCTTGTTGCAGAGCACAGGCTTTAGGTGCACGGGCTTGAGTAGCTGTGGTTCGCAGGCTCTAGAGCACAGGCTCAGTAGTTGTGGCGCACGGGCTTAGTTGCTCCGCGGCAGGTGGGATCTTCCCAGACCAGGGCTCGAACCCGTGTCCCCTGCATTGGCAGGCGGATTCCTAACCACTGCACCACCAGGGAAGTCCCTCACATCTTCTTGAAATGCTTTTTTCTCTTAGCTTCTACATTACCAGACTTTTTCAAGGGTCTTCCTTCCCGGCTGGCTCCCTGTCTCATCAGTCAGGTCTAGCCTGGCTCCTTCCCCTTCTAGCTATATATTCTTCCCAGGTGGTCTCATCTGGTCTGGTGGCTTTAAATACCACGCATATGCCAGTAACACCCAAATCTCCCTCCACGCCCTGGCCTCGCTCGGGACTTAGGCAGGTCTGTCCAGCTGCCCTGTTGGCTTCCCTGGGAGGCTCTCAACTTAGCAAGGGGAGAGGAGAGCACTGATTCCCAGCCCCGGCGTCACTCCTCTCCTGGCTCGTGGCAGTAGCCTCTTCCTGGGCTCCTTTCCTTCACTCTTAGCCCCAGCTCAGTCGCCACACAGCGACCAGAGTGACCTTTGACAGACAGACACCAGACGAGGTTGTTCCCTGCTCAAACCTCAGCAGCTTCTCCCGTGCCCTTCAAATGAACTCCAGACCCCTTAGCCTGACCTGAACTGCCCTGCAGAATCCAGCCACCATCTCTCTCTCTCCGGCCGCTTCACTTCCATTCCCTCACTGCACTTCCTTCTGCCTCTGGGACGCTCCAGGCCTGTGCCCAGTTGCGTCACTCGCTGTCACCTTTGCCTGGAACGTGCTTTCCTCAGGGTCCCTGAGGGAAGGGCTGGCTCCATCTTGTCCTTCAGATTCCAATTTTCTGTCATTGCCTTAGTGGTGTCCCTGGCTCCCCGACCACTCTCTGTCATCACATTGCCTGTTATGATTCTCCATACAGTGCTTATCACTCTCTGCTATTCTTCCTGCAGGATTTATATGTTGTTTAGTATCTGTCTCCCCCTATTTGAATGTAAACTCCATGAGAACAAGACCTCTTTTCCTTTTTCCCTGTTCTATCTCAAGCTCCTAGAATAGACCATGTACAAAGAAGACACTCAACAAATATCTCTTGACTTCACAGAGGAGGTCATCTATGTAAACTCCTCACCCTGTGCTTAGTGTATAATGGTGCTCTATACATGTCAGCCTCCAAAAGTATAGACAAAACAGGCACTGTGGAGGGACAGCTGTCACTCCCAGACCGAGATCAAAATATTATTCAGTGTTTTTGCACTGCCTGTCACAACCGTGTCAAACACATGTATTTTCTTGTCCTGGAATACGTAAAATCTTCTGACAGTTATTTCAGAAACCCAGCTAAGAGAGTCAGTTTTCTTCCCCAGAAATAGAAATAATCAAAAGCTTTCCAGCCTTAAAAGCAGCTGAAGTTTTACTGGGCAAACCAGGATGGAGGGAGTCATCAGATTCCTCGTGCGGGCAGATCCTCTCTCTTCTTTTTAGCAAACATGCTTTCCCGTCTGCTCAAGGAAATAGTTGGCTGTGTTCAAAATGTGCTTTTCAATGACAGCAATCCGTCTGGGAGTCCACAGTTCGGGGGAATGAATGGCAGTCATTAAAATGTCTCTGACCTGTGGTTTGCCCTTCTCCCACTTCGTGTTGGAAATTTGCACCGTGGGAATGAAAAAGCATCTAACTGTATATCTGACTTCTGCCATGAGGCTCAGCTATAAATAAGGGCTCCTACCTATTAGAGACCGGGTCATTCGTTCATCTAATAAAATGAGAGAATTGTCAAATAAGACCTTTGTAAGGAGGAATCATCATCAGAGTTCTTATTTGCAAACAAGGGAATCTACTCCAGCTACTTTAAAGAGGAAGAATGTATTAAAGGGTATTAGTGGTGCACAGCTCCCCAGGATGGGCCAGTGCTTTGGTTTCAAATGCCACGCCACCAAGAACGATGCCCAAACCATACACCCCTGCAAAGGTACACTGATGTGCGCCGACCAATGGTAGTGGGGACTGATGCTCAAAACTGCACTCTGCTTTCCTTGAAAAGCCAGTTGCCCTGTCAACAGTCTCTCCAAAAGCTAGAGTCTCGTTGGTTCCCCACTTCCTCACATTGCTCATTTCCATCTTGAAGTCTCAGGCAGGTGCGTTGCCTCTGAGGGTTAGAGCCTAGGTAAAACTTCTGCACCCAGCCACAGAGGAAGCTGGGAGAGCAGCTTAAGTCTTTCACTTTGGGGCCTGGGTCTCATGAACATGGAGAACATGTGACAAATAACACCCCCAGAAAGTGCCATCTGAGCTGAGAACCAAAGGATGAGAGGAAGTCAGCCATTAGAAGAATGAATGAAAGAACCTTCCAGGAAACGGGAACAGCATGTGCAAAGGCCCTGAGGCAAAAAAAAAGGGGAGTTGAGACATTCAGAGAACAGAGAGAAGGCCAGTGACGCTGTAGCCCAGTGTGTGTGTGTGTGTGTGTGTGTGTGTGTGTGTGTGTGTGTGTGTGTGTGGAAGAGGGGCAGGAGTCGAGGCTGGAGAAGTAGCAGGGGCTGGATCCTGCAGAGTTGGGTGGGTCATAGTAAGAAGTATGGATGTAATTTCAGTGCTGTGGGAATCCATTGAAATAAGGGGATGACATGATCTGATTTCTATTTTTTAAAAGAACAGTGTCTTCTGAATATGGAGAATATAATTGAGAGGGGGACAGAAGACCAGTTAGGAGGCTTTGCAGTTGTCTAAGGAAGAGGCAGTGACAGCAGGAGGCGAGAAGCAGAGAGATCTGGAAGGTGTTTTGGAGATGGATATTTCAGAGCTTGCTAATGGATTGGCTTTGGGAGTGGGGAGGAGGGGGAAAATGGGAGGAGTCAAGGATGCATCCCAGTGTGTGGCTTAAGCAGCCGAAGGTGTGTGGGGTTTGTGAGACGGAAAGTGAAGGGTCAGGGGTGGGGGAAAGCTATCAAGTTCAGTTTTGAACTTGTTAACTTTAAGATGCCTGTGAGAAGTGCAAATGGAGATGTCAAGTAGGTAGTTTAAACATGCGAGGCTAGACCACAGGAGAGGCCAGGGTTAGAGAAAAAACAATTTCTACCCAAGTTTCATGTATTGGTGACAAAATACGGGGACTGCGAGTGAGTGACCACCATGGAGCCATAGGCAAAGGCAGAAAGACATACTAGGCTTGGTTCCAGAAGAGCTAAATTTTCCCACCTACCAGTTATATAAGCTTTGAGCAAATCTGAGTCTCTCTGTTCTTATTTGCAAAATGGGCATCATGACTGGTATTAATTCTTATAGATTCAGTCTAGGTTTAGGAGATGTCCCATAAATTGTTGTCTAGCCATGTCCTGTCAGAATGTTTGCTCATTTTAACCAGAATTTTCCTAATTTCCAGAGCATGGGTACATAAGGGTCATTTAACAATCATGATCCGAATTCCTGCAGCTCATTCCCATACCTGCTGATACCAGATCTGCAAAGCCCACTTCCCTCGCGGACATTCCAGGGCATCCCCAGATTGAATCTCACGTTGGCTCAAAAGCAGGTTTCCCTGCTACTCTGTCCCATCACAGCTAAGCCCTCAGTGTGCAGAATCTGAGCGGCAGGCTGACACGGGGTGGAATGGTTCCATCTCCTCTGTGCGATGGTAGGAAGGGGGTCCCAGAGGAGTCTTAGTTTACCCCCCAGCCCAGCAATAGTCACCTTGCCTCATATAGTCAGAGGGCGGTTGCTGGTCACAACACAAGAGAGTGGGTGGGAAAGGACTTTGGAGAAAGTCCACCATGTACAGATTTTCTTTGCATATATCCTCCTAGTCCATACAACATCCCTGCACTGCATGGTAGGTAATTATTATCTTTACTTGACTCAAACTGGTGAAAACTTGCCCCAGGCCACACGGCTGACTTCAGATGACGTCAGGTTGCTGTCATTCCGAGCCCTTTCTGCATCATCATGCTGCCTGTCCAACAAATACGAGGGTCTAATAACTTCATCCAAGCCCGTCTCCTTGCATCTATTCTCTGCTCCACGACAGATCGCTCCAAGGCCTGTTAAGAATGAGCATGATGCTTCGCTGTGCCCTGGGAGTGTCTTTTCTCTAACAAGTCCGAGTAACCACTTCAACACTATACAAATCAGTAGCTGTTGGACAACCAGCTGCATGGTGGATGGGGAGTCCTTTCAGCTTTCTTCTTCCCATTCAAATATCATATTTATATAAAAGCAAAGTGAGGATTGTTGAGGCTGGTGGACTGCTTGTCTGCCACTTGGTGGGCCATCTGTTTAACATTGCCAAACTCCTACTCATCCTTAAAGACAGAACAAAAGTGTCTTCTCTCCTTGGAAGCCCTCCAGCTCTGCCCCAAACAGAATCAAGCATTCGCCACTCTGGCTTCCTAGAATACTCTGCTGGTGCTGCTGACTATTAACTGTTCCCCAATATTTGTTGTTTCCTCCCTCTATAAAAAAAAGAGAACCTATAAAATACAGATGACATTTCCTTACCTCCCTTACATCTATGTGTAGCCATGTGACTAAGATCCAGTTAATGAGATTTAAGCAGATGTGCCTTGTAGCCGTTTCTGAGAGCCCTCCTTCAAAAAACAGCTCATGTGACACCTTCATCTCTTTGTCCTTTTCTCCATTCTGCTGCCTGGAATGTGAACGTGATGACTGGAGCTCTAGTTGCCATCTTGGACCCTAAGAACAAGGGTCCTATCTTAGGAAAGTTGGAACTGAGCTTGAAGAAGTCAGAGTCCCTAAGGACTTATCAGAAATAACATATAGACCCTGAATTGCCTACCTTCAGACTATTATGTGGGAGAGAAGTTTCTACCTAGTTTGAGCCACTATTAATTTTGAGTCTTTGTCACTCACATACAAACCTAATCCTAAGTTACGTTACCTCTCTAATACGTGGTACTTTCCACACCTTAGCATAATTGTCTGTTTACTATTATCTCCCCTGCTAGACTGGGAGCTCCTCTAAGCAGAGATTAGGTTTCAGATTCTGCCCAGTGCCAGACGCATTAGAAGTTGCTCAATGAAATGTTTCCTGAAGGAAGTGCGGTGAGTGATTGCATGAACAACTGTGCAGTGTCAGCGGAGCACTTGCCACGAGCAGCATTGCATGCACTTTGCATGCATTAGCTGACTTAATCCCCATAAGAACCCCACGAGGAAACCACGGCAATCGAGAGGTTCAGTGACTTGCCCGAGATCACCAGCTGTTGAGTGACAGGGCTGGGACTAGACCCCAGTCTGCCTCAGTCCCCAGCTCACGTATTTTCTACATCAGCCACTGCTGTCCCCCGTGCTCCCAGGATGGAGGGCTGAGTTATTGAGCTGTGCCTGAAAGGTCTCCCTCTACGTGTTCCTCTGTTGAGAACAATGACAAATATCTAGGAAATTGCACGTATACTTTTTGTATTCCTCTCACTACCAGTTTTACTAAATTTGTTCTTCTGTGTTTTTGTTTTTTCCTCTCTTGGCATCTTCTGATATGAATTCAACCAACGTGAGAACCTCTTTTGCCCAGAAGAATTCAATGGATGGCTCACAAATACAGAATACCTCAAAAGGTACATTAACCACCTAAAGGAGAAATGTAGGCTTTTGATTTATCATCTCCAAAACTGTAGTTTCTTGGGTTTTTTGGAACCTAATCTGCCACCCTCATTTGCACCTGTGGTTCTAGCCTTGGGCCTTGACATCAAGCAATATCTTAGGAGAAGACACAATTGTCTTTTCATTTCAGTTACCACTAGTTAAGTTCCACTTTTGTGATAATGAGTTCAGCACAGTGCTAATATCTGTGGGGAAGAGAGATTGTTGGCAATGGAAGAAAATAAATCTAAGATATGATCACTGCTTCTCTCCCCCATCAGAAACCAGCATTTATTGAGTTAGACACTGATTTGTACCTGGGTGTTAATTTACAAAGGTGACTGAGCGACTACACAGGTCAATGCCATTGAAAGAAAAGTTTGTTGCTCTCAGTTCTAGAAACAGGAGGCACAGCTCTCCATGCAGGACCCTGGGAGGGAGCTCCAGTGTTGGTTAGGTGGCAGAAAATGCTACTGAAAGCTCGGCCTCTCTGGACACTGGTGCCAAATCCAATCCCGGGGACAGAGTTTTGGGGGAAGTAGAAAAGGATAGCTGTTGTAGTTTATCTTAGGACAGGGCCGAAAGTAAGCTCAGCACAGCAGTAGAGGACTGCCGCTCGCTCAGGCAAAACAGCGCCGTCTGTCCTGCTGTGGTAGCTTTTATTAAAGCATTATCTAGGTTTACATTTTAAGACTTGTTTTCTTAACATTCCAGAAATGCCAAAGCAGCAACCTTTGTTTCTATTAATTATACAAGCAATAATTGGCTTTCTTGAGAACCTGCCGTGCTTCGTCCTTGAGCGCGAGAACAGCACAAAGTTCCCACCATTATTTTGATTATACTGAAGTAGCACAAGGACATTTCCTTGCGTTCCCACCACTCTGTTTATACTGAGGACATCTCATGGATCAGTGCCCAAAGCACTCCATGTTTTTTTGTAGGCCCCCGGTTTGTTGGGGGGGCGCTCAAAGCATTTAGAACTGTTTACAGTTCTGGCTTATTCGCTAGCCCCCAGTTTGTTGGGGGGCGCGGCTCATGGGTTACGTCTCCTTTCCATGTCCTCAGTTGTTCCACTACAGATAGCTTTATTGCTTTGCCAGGCAAAGGGGGACACACTGGGCTTGTGCCTCATAAAAGCTATGTGACCCCACCCCAGAGGATTTGATGAGGGGTTTTATAACAGTGGTTCAAAGGTGGGGTCCTGACAAGATTAGTGTGTGTGCAGGGCTCGCCCCCGCCCCCCCCTTATTCTTGTCTCAGGTGGTTTCTTGTCTGCTCCTCCCTTGATTAGCAACTGTTTGAATCCACCCTTTGGAACTCAGGGAAGGTCATGGAGGCTGGCATCTTGCCTACAAGAAATGGTGGACAAAAGGAGGCCTCCGTGCCCAGCCTCCACTTGGTTTCAGGGCCTGGGAGCCCCACAGGGCCCCGCTCGGTTTCAAAAGGAGCAAGGGGAAAGCACAGGCCACAGCCCTTACTGGGATTTCCTTGGGAAAGGCAAGACACGACAGGGTAAACCACTTAGGATTGGCTATATTGAATCATTCCGGTGGGCTTTGGAGTATAAGGGCTGTCCCTAGTTGTCTGGCACCTGGGCCTGGGCTGATTTAAGTCAGGGGAAATATTGGCTTGGTGTGAGAGTTAGATAAAGGAGGTAGTTCAGAGTATGGGCTCTGGATCATGGAGGAGTTGTAAACGACTTTGGCCATTAGTTTGGCCCTGTAATTAATGGATGCCAAAGAGACAAGTATAGAACCTGAGAAACCTGAGTTAGAACATAACACTTAAGTATCATTCTAGACCATCTCACACATGCCATCAGTATTTGAAAAAAGTTAAGCAATCCTTTTTCTTGATGGAGAAATGGAGAAGTACGTGAATTACATCTCAATAAAGCTGTTAAAAATACCCAAAACTTGGGGGCCGCTTATTGAGAGGTATAGAGGGGATTCCAAATAGAGGGAAATATTTGTGGGAGACTTTGCAAGTCCCCAAAATATACATATATAGACCTATGAGTCAAAGAGGAAGTATCAAGAGAAATTAGAAAATAGTTTGAACTGAGTGAAAAGGAGACCTTTTTCCCTAAAATGACCATTTAATGCTGTAGAGTTCCGTCTGTGTCCTGGGCATCCCACAAATGTTTTAGATCGAGTGTTTTTATCTTTATTCAGTTTGTGTTGTTTCTACTTTGTAACTATCATAAATAATGCTGCTGTGAACATTCATGTACAAGTTTTTGTGTAGACATATGTTTTCATTTCTCTTGGGTGTATGTATACCTAGGGTGGAATCGCTGGGTCATATGTTCAACATTTTGAGGAAATGCCAAACAGCATTCCGAAGTGATTATCGTACATAGTTTAAAGAATGTAAGAGGAGGAAAATACAGTATTATATTTACTCTATATAACCAGATAGATTTATAATATATATTATATATTTACTATATATATTGTACTTACTATATATAACCAGATATTTACAGTTCCTGTTGCTTTTCCTTCATTCCTGAAGTTCCAAGTTTCCCTCTGGTATTATTTTCCTTCTTACACGCCCCCTCCCAAAAGAAAACCCTTCACTTAAAATAAGCCTGCTGGCAATGAATTCGCTTAGTTTTCTTTCTTCTGAGAATGTCTTTATTTCACCTTCATTCTTTTTTCTTTTTTTAATGGCCTACTCACAAGACTGCCTTTATTTTTTTAACATCTTTATTGGAGTGTAATTGCTTTACAGTGGTGTGTTAGTTTCTGCTTTATAACAAAGTGGAGCAGCTATACATATACATATATCCCCCTATCTCCTCCCTCTTGCGTCTCTCTCCCACCCTCCCTATCCCACCCCTCTAGGTGGTCACAAAGCACCGAGCTGATCTCCCTGTGCTATGTGGCCGCTTCCCACTAGCTAGCTATTTTACATTTTCACCTTCATTCTTGAAGGATATTTTTTTCTGGTTATAGAATTCTGGGTCGAAAGTTCTTTCCTTTCCACACTTTCAAATGTTGTTCCACAGCTTCTGGCCTCAAGGGTCTGATGAGAAATCCACAGTCATTTAAATTCTTGTCCCCCTTTTGTGTCAAGCATTTCTCTTAGACTGCCCTCAAGTTGTCTTGCCTTTCAGCTGGTTGTTAGGATGTGTAGGGCATGGGTTTCTTTGACTTTGACTTGACTGGGGTTTGCAGAGCTTCTTGAAACTCTTGAAAAGTTTATGTCTTTTGCCAAATTTGGGAGGTTTTTCAATTTTTTTTTGGTAGCACACTCTCCTTTCGTTTTAGGACTTTGATGAGACAATGTTAGACCTGTTGATATTGTCCCATAGGTCCCTGAGGCTCTGTTCATTTTTTCTGGTCTTTTGTGTCTACACTGTTCAGATTGTGTATGTAATAAAAATACAGATTTGATCTTTGTCCCCAGGTCCTGGCACAGAGCTCCTAAAACCCTTGGGATTTCCTGAGTGATGGGAATGTCTTTTGTTATTCATTATTAGCATCTTCCAGCCACACCTGAGTATATCCTAATATAGTGACCCAGGTTGGGGCCTTAGGTAGCTTCAGGATAGGACCCAGAAAGACCAAAACATGAGGGACTTCCCTGGTGGGCCAGTGGTTAAAAATCCACCTTCCAATGCAGGGGACACAGGTTTGATCCCTGGTCAGGGAACTAAGATCCCACATGCCGCAGGGCAACTAAGCCCACGCACCACAACAGCTGAGCATGTGGGCCACAACTATAGAGCCTGCGTGCTCTGCCCACACACCACAACTAGAGAGGAGCCCATGCCCTGCAAGGAAGAGCCCGCGCACCACAGCGGAGGATCCCGCGTGCCGCAACGAAGACCCAAGGCAGCCAAAAATAAAAATAAATATTAAAAAAAACACAAGACCAAACATGATTAGAGGGTGGGAACTTTCAGCCTCACCCCTCCCAGCCTCCAGGGAGGAGAGAGAGACTGGAGACTGAGTTATAGAAACTCCTGAACAATGTGATTTGGTGAACTGCCAGGTCGCTGAACACACTGATGTGCTGGGAAGGTGATGTGCCTGAAGAGGGCATGGAAGGTCCGTGCTCCAGCCCACATACCGTGCCCTATGTCTCTCTTCCATTTAGTTGTTCCTGAGTCGTGTCTTTTATACTAAACCTGTAATAGTAAGCATAGCACTTTCCTGAGTTCCATGAGCCATTCTACTGAATTATTGAACCCAAGGGGGTCATGGGAACCCCCAAATTTATAGTTAGCTAGATAGAAGTATGGGTGGCATTTGACACTGGTGCTTGAAGTGGGGACAGTCTTGTTGGATTGAGTCTTTTAACTAGTGGGATCTGACACTAATTCCAGGTAGATTTGAAATTGAATTAAATTGTTAGATACCCAGTTTATTTCAGAGAATTGGAGAACTGGTGTGGAAAACCACACATATGATATTAGAAAACACACAAATTGGATAATTTTTATTGATCTGTCTTCAAGTTCATTGTCTCCTTCCTCCATCACCTCCGCTCTGGTATTGATCCAATCCAGTGAATTTTTTATTTCAATTACCGTATTTTTCAGTTGTAAAATTTCTATTCAGTTCTCTGTCATAGCTTCTATTTCTCTGCTGAGACTTTCTATTTTTTCATTTATTTCAGAAGTATTCACCCTTACTTCTTAAAGCACTGTTATAATAGCTGCCTTAAAGCCTTTGTCTGATGATTTCAACATCTGAGTCATTTCAGTATTGGTGATGCCGATTGTCTTTCTTCCTTGAGAATTTATCAGATTATTCTGGTTCTTTGTAGGTTGAGTAATTCTGGATTCTATTCTGGATATTTTGAGTATTTTGAGTCTTGTTTAAATGTATGAAGAATGTTGGAGTGTTTTGTTTCCTTTGTTTTAGCAGGCAATTCACCCAGTTAGGCTCAGGTCATAAGTTTTGTAGATTGTGGTTTCAATGTTAGTTCAGTTTTCAAAACTTTTGCAGTGCTATTTTGATCTGTCCTAAATGTGTGCTACCCAGGGACCACATTTGAGACTTGAGAAGTGATCTACCCTGTAGTTCAGTTCTCAAAGCCATCTGTTTAGGGTCAGATACACATTTATATGTGCAGCTCAGGGGTGAGCATATGCATCCGTACCCAATTATTTAGGATTCCTTTCTTGAGCTCTCTCCTCTCTGTAATTTCCCCCATATATATATATACAGAGAGAGAGAGAATTTTTAGCAGTTCCTTACTGCAGTTCTCTTGGTAAGTTCCCTTGGTTTTTGTTTTTCTATGAATGTCTTTATTTCATCTTTCTTCTTAAAGGATAGTTTTGCTGGGTATACACATTTACCTTAATGCTTTGGTGATTTCATTCCACTGTCATCTTCTAGCTTCCATTGTTACTGTTGAGAACTCTGCAGTCATTCTAATTGTTATCTGTTTATAGATAATCTGTTGTTTCTCTCTTCCTGTCTTTAAGATATTCTCTATTAACCTTCTACAGAAGAACCATAACTTTATGCAAGAGTTGGATATTTTTTTCTGTTTTAATCACAACACCTTTCCTGATTCTGCTTAGCATTTTTAAAGCCTTTAGGCTCCTTATTCCTTATTCTGGGACCATACTGTATTGTACAGAGAATTCTGTCATGGCACATTAGTTAGTGTTACACTTATCATTTACCTGTCTTTTTTTCTTACTAAGCTGTGAGTTCCTTGAAGATAGTCTACTTCCAGCACCTGGCATGGGCCCAGCACATAGTTAGCCTCAGCAAAATGTTGGATGGATGGATAGAAGGATGGGCAGATAGATTAGTAAATGGACAAATGTGTGGCCACAAGTGTACATCTGGCTAAAATGCAAGTGAAATTCTATGAATTTACCTGAGTGACTTCCTCTAGCATCTCCCAATGATCTGAATATACCCAGGCATTTTCACATTCATAGAAAGCTAAGGTCTACCATATGCTCTTTCTCATCATAGCTGAGAAGCCCTATTGATCATTTTTTGTGCATATTGCATTGACAGAGCATAATTATCAGACTCTGGTCTTGAGGAAAGCAACACAACAAGTCAAAAGGATATCTGCGGCAAGAAAACTTGAGAATATGCTTCCTAAGCCGGTGAGCACGTGATTGCAAACTTAATAGCAGAGATGATTTAAAGGGGGCTAGGAGATCTGGCTACAAGAGCTAGCTCTGTGAAGATGTCAGGGTAAGAACTGGGGTATTTCTGATTGTAGACTTGGGTGAAACAGTAAGGAAATCTCGTAAGGGTAATTACTGACTGAGGTAGGCACAAGTTGAGTGAGAATCTTGCCTGGATTTCTCCAGGATTTAAATTACTTGCTTGAAACTCAAGAGCCTGGGTGTAATGGAAAGAGAAGAGTCTCAGTTTTCTACTCTATGAAATGGGGACAATAATTCCAAGGTCCTGGTGTTCTTATGAGGTTTACCTGAGGTAGTGATGATAATTAACATGTAATGAACACTTACTCACTACATGTCAGGTGCTATACTAAACCTGTGCATACAGTGTATTTTATTTTACTGTTACAGTCGTTTGAGATCATTACTCCTGCTTTTCTTCAGTTTATTAGTGAGGAAAGTGATGCTCAGAGCAGGTAACTAATTTGTCCAAATTCACAAAGCAAATAAGTGGTAAAGCCAAGACTTGCACGCAGATCTGCCTGACTCTGAGCCTGAGCTCTTACCCTCTGAGCTTTGCCACCAGCACAGCCCCCAGAACACAAGAGGCGAAGGATTACGGTGTGTTCTCTCCTCTTCTCCTCCCCTCCTGCAAATCTTCCCTACAAACCTCGGTGCATGGTAGTTTATATCAATGGCAAGTTCAGTCTTATGTAGTGGGAAGAGGCCCTTAGGACCCTGAACAGGGCAAGAGGCTTTGGGGCTTCCCCAAGCCACCAACTAGCAAGGGAGTCAGGCCATAGAATTTGGATCAAGTATAGCAAGTATTGTAGACAATTTCTTTCTTTCCTTCTTTCTTTCTTTTTTTTTTTTTTTTTTTTCTTTTTTTTGGCTGCGCCGTGAAGCTTGCAGAATCTTAGTTCCCCGACCAGAGATTGAACCCAAGTCCTAGCCATTGGACCACCAGGGAATTCCCTGTAGAAGATTTCTTCAATGTTCTTCGTTTCTCCATAATTATTCCACTGCCTATTTCCCCTCAGCATTTAGCAGTGAAACTTTTGAGAAGTAGTAGGGCCTGGTGGAAAAGACAGACAGACGTGAGTTCAAATCTTGGTGCTGCATCTATCTCCTCAGCTGTGTTACTTGAGTGAGTTGTTTAACTCTACTGACCTTCTTCTGTAAAATGGGGGAAATAAAGCCCAGCAGTGTTACGGTGCTTACCGCTGACGAGGATCGTGGGGCTGCTCTAGAGATAGAGACAAGGAGAGGAGTAGTCACGTCCTACTCTGGGATCTGTCCTGGTGGGGTGGTGAAGCCCAGCAGTTAGAGTGGATAGTGGCAGAGTTTAACAGGAGTGGAAAGCAGCTGAATGGCCTGTGAATGGCCTGGCGGACACATGGAAGGGAGATGCGTCAGTGAGCTATTCACCGGGGGTGGGGGTGGGGGGCCTTCTAGATGTTCCTGACAGAAGAGCCAACACGTGACTCTACCACTTTAAGAAGCACAGCACTGATACAATCTGCTGCCCATTCTTTTTTTTTTCTTTTTTTTGCGGTACGCGGGCCTCTCACTGTTGTGGCCTCTCCTGCTGCGGAGCACAGGCTCCGGACAGACAGGCCCAGCGCCCATGGCTCACGGGCCCAGCCGCTCCCCGCTCCGTGGGATCTTCCCGGACCGGGGCACGAACCCGTGTTCCCTGCATCGGCAGGCGGATCCTCAACCACCGCACCACCAGGGAAGCCCTATTTATTTATTTATTATTATTATTTTTTAATACCATAGTTTTTATTGAAAAAATTTTTGCCTGTGGTAAAACCAAACAGTATTAAAGGATATGTAACAAAAAGTTAATCTCTCGGGCTTCCCTGGTGGCGCAGTGGTTGAGAGTCCGCCTGCTGAGGCAGGGGATGCGGGGTTCGTGCCCCGGGCCTGGAGGATCCCACGTGCCGCGGAGCGGCTGGGCCCGTGAGCCATGAGCGCTGGGCCTGCGTGTCCGGAGCCTGTGCTCCGCAGCGGGAGAGGCCACAACAGTGAGAGGCCCACGTACCACACACACACACACACACACAAAGTTAATCTCTCTTCCACGCCAGACCCTATGCCCCCTCCCCAGAGGCGAATCAAGTTTTTCCTTATATCCTTCTAGAAATTTCTGACGCATGTCAAGGAATATAAACCAGTTTTTTAAAACAAAAATTGGTATAATATATACACCATTTTGCACTTTGCTTTTTCAACCTAGCATATAATAGCTAACAATTATTGAATGCTTATATAGCAAACATTGTTCTAAACACATCATACGTGTTAATTCATTTAATCCTCACACAACCCTAAGAGAAGTAGGTTTTATTTATTATCTCCATTTTATGGATCAGAAAACTAAGGCTCAGAAATATTCAGTATCTTGCCCAAAGTCAAATAGCTAGTAAGTGGTAGAGCTAAGATTTTTTTAAAAGCTATAATTCACATACCATAAAAATCAGCATTTTAATGTAAAATTCAGTGGTTTTTAGTATAGTCACAAGGTTCTATAATTATCACCACTGTCTACTTCCAGAACATTTTTATCACCCAAAAAAGAAACCCCATACTCATTAGCAGTCACTCCCCAGCCCCCTCTCCCCGCTGCCTCTGGAAACCACTAATATAGTTTTAGTTTGTATGAATTTGATTATTCTGGACATTTCGTATAAATGGGAATCATATAATATGTGGCCTTTTGTGACTGATTTCCTTCACTTAGCATAGTGTTTTCAAGATTTATCCATGTTGTAGCACGTGTCAGTATTTCACCTTTTTTATGGCTGAATAATATTCCATTATATGACTATACCAAACCTTGTTTATCCATTTACTAGTTAATGGACATTTAGACTGTTTCCGCCTTTTGGCTATTATGAATGACATGGCTTCTATGAACATTTATGTACAAATTTTTGTGTGTACATATGTGTTCTATTCTCTTGGATATGTACTACCTAGGAGTGGCATTGTTGGGTCATATGGTAAGCTTACGTCTAACTTTTTGAGGAACTGACAAACGTTTCCACAGAGCCTGTACCATTTTACATTCCCTCCAGCAACATACAAGGGTTGCAATTTCTCCACATCCTTGCCAACACTTATTTTCCATTCTTTTTGGTATAGTTATCCTAGTTGGTATGAAGTAGTATCTCATTGTGGTTTTCACTTCTGTTTCCCTAATGACTAATGATACTGAGCATCTTTTCATGTGCTTATTGGCCAGTTGTATATCTTCTTTAGAGAAATGTCTGTTCAAATCCTTTGCCCATTTTTAGATTGTTTTTGTCTTTTTGTTGTTGAGTTGTAAGAGTAGAGCCAGGATTTTAACCCAAGCAGTGTGACTCCAGACCCCATGTTCTAAATCAGACTCTGTACTGATTTCAACATATCTTAGAGAGTATTCCGAATGAAAGCACATACAGAGCTATCACAATCTTATTTCATGGTTGCACCTGTATTCTATAATTCATTAACCATTTTCCTATTCGTGGACATGTATGTGCTCCCAGTCTTTGCTATTATAAACACTGCTGTCTTGAACATCTCGGTATTTGTGTGTTTCTTGTCTCATATGTACAAGTATACATGTAGGAAGAATTCCTAGAAGTAGAATTCCTAAATCAATTGTATATCTTGAATTGCTCTCCAAAGAAGTTGTACCAATTTATATTCTCACCAGCAGCATGTGAGAGACTATCCATGTACCTTTGCCAATGTTGTACATTATCAAATTATTTGTTGCCATTGTGATGAGGGGAAAATGCTATGTTATAATTGTTTCAATATTAATTATTTAATTATAAGTGAAGTTAAATCTATTTCCCTATAGTTATAATCCTTTGGAATTTCTATTTCCGTGAAATGCCTCTTCATGTCCTTTGGTTTTGTTTTTGTTTTTTTCTATTCTTAGTAGAACTATTTCTGTTTCTAAGGTTCTTAGTCTTCTGCTCATTTTTGATTTGCAGAAGCTCAATTCTTAGTCATATATTTGGCAAAAAATGTTTCCTATTTAACCTTTTTACTTTAATTACGGTATTTTATTCTAGAAAATTGAAATTTTTATACAGACATGTTTATTGGTCATCTCTTTTACGGCTTCTGGATTTGATTTCCTACTAAGAAAGATCTTTACCACTCCAAGATCTTATGAAACATTCTCTCCCATTTTTTTCCCCAATGTTTTTATATTATCACCTTTTTTTTTTTTTGGCGGTACGCGGGCCTCTCCCTTTGCGGAGCACGGGTTCCGGACGCGCAGGCCCAGCAGCCATGGCTCACGGGCCCAGCCACCCCGCGGCATGTGGGATCTTCTCGGACCAGGGCACAAACCCGCGTCCCCTGCATCAGCAGGCAGACTCCCAACCACTGCGCCACCAGGGAAGCCCTATTATCACCTATTTTTAATAAAAAACTTTACTCGCATAACCCAGACGTCACCAGCGGTTACTCTGCTCCTTTGAATTGAATTAAAGTTGGTTCAAGCATTTGTTATATGATTTGTTTGGAGCCTCATACCCTCCCCCAAATATCTGAACTCTGGGGACTTAAGTCTTCTATGGCACCGAGCTCCTCTTCTGTCCTGCATGTGCTGTGCACGTACCACCTCTTCCCTTGATTTTCACAAAAACTGCTCACACGAGGCCTGTGTGGGTGTGTTGTGTATATAGAAAACTTTACTAAGTTTAGAGAGATGGGAAGAAGGGGGACCATATCACAGTAATGCAAAGACCTTCCATGTGAGTTGTCCTTCTTAAAATCCTTTAGTCATCCCACAGTTTGCAAGACCATCCTCTATAGTCGTGTGCACTTTCCTCCCTCTTCTTTCCCCAAACTCCTGCTCACCTCTAATGTAGAGCAATGTAGCTCTCACTCTGCCTTTGGCTCTAATCTTTGTTTTCCTGAGAAAGGACAGTCCCCTCCCTCTGGTGTATTCTGGTACTAGCGAAGTCAGTTTTTTGCCATCCCTCTACACTAGGAATAGAAGGAGACCTCGGTAACTTGATAAAGTCATTAGCATCAAAGAACCTACAGAACAGTGGGACAGTGGAGGTGTCTGGCTTAACACCAGGATCAAGCAAAGGACACCCATCATTCCACCTCCCTTTGAAGTTGTTTCGAATCAGGGCATCCAACTTCAGGGCTCCCTTACCTCCCTAGGCCTCGAAGGATTTTCCTTACTTTCTTACAAGCTCCTTCATTCATTTAAAAGGATTTTTAAATATTTTTCTAGCATTTTTTAGGTGTTTTGTCATGAGTGTAGGATATTCTATTAAATTTTAATGGCATACACTGAAGACCTGGCAATTTCACTTCTAAGAATCTATCCTGTAGAAATGTTCATACAAGGCCATCCCTTACAGCATTAATCTGTACCAGCAAAAACTGAGGAAAATTAACATTTCAGTAGATAAATAGGTAAACTGTGAAATGTTCATAATGCAGATACTCTGTTGCTGTTAAGACAGATTTATACCTTATCGTATGAAAGAATGAAAGTCAACAATGTCTAAAATTAAGAAATCAAGAGAATACTATAGGCAATATATTTAGATACTGATGAGTGAGAAATTAAAGTAATAAAACATGGTGTATAGTATGATTCTGTTTTTATTTTTGAAATACATTTTTGGTATAAAGTCATTATGTGCTTATAAAAAGGTTTGGAAGGATACACGGAAAAACATTAATAGTATTTATTCCTAGAAAATGCAAGTGAGGTTGGAGACTCATCTTCTACTATATACATTTATACGTTGTATGAATTTTTCACAAAGAACATAAATTTATTTTGTAAAAAAATAAACAAATAAATGTTTTCCCTCTCAGAGATAGCAGAAAAGGATATGTAAATGTCAAAACAAAGAACTTTTTAAAAAGATATACAACTGGCCCAGAATAAGGAAGAGGATGGTCCCACTTCAGATGGTCCCATCTAACATGTGTTCAGGGAGAGGGACCAGGCCGGAGGGAAAGAGGGTCCAGGAGTCACTGAAGGCACTGAAGATGTTTAGGTTGGAGAAGCAAGACTTAGAGAAGATGTGAGGGCTCTCCTCAATTTTTTTTTTTTTTTTTTTTTTTTTTTTGACCACGCTCTGCGGCTTGCAGGATCTTAGTTCCCCGACCAGGGATTGAACCTGGGCCCGGCAGTGAAAGCTCAGAGTCCTAACCACTGGACCGCCAGGGAATTCCCTCCTCAAATATTTTAAGGACTGTTATGTAACACACAGTCTGGAGGGAGATGGGTTGGAATTACAGAGAGTCAGATTTTTATCTAGAGGAAGAAGGAACTTCATAGGAGTCCAAGCTGCTGTCATTTTAACCAGCTCTACCCTCCAGCTTGGCTGCAGACTGTCTCCTGGTTCCTGTTCCACTCTGGCTCTCAAACCATGTCATTCCTCTTGCCAGGTCTCTGATGCCAACCCCTTTACTCTAGCTTCTGCTCTGCTTTCTACCTGCCTCTCGGAGCTGAGGTTCCAGAATGACTCTCCTCTTGCCTAGTGGCTTGTCTTTGCCCAGTGCTATGGCCCTGAGCCAGCCCTTTCCCTGGGAAGAGAAACCGGATGCTTACTGACAGTGGAACTGGATGTTTCAGAAGGGAGTGTATTCCTTGTTTCCAGAGTTAGGGAAGCAAAAATGGGCAAGTACCTACTGAGAATATTATTGAAATGATGTGTATCAGTTGGGATTCTTTGCTTACAAGTAACAAAATATGCCAACTTGAGCAAACACTGCAAGAACATTGAGTAGCTGAACAGTGTGAAAATCGGTCCAGGGACCAGGAGGAGAATCAAGGCAGTTGCAACCCTTGAACCAGCTTTTCAAGGTGACATCTCTGGTATGGTTGAACCCCCATGTGTTTTCAGTCTATATTTCACCCCACTCAGGACTCAAAATCCCAGAAACCGGAGTTTTGATTGACCAAGCTTATCCCATGTGCTCTGGCTCTAACTGGGTGGATGAGAGAAAGGCTCTGGCTGGCAGAGCCTACAAAGGCTTCTAAGCCTCGCTCCTGTGGCTCACATGGGGAGCAAGACATTTGATTTAAAGTCCTTCAAGCAGTAGAGGGCAAGTAAGCTCCCCCAAACACACAAGAATTGGGGGTTGTTAGCAGAAGGAGAATGGGTACTGGGCAACTGAAAGAACAGCACTTGAATAAATGTGGAACTAGATTAGTGGTTCTAGATCTTTGGACTTTTCTAGACTTGGAAAAACTTTTTTTTTTTTCCACTAAATAAGTTCATTTGAACAAAATGACTGCTATCTGGTATCATCATCATTTCATAAAAGAAAGGTCATTAATGTAAAAAAAGTAGAAAGACAATCTCAGAATAAAAGAGAGTCCATAAGTGAATAAATTTCCTTTAGGTCATGGAATTCCCTGTTGGTGCAGTGGTTAGGACTCCGTGCTTCCACTGTAGGGGCACAAGTTCGATCCCTGGTCAGGGAACTAAGATCCTACAAGCTGCGTGGCGGTAGCCAAAAAAAAAAAAAAAATTACTTTAGGTCAGATTTATTACAATGTTTTGTTTTTGTTTTCTTTTTGCGGTATGCGGGCCTCTCACTGTCGTGGCCTCTCCCGTTGCGGAGCACAGGCTCCGGACGCACAGGCCCAGCGGCCGTGGCTCACGGGCCCAGCCGCTCCGCAGCATGTGGGATCTTCCCGGACCGGGGCATGAACCCGTGTCCCCTGCATCGGCAGGCGGACTCTCAACCACTGCGCCACCAGGGAAGCCCTACTACTTCCATGTATTTTTCCTTGTTTCCCTCATTTTGCTGGAGACCATTGAACACAGACTGGCCCCCATTTGGAGATGGGCTTTTAGGAATCATTGGACTAAATGATCTATAGGTGCTCTACTAACCCCAAGTTTCTGTGATTCCAGTGGGATCTTGCTATAGAATAGTGGTTCTCAACTGGGGACAGTTTTGCACCCTAGGAGACATTTGGCCATGCCTGGAGAAATTTCTGGTTGTCACAGCTGGGGGTGAGGGGTAGAGTACTACTAGCATCTCTCGGGTAGAGACCACGGAGGCCACTCGATGTCCTGCAATGCACAGGACAGTCTCCCACAGCAAATCTGGCCCCAAATGTCAAAGTGCCAAGGTTGAGAGACCCTGCTATCCATAGAGGAAATCTCATTAAGCAATTAAAATGAACAGGACAGAGAAGAGTGTGGTTAGGTGCCGCTGCAGCCTTCACTCGTGAGACAGAATTTTTGTCTCGTTAGATTATAACTGCTTCGTCCAAATAAAACGTATTTTTAAAAAAATACAAAAGAAGCACAGAATCACCACTGACATTTTGGAAAAAGGCAGAGGAATATAAGGAAGGGAAACAGATTACTCTCAGCCCCTGCCTGTTCTCTTTCCTGATCTCTGTTTCCTCTTGGTTGTCTATTAGCATCTCAAATGCAGCACATCCAAAACAGACCTCTTGATTTTCCCGCCCTGGCAGCGTCTTCCCACATCTTCCCAGCTGGGAAACTGGCACCTAACCCTTTAGAGTCACCCTTGACTCCTGTCTTTCTCACACCTACATCGACTCCATCAGCAAATCCTGCCAATTCTGCTCTCATAGTATGTTGCAGATTCCATCACTTCTCACCCCTCCCCATTCCCAGCCCCAGCACTGCCTCAACCACTGCAGAGGCTCCCAAGTGCTCTTCTAGTGTCCACGCTTACCCACTGCAGTCATTTCTCCACACATCAGTTAAACTGATCTTTTTTTGTTTTTCATTTGTATTTTTTGGCCGTGCCACGTGGCATGTAGGATCTTAGTTCCCCAGCAGGGATTGAACCCACACTCCGTGCATCGAAATCACAGAGTCTTAACCTCTGGACCGCCAGGGAAGTCCCAGTTAAAGGGATCTTTAGAAAAAATTAATCAGATATACCCCAGCTCAAAACCTTCCAGTGGCTTCCATCACACTTAGAAAATCCTAACTTCTTCCTGTGGCCCAAAGACCCTGCTCCTTCTTCAGCCTCATCATTTGTTCTCATTTGAGTCGTGCAGGCCTGGTTTCTGTCCCTCAGCCACACCAAGCTCCTGTCTGCCTTGGGGTCTCCTGCACTTGCTGTCCCCTTTGCCTGGAACATCGCCCAGATCTTCCTTCCATCATTCAGGGTCTGCCGGGATCACTCCTCCTCAGGGCAGTCCTCCCTGACCTCCCCATGGAAAAGATCCCTCTCCTCCCCAGTCTCCCATCCCACCAGCCACACCCCCTGCCCTACTTGATTCTTACCTAAAGCCCTTATTATTCCATAGTATCCTGTTGATTTGTTTATTGTTTTTCTCTCAGCTATGATACAAGCTCCGTGAGGGCTGGAATTCGTCTTATTCTCGGCTGAAAGGCCAGTGTCTAGATCAGTGTGTATACGCAGTAGTCACCCAGTAAATACTTGCTGAACGAATTGCTAACATTTTGGTAACTACACTTCTAGTCTCTTATCTACCTTTTTTTTTGGTTGATTGATTTCATATAATTATATTCATTTTATATAAAATATATAATATTATCTACCTAATTTTGTATCTTGATTTTTAAAATTACTGTTATATCTGAAACAACGTCTTAGTACCAACTCTTCATAAACAATTTAATAGTGGCGTACTGTTCCTTTGGGTAGAGATGTCAACAGCTCCTTGAACATTTAGGTGGTCGTAACCTTTTGCTGTAGTAATTGTCACTGCAGTAAACATTACAGTGCCTGAGTCTGTTTTTCTTGTGGGTAATTTCCTTAGGATAGCATCCTAAAACTGGAGTTACTAGATAAAGGATATGAGTGCCTTTACATCTCTTAATATGTGCCATAAAAATGATAATATCCTTTATTTTTTTTCCTATCTCTTTCCTACTCAGTCTTACCCTGCCTGCAAAAGCCCTGAGATGACTTCAAACCTCTTCAACATTTATGGGAAGAGCCCTCTGATTGTGTACTTCCTCCTGAACTACGCCTCTCTGCAGCAGCCTGGCAGAGACGTGTTGATGGTCAGGAGGGAAAAAAACAAGACCATCCCATATCCTTTCCACCGTGGGCTGGGCACACATTACTCCAGGCCCCTGCTTCCTCTTCCCAGAAGCAGGGGTGAAGAGACAGGCATCCAGCCCTTAGCACAGCACCTGCCACATAGTAGGGGCCCATCAAGGGTGACCATTGTTACGAGCCTACGGGTCGGAATCTTGCTCATTTTAATTCCAAATCTGCCCCGTGCACTGGCTGAGTGGGACCCTGGGCAAGTCGAATTTCCCTGTGTGCAATAATCTCTTCCTTTCTACCAGAAAGAATGGACTACTTAGGGACTCTAACATATTTTGCAACTCCGTAATGCCTCCTAGATGCTCACTGACCCCACAGTATATATTGATCAGGAATTTTGGTGTCTAGGGGTATGTTTCTTCCAGCACCCTCCTCACACACACCCCTCCCCAGACCCATCAGCAAATTCTTGGCCCTCATGACATTTATCCTAAAAATATGGTAAAAAGCTCAGATCTTAAGAAAACAGGTGTGATATGCGTTGGTGTCCTGAGTCTTAACAGTTTACCGTAGAGGGTCAGAACATGGAATCAAATAGACCTGGATGTAGGAACCAGCTCACCTGCTCACCAGCTGAGTGATCTTAGACAAGTTCCAGCTTCTCTCTGAGCCTCATTTTTTTCATCTATAAAATGGAGATAAGAGTACCCGCCTCATAGAGTTGTGATGCAGAGAACAGGCACAACACCGGTAAAGGCTTAGTTAGCACAGTGCCCGGCAGGTAACAAATGATTGAACGTTACCTATCAGCGTACAGCGCCCCATAAGGAGGAGCTTTCATAATGAAGTAGGTAGGACTTAACTCGTGCCCTATAGCACTTCATACCCACAAGCATATTTATATATCTGTAGGCAGAGATTAACAACACACAATTCATAGTACTTTATTGTTTATAAAACGCTTTCCCTTATATCACCTCACTGTGCTGTAAAGACAGTGTAGTGTAGTAGAAGGAGCCTGGGTTGGGGATACACAGCCCCGGATTTGCGTCCCAGCTCAGCAACCCACTAGCTTTAAGATCTCATGTGCACAGCTTAACCTCTAAGCTCAATATCTTTATCAACTCATTCCGAAAGTGAGGATGGTTATACCAAATCAGTAGTGTTGTGACCAGGATTAAATGGCATACAGCTGGTACTAAAAAAAAATAGTAACTATCATTATTATCATTAACATCATCTAAGGTAGGTGCTATCTATTTTATAGATACGGAAATGGAGACGTAGAGGATGACATAGCTTGTCTGATGTCCCACAGCTTGTGATGAGTGTGGCTGAGATTCTGACCAGTTCAGAAGGGGTGGAGGGGTGGCGAAGGTAGAGAGAACTTTTCAACATACAAACCTGAGACGGGGAATGAGGACTGGGCCTGAGAGGAAAGGAAAGTTGGAATCCCTTCCTGTTCACCACTGTGATAAGAGAGTAAGAATTTTAGATGGTAGTCTAAAACAAGCACTTCCTAGCCCTTCCATCAGCAGGAGGGGAGAAAGACTTTATTAAAAGATGGGGAATGGCCTAGCCATGGAGAGGAGAGCTTCTCTCTTTCCCAAGCAGGCCATGGAGTGGTTTCCTGCTCAGATTTCCAGAACCAGGTCGGTTTCCCCATCCTGCTATCACACCCACCTCCTCCCCGTGTACTGGACACATCCCACTGATAATAATGCTGAGTCAATACCAACTGACAGTGTGGGGTTTTCCTCGACATGAAAGCCACTGAGTCCACCCTGACATACGCTGAGGTCATCAGGCTGACCCTGAGCAGCATGAAGAAGCGGAGGGACGACCTCCACCAGCTGAACCAGTTTCACTGGAGTGAGTGGCATCATTTCAATGCGTACCTGGAGGAGCTGCACAACAACTTCCTCAGGTATTTAAGGGGCCTTCAGGGGAAGAGGCGTGGTTTCAGCATTTGTCTATGGCAACACATCACACTAATTTGTAACTGGGGTCCAGCCCTGTAATGACCTGTGAAGTGCATTCAGCTTTCTTGTGGTCAGAATGTAAACCCCACGATAACAGAGGCCGGATATTTTCGTAAAGTTATTTTTTTCCTAACTACAAAAACATTTACGCTCAATGAAAACAAACAAAGAACCTGGAAAAGCACCTACAGGTACACATCGCCAACATTTTTCTATAAATTCTTCCAATCTTTTTTCCTGGACACATACATTTGGATCTCTAAACAAAAGTAGTAACCGTACTGCCAGACCGTTTTTAGACTTCCCCCCCATTAGCAGCATATTATGAACATTTTCCTCTGCCTTCTCCCTCTTCAATATTTTTATTATATTTAGAAATTTTTCAGACCTTTCAGAAAAGTTTAAAGGACAGTGCCATGGACACCATTATGCCCCCACTGCGTTTACCAGTTATTCACACTTTGCCACATTTTTCCTTCTCTCTCTAATAATTAGGTCAAATAAAAATTTCCCCAATTGTGCCCAAAGTGCCATTTTTGGTTTTACTTGCTGCTCCAGGATCCATTCAAGGATCCAATACCTGGAGGTGTTGTATTTCGACGTTCTCTCTTTGGTGTCTTTTAGTCTATGATAGTGCCCTGGCCCCCAGCTTTGTTATTATTATTATAATTATTTTTTATGACATGGACTTTCTTGAAAAGCTCAAGCCACGTTCTGGATTTTTCTGATTATTTCTTCGGGGTATCATTTAACTTGTTCCAATTGATCTCATATTTCCTATAAGATGGACATTGGATCTGTACTAGAGGACTGATTAGATTCAGGTTAAGTCTTTTTGCCAAGAATACTTCACAGAGACCTTGTAAATTCCTGTTACACCTCATTAGGAGAAACTTAATGTCGGGTTGCCCCGCTGCTTATTTAAGGTGGCCTCTGCCAGAGCTCTCCATTGTAAGCCTACATTTTTGCCTTTCTAATTAGTCAGCAGTGAATGGTGTGATTCTTTGAGACTGTGAATATGCTATCCCAACAACATTCATCCAGTGGCTTTAACATCCATCCACGGTCTTTGCCTGAATCCGTTGTTACCTTTGGGGCCGCAAAATGGTGATTTTCTACGTCTACTATTCCTCCTGCTTTTATTAGCTGGCTTTTCTTTTTTTCTTTTTTTGGTAAAAAGGAGCTCACCTTCTTTTTTCACTCTTTGTCTCACATGTCTTCTCTGCCTGCCCCCATAACTCTTTCATGTGGCCACCGTGAAAGAGAAGCTTGAGAAGTATCTGAGAAAGGAGAAGGAGATTTGCATGACTGGATTAGACCAGAACTGGTCACTTTGTTATCCAAAACAAAACTGGATTCAGTTTGCAGGGGAGAAAGGGGGAAATTGCTATTGGCTAGACAGCCATCTATATCTGCCATAATATGAGAGAAAGAAAAATACGAACTCATAGATAAATACTTTGTTATGCAAAGTGATACAATGAAGTTATTTCTAAAATGTGCTGGGACACAGACAAACAACACATACACACACACTTGTTAAGCACCAGCACAGAAATGCAGTTCGGCCTAAACTTTCATCAAAAGATGATTGATTAAATAAACTATCAAACGTCCGTACTCTGCAGCCAAAAAAATGGTGATGTTGATCTATTTCTATTTTACAAGGAAAGATGGTCACAACATATTAATGGCCCCCAAATCACGTTATAAAATGGTGTGTATAGATAGGCACAGTTGTTTATCCTTATTTTACAGATGTGGAAGCTGAGGTCAAAGGACAGAACCTTAGAGGGCAACTGCATATGTGGGAGAGGATAGAGTATGGGGCAGAGGGAGAAGGAATGACCAGAAGGAAGGAGGAGAGCTTATATATAAAGGCAGACCAACAGAGAATGAAGCTGAGAGAAGAAGGGGAAGTAGTAATTAACAGTGTGAGTGCCAGACACAGAAACTTGGGGCTGAGACAGGTTTGGTGCTTTGGTAGAGAGAGCAGTCAGACACTAGAACATGGGACATTAAGGGGAAGGTATGAGTCCCCATGTGGGGGTGGGAGGGGGGAGTAACTAGGAGGCAGAGGAACAAAATTCTGAATCAAAAGGCAAGATTGGATGGTAACAGGGCTATTTAAAAATAAGGTGGAAGACTCAAGCCTATATGAAGAGGGAGAGATTGGAGGTGCAGGTGAGGGAGGAGAAGGTCACGGTGGGTTAAGGGAGAGCACACAGGAATTGCTGTTTAGGGTTCTTTGCTTCTGCCTCTGTTACGGTAGTTCATTATGCTGTTTGTTCTGTAGTTCATTGCCCCAGCAAACATTTTCAGCACCTTCTATGCACCAGGCATTTTATTTTGTTTACAAGACATTGTTTTGTAATGTCTGTCTCTTCCAATAGTTGTAACAGTTCTTGAGGGTGGGACCCATGAATGGCAGAGCTACAGCCAGAATATAGGCTTTTTCACTTACTAGCTCTGTGATATTTGATCTGTCACATAGGTCATTTAGCTTCAGTTTCTTTGTTGATTTAATGAAGATAGTATTTCCTACTTTGTAGGGTTGTATTGATCAAATAAAATAAGGCATGTAAAGCCTTTTCATAACCAAGCCCACAGTAAATGATTGTATAAATTAGAATTAGATTTGGCTTCCAGTGACAGAAGAGCACAAAATAGTGGCTAAAACAAGATACAAATCTATTTCTCTCATTTAAAAGGAGTCCAGTAGATATGGCAGTTCACAGTGTCAGGGGTCCAAGCTCCTTTTATCTTATTGCTCCATAATCCTCAGCTTCATGTTCCAATATGGCTGCTCAAGCTCCAGCCATCAGGTCCACATTCCAGCCAGTAGGAAGGAAGATGGACTTCCTCCTGGAAGTCACAAATATACCTTCCATTTTCATTCCATTTGCCAGAACTTAGCCCCATAGCCACACCCAGCTGTGGCATTAACAAGGCAAAAATAGTTTAGGGTTAACATTAAATTCATATAGAATATTCAAGATTAAGCCTACAGAGGGAATTCCCTGGTGGTCCGGTGGTTAGGACTCCGCTTTCACTGCCAAGGGCCCAGGTTCAATTCCTGGTTGGGGAACTAAGATCCCTCAAGCCACATGGCGTGGCCGGAAAAAAAAAACAACACAAAACAAATTAAGCCTACAGAATATTTATTTGAGAAATATATAAGGAAATCCTTTTTTAATAATGACATCCTTATCAGGTGAATTATAGTAAAGATTTTTTAAGTCAGGAGAAACTTTGTAATTATGTGTTAGCAATTACATTACCAAATACATCCACTTTTTGTTAGATAAGGTATTATCAAGAAACTCAGCATGGCTTCTATTAATAAAGTGATTCTTCAAGTTTTGTCTCCAGAAAAAACTGGTGGCCTTAAAATACATCCATGTTGTTAGACATCAGGGCAGGGCTACCCTTGGGAAAGTAGGGTATGACTGAGCAGGGGTATGAGGGGGCTTCTAGGGGGCTGGCAACGTTCTGTTTCTTGATCTGGGAGCTGGTTACATGGATGTGCTCAGTACATGAAATCTCCTTGAGGTGCACATTTAGAGTTTGTGCACGCTTTGGTATGTATGTTATACTTCAAGAAACTTTTAAAAAATGGTGACCATCTGCATCCACCAATTTAAAGGACACACGGAGCTCAGAGGACCTTGTCAAGCACTCCAGGGATGCAATTGACAAATCCAGAATGGGAAATTCTGTAGGACAAATAACCTGGTTTCTTCAGTACATAAAAAGCAAGGAAAATAAAAGAGGGAGGAGGTGCTGTTATTGTTTAGAAGATACTGGAGAGATATATTAATCAAAACATTGTTTGGATCCTGACTTAAATCAACCGCTTGAGATAATTATCTCAATTATGAAATAACTGGGGAAATTTGAACACTGACTTGGTTTTAGATGATATTAAGAAATTCCTTTTATTGGTATATTCCCTTTTTTAAAGACATTATAATAGTTTTATAGTTATGTTTTGAGAATCATGTCTTAAAGAGGTACATAATGAAGTGTTTATGGATGAAATGACATGGTGTCTGGGATGTGCCTTAAAATAACCCATTTGGGATGGGAGGCAAAGGAAGTAACAGATGAATCAAGACTGACTTCAGATTGGTAACTAATAAAGCAAGATAATGGGTAAATGATGTTAATTAGACAATTTTCTTTACTTTTATAAATGTTTAAATTTTTGAACACTATCCTTTTTTTTTTTTAATGGTGGCCGTAACAAGATCAAAAGGTGACAAATGCCCCTGTGGAATAGTATTGATACTTGTAGGGGGGCTAGGACTCTTTTGGGACATCAATTACCACTTGTTCCCCTAATGTAGCGTATCAGCTGGGAGCACTGCCATTGACCTTGGACAGACCAAAGCTGTAGGAACAGCTCTGTTTCACCCTCAGTATGATTTAGGTCCATCATTTAGCCCATGTGAGGCTTGAATACCTCATCTACAAAACAGGGACACTACTCACAGAGTAGTTGTGTAGGTTAACGGAGATGTCGAGCTTAGTGCCTGGCTCACAGGAAGTGCTCAGAAAATGACGGCTATTGGAGGTAATATGTGTGACCCCCACACCATGAAGAGTGCAGGGGCCAAAACAGCACTGGGCCTTGGAGTTGGAAAGTTTGCCACTGGGGAGGCCTAGCGAGCGGTCTCCCTTAGAAAAGGCGATCCAGCAGCTGTTTTGCTGGGGTCTCTGCTCTAGGTGGAGGAAGAGCCTAGCTGGCACATGCAGATGGAGCTGTACAATGAAGGAGCGGGGTCAGTTGCTGCTGCAGAACTTAGTTTCCTTGTGAGTCCAGAGCCCTGATCCTTAAACTTGTATGGGGGCAAAGCACCCGCAATTCAAAATGCCCTTTGCAGAGTTTTATGAAACGTTTCAACATATGATTCTCTCATACAAGCTAAAGATGCTTCCACTAGTGGAAAATAGGAGCCTAAGACATGTATGGACTTCAACAGATCAAGAAATGACAATATAGAAAATATTATCAAGGAATTATGACCAAGTTTTCCTGTTAGAAAATGTCATCACAGCAAGGACAAATGCAGGTCGCTGCTTGTTCTTTGTCTCTCCACTGCAAGCAGACGCAGGCTTCAAAAGGTTAAGAAAAAGTTGTGGCAGAAGATGCCAAAAATGAGAATTTTGTGTCAACACAATTTTTTCCTTTGACTTGGGGAAAGACCCTCACTGTTGGAATAACCACTGGTTTAGGCCAAGTTCAACACTGGTTTCTTAACACCAGTCTTTCTACATCTATTCTGCAGCAGCAGAGAAGTATATGACAGCATCTTAATTCACTTGAATGTATATTTATTGTTTTTGGGCTGCCTTGAATGTCCATAACCTGCTTCTTCATCGAGTGGAGGTCCACTCACATTTCACAGATCAGCTGGTATATTTTCCAGTTCAGCATTTCCGTTGAGTACCCCAAACGTATCTGAACGTGCTCCACTGAAAACCTTCTCCTATAATAACAGCAGCAGCAGCAGCAACATTAATTGAGCACTTCCTATGTACCAGGCACTGTGCTAATCGCTTGACCTATGGTAACGGAATTAATCCTCACCACTACCGTAGGTTCTATTACATTACCATGTTGAGATGAGTACACTGGCAAGGAGAGGTTAAGTAACTTGCCCAAGAACACACAGCAAATGGCAGAGCCCCAAATTGAATTCAGCCTGCCCTCAAGCTCATGCTTCAGCTTTCTCTCAGATCGTTGGTTTTCCTCACCTGTCTTCCTAATTTGAGTATGATCCATTGAGTCAGGGACCACATCTTATTCCCCTGTGTCCCCCAGGGCTATATGACTCCCAGCACATAGCAGGGGCTCAGTGACTGAGTTGCTGCGGCGCAGTCAGCTTTCTGCTTCAGTCAGTTGCTCCTGACAGATGTAATGAATGAATTGGTAAATATTTGCCTCTCTTTTCATGTGAAAATAGAGTGAAACGATAACGCTCACTCTTTAGTCTTTTTCCATGTGTCTTTGTGATTTTCCCCACAGGGAGATGAAGAATATTGATCAAAGAGCAAAAGACAAAAAACAGGCGAACCACATGTTCATCCAGCCTTCAACCTTCATTGAGGACTCCCCTGAAAAGAAATCTAGAAGAAGCCATCAGAGGGAGATTGCGTTTCTTTTGAGGTTTGTTTGAACGAAGACCATGGGAAAAGTAGAAATGTGAACACTTTAGGAATTCTTAATACGTGGAAAAGTATACATAAAAGTCCACTCGCTTTTATGTGTTAGTCACTCAACTCTCACTTTATTTTTATTATTATTAATGGCAGTAGTAAGAGCTACCAATGACTTTGTACTTCCTCTATGCCAAGCATTTGTACTTTACAAAGTGTATTATGAGTCAGAGCTCGTAGGTTGCAAGTGCCAGGAACCCAGCTCAAACCAGCTTGAGTGGAAGGAACATCTCTGTGGCTTCAGTAACTGGGAAGAGGCCACATTCAGGCTGGCTGCAGCCACGATGGACTTAAGGGCTCAATGATATTTTCAGATTCTCTCCCTTTCTTTCTTGACCCTCTTTGCCTCTGTGTGCTGGCTTGCTTTTCAAGCTGCCCCTGCCCTCAAAGAAAGAAAGAGGGCCAAGAACAGCCCCAACCCTATGTCCTTATAAGTGCATGACCTAAAAGGAAGAGAGACACCCTCTCCCAGCCTCCATAAACCAAGCCTCAATAAAAGTCTCTGCTGGTGTTGCCAAAAGCTCAGCCTCTGTACACTGGTGCCAAACTGAATCTCTGAGACAGTTTTGGGTAAAGTAGAAAATAAGAGATTTATTGCTTTGTCAGGCAAAGGAGGACACAGAGGGCTCCTGCCCTCGAAACTGTGTGTCCCAACCCGGGAGGATTTGATGAGGAGTTTTATAGCAGTAGTTCAAGGGCAGGGTTGCTGACAAGATTAGGGTGTGTGCAGGGCCTGCACTCCCTTAATCTCATCTCAGGTCTCCTAATCTTGATGAGCTTCTCTGGTCCCTTTAATCTTGCCTCAGCTGGTTTCTTGTCTGCTCTTCTGACCTTTAGAACTCAGGGAAAGTCATGGAGGCTGGAGTCTTGCCTACAAGAAAGAGGGGACAAAAAGGCTTTTGTGTCCAGGAGCCCCACAGGGCCCTTCTCGGTTTCAATGGCTCTGCTTGGTTCATGGTTCCACACATCCCTTCTGAACCAACACTGTGTTCAGGAAGAAGCAGTGCTATTACTAGCCAGACCTGACCGTCCCTGCAGCCTGAGAGAACAAGGCAAAGTCAGTGACATGGGGTAGAATTGGTGAGATGCCATCAGACAAAAACAACATGCGCAGTTTATTTGTATCTCAACAAAACCCCATTAGACAGCATAACACCCATTTTACTGAATAGAAAACTGAGGCACAGAGAAGCCAAGTAAACATTGACTGAAGACCTACTATGCCCGGCACTAAGGATATAAAGAAATAAATAAGTTAAAGTTCTTGCCCTCAAGGGCTCATAGTATAGAAGAAGGAAAAAGATATGGAAATAGATAACATGCAACAAATTGCATAGCTCCTGAGAGAGGACTTCAAAAGAGAACAGAGTAGGGAGCAGTCAGTTCTTTATATTTGCTAGGCAAGGGGGGAGGGGAAGAATGGGCTGGAACTCTAGGCAGAGAGATGTTCAGGCCAATTTGCAGAGCTAAAAGTTACCAGACTGCAGTTGGGTCTGGCTGATTAGAGAGTGAGGGAGAGTTGAGGCAATGAGGGGCATCAGAGGGTCTCACATGCCACCTTCTAGATTCTACCATCCTGTAGTGCATAGGCATCCAAGAGTCTACAGAAATTATAATTTTCAATTCTGGAATTTACATCCATTATTCTAAGTAACATGCTTACATATGCATTTCTTGATTTCCTTTTAGACGTTATCTGTTGATAAGGTTTTCCAGATTGTTAAAAGCTATCAAAAACCAAGCAGCATCGTTTTCCATATTCTCAAATGTACCATATATATTCTACGTATATCATATTAATATATTCTGTTAGGTAACGTGATCATAACCAGGACAGATGCAGTTAGCTGCTTGACCTTTTTCTCCCCATTGCAAGCAGATGTAGACTCCTAAGGTTAAGAAAAAGTTGTGGCAGAAGAGCCTGAAAGTGAGAATATATTCTGATAATTTCTTCTTCATTTTTTTAATCTTGGAGTTCTCCTTCTCAGGCCCTCATCCTCCTCCGGTCTGGACTGGTGTGCTCAAGGTCTGCTCTCAGTTATCATTTTGGGGCTTCTTTTCACCATTATCCTAGGGCTTCCCTTAGTCAACTTCACTTTGTTGGAGTCTCCCAGGTCACATGTCTTTCTCTTTCTTGTTTACTCATTTTGCTGGAGCGCATCTTCTAGTAACTCTCAAGGGAAAGGTACGTAGAAAGCTTTTTTAGTCTTTACATGTCCAAAATGACTTTGCTCTTGATTAATATTTGACAAATGTTTTGCTGGGAATAAAATTCTAAGTTCAAAGTCAATATCCCACAGGAATTTGAAAACATTTTTTTTCCTACTTTCTAGTTTGGCTGTTGAAAAATTTGATGCCGTTCTGATTCCTATGGTCTTGTATGTCACCTCCACCCTCCCCACCCCCAACCCCCATGGGAGTTTTTAAGATATTGTCTTTCTCCCTATTATTCTGATGTTTCACAATCATGTGCCTTGGTATGACTCTTTTTCTTAATATGTTTCATTGGGATTGGGAAGCCTTCTCAAACTGGAGAGTAGTGTCCTTCAATTCTGAGAATTTTTCTTTTATTATTTCTTTGGTAATTTTCTTCCCTTTATTTTCTTAGCTCTGTTTTTCTGGAGCTGTTATACTCAGTTGTTATACCTCCTGGACTGATTCTCTAATTTTCTTATTTTTATTCTCCTCTTGGCATCTGTGTGAATTTCTGTCCTACTTTCGAGAGGAGTCTCTACATTTTATCCTCCAATGACTTCTTTTAATTTTTAGAATTCTACTGTAGTATTAATTTCCTAGAGTGAGGTCTTATATTTTGGTTGTTCCTTTCTCATAGCATTCTATACTTTTTCATGGGTGCAATATTTTCATCTATTACTGAGAACATTAATCTTTATTTTTAAAGTTTCTGACCCCCATATTATTTCTGTGGGTTCCTTTTCTTGGGTACCTTTTTACATTTTTTGACTGTTTTCTTGTTTTGAACTCTCACCTTTGAACTCTCATCATTTATTTGGCTGCGCTGGGTCTTAGTTGCGGCACGTGGGAATCTTTTTTTTTTTTTTTTTTAGTTGCGGCATGCGGGATCTTTAATTGTGGCATGAGAACTCTTAGTTTTAGGTTCACTCTTAGTCGCAGCATGTGGGATCTAGTTCCCTGACCAGGGATGGAACCTCGGCCCCCTGCACTGGGAGCGCAGTCTTAGCCATTGGACTACCAGGGAAGTCCCCTGGGCTGTCTTTAGATTTAGGGGTGAAGCTCTAAAAAGCTGACAGTGGAAGTTGGTATCAGTGGTCATGGCTTCTCAGTTGGTTGGCTCTCTTTTTTTTCATGATCAGGAAGCAAGCCAGCTTTCTCATTTGAGAGACTCTCCAATATCAGCCATTCAGTTTCTTAGGAGAAGAATCCTCCAATCATTTGCCTGTGGGACATATGCCTGGCTAATGGCATTCTGGAAACAGAGGAAAGGAAAGGGGGGTAAAGATCCTGCATTTGGTAGAGCCAACTTCCGCTTAACTATTTTTATTTTCTACTAATCTACTATGCCCAAGACTGTAGCCTCTTTAATTTCCCCAGAAAGAAAAACAAAAGCACAAGAAAAACTTCCAATTTTCATTTGACTCTCAGAACAATTCTTTGATGTAATATATAAATTAGGATTTTATTTAGTCATATATAACAGAAAAATTAGAAATAACAATGGCCCAAAGGTTGATTCTCACATATAAAAGAAGTCTGAAGGTAGATGATATAGCCTGATACGGTGTTTCACGGGCTTCAGGGAGCCAGGCTCCACCATCCTAGCCCTTGGTATCCTTCCTCTGGGACTTCCGTGTTCCACCAAGACGGAAGTTGCTGGAGTTCCAGGCAACCTGTCTGTTTTCCAGACCAGATACTATAAGAAGGAAGGGAAGAAGGGGGCTAATGTCATTCTCAATCTCTGTCTCTCGGTCCCTCTCTCTCTCTTTCTTTAAATGTATTTTTAGAGGAGTTTTAGGTTCACAGGAAAATTAAGAGTAAGGTACAGATGTTTCCCATGCACTCTTGCCCCACCACATTGCAGAGCCACCCCCATTATGGACTTTCCCCACCAGAGTGGTATATTTGTTACAACTGATGAACCCACAGTGACACATCATAATCACTCAAAGTCCATAATTTATGTTAGAGTTCACCCTTGGTGTTATACATCCTATGAGTTAAGACAAATGTATAATGACATGTATCTATCATTATAGTATCATACAGAGTATTTTCACTGCCCTAAAAATCCTCTGTGCTACTCTTATTCATTCCTCCCTTCATCAAAACCCTGACAACCACTGATCTGTTTATTGTCTCCATAGTTTTGCCTTTTCCAGAATATCATATAGATGGAATCATACAGAATACAGCCTTTTCAGATTGGCTTCTTTCACTTGGTAATATGCATTTTAGGTTCCTCCATGTCCTTTCATAGCTTGGTAGCCCATTTCTTTTCAGGACTAAATAATATTACATTATCTGGAGGTACCATAGTTTATCTGTTCACCTACCGAAGGATGTCTTGGTTGCTTCCAAGTTTTGGCGAGTATGAATAAAGCTGCTATAAATATTCATGTGCAGGGTTTTGTGTGGATGTAAGTTTTCAACTCTTTGGGTAGATACTAAAGAGTGTGATTGCTGGACCCTTTGGTAAGAGTGTGTTTAGTTTTGTAAGAAACTATCAAACTGTCTTCTAAAGTGGATGTACCATTTTGCATTCCCACCAGCAATGAATGAGAGTTCCTCTTGCTCCACATTTAGTGTTGTCAGTGTTCTGGATTTTGGCCATAATAGGTGTGTAGTGGTATCTCACTGTTGTTTTAATTTGCATTTCCATGATGACGTGATGTGGAGCATGTTTTCATACGCTTATTTGCAGTCTGTATATCTTCTTTGGTGAGGTATCTGTTAAGATCTTTGGGGACTTCTCATTGTGGTG